ATTGAAAATTGATTCAAATTGGGTCTATTTAGGGGGAGAGGGGGGATGGGAGGGATTTTTTTTTTTATTAATTATTCATCAGGGACATTTTAAATACGGGCATGAACATTATTATCAGATATGTAAACGATAAGTAGAAGACACATTATATGGGCATTTGAGTTTTGCGAATTGAAGGAGCACCATGTCACGTCTCAGTTGCAATAAAATTTCTGATTGTTCACAAGAATTATTTCGTAATGATCGGCATAAAAATTTATCGGAAAGTAATTCCGAGGATTCATCATTTTCTGACGCTGATGATTTCGAAGGTCAGTAATCGAGTTTTGTTATAACGTAACTCAAAGTGTTATAATAACAATAAAAATATGATTTTGATTCAATTAATTCAGTTTATTTGATTCAATTAATTCAATTTATTTCATTTAATTAATTCAATTTATTTCATTTAATTAATTCAATTTATTTTATTTGATTAATTCAATTTATGTCCTTTAATTTATTTGATTCCATTAATTCAAATTAATTGAAAAATATTCACTTGGTTTAATTAATTTTTATTTGGATCTAAAAAATTTATATTTGATTCAAATAACTTGAATTATTCGAGTAACATTGATTTAAATCAAATAAATCTCAATTGGATCAAGTAAATAATTAATTGAATCTAATAAATTAATTATTTAACACAAATAATAATTTGAGAAATAATTAATTATTTGAAACTAATCATTTATTGATTTCACTCAAATATTTGAGTTTTTGATACAAATAAAAATTACTTGGCACAATTTATTTATTTTATGAATTCAAGTAAGCTGACGTATTCGATACAAATAAATAATACATTTTATAAAAGTAAGTAAAAAATATTTAAATCAAGGAAATAATTTATTGAAACGTAAATAATATATTTGAAGCAACTGGTTTATTATTTTTTATTATTATTATTATTTATTTTATTTTTATTATTTATTCAACTGAAGTATTTTATTATTTGACATAAATAACAATTATTCGACACAATGAAATTGTGTTATTGGTTCAACTAAATTAAATTATTTCATATACAAATAATGTATTTTTTAATGCTAATATATTATTTTATAAAAACGAATAAAAAAATATTTTAATTGAGTAAATAATTGAAACGAAAATAGAGAGTTATTTGAAACTGTATTTATTTATTTATTTATTTCACTCAAATATTTAGTTTTCTGATATTTAATTACAAATTATCTGATTGACTAACTTAATTCTATTGACTCTTAATTTTATTACTTGTAGAACAAATTGTTTCTTTTGAAAAATAAATTTAAATTAATTTAAACTAATTAAATATGAATTAGTAGAAAGTTGAAATGATGAAAAATCATCCACCAAATGATTTATTAGTAAAATTTTACTAATTTCGTAGAATTTTACTAACAATTAGTGAAATTTTACTATTTTAGTAGAATTTTACTAAAAATTAGTGAAATTTTACTAATTTAGTAGAATTTTACTAACATTCAGAGAAATTTTACTAATTTCGTAGAATTTTACTAAAAATTAGTGAAATTTTACTAATTTCGTAGAATTTTACTAAAAATTAGTGAAATTTTACTAATTTCATAGAATTTTACTAATTTAGTGGAATTTTACTAATTTAGTAGAATTTTACCAAAAATAAGTGAAATTGTACTAATTTCATAGAATTTTACTATAATTTTGTAAAATTTTACTAACATTCAGTGGAATTTTACTAATCTACTAGAATTTTACTAAAAATTAGTAATATTTTACTAATCAAAAAGGGGAAAAGTTATAAACAATTAGTGAAATTTTAATATTTATTAGTAGAGTTCTACTAATTCAGATTTAGAAAGTAAGATTTTAATACCAGCCTAATATTTTTTGAATAAATAAAAAAATTAATTGAAGTAAATTTATATTTTTTTAAAAATAATTTTGTTATTTAAATGAAAATTTAGATTTATTAAAATTTTGGTGAAAGTGAAAATTTAGATTTATCAAAATTTTGGTGAAAGTGAAAATTTAGGTTTATTAAAATTTTGGTGAAAGTGAAAATTTAGATTTATTTGAATTTTCGCGAAAGTGAAAAAATTTAGATTTATTTAAATTTTCGCTCAAGGCAAAATTTAGATTTATTTGAATTTTAGTGAAAGGGAAAATTTAGATTTATTTAAATTTTCGTGCAAGTCAAAATTTATTGCAGTACAATTTGTTTTTCTATAATCCATTTTTCTCTCCATGTGAGAAGATATTTTATAGAAAAATATAAAAGTGTTTTCTCAGATTACTATAAAAGTCTCTTGTTTCAAAACCAGCTAACACCAGTTTTTCAAAGTCAATGAGAAAAACATCTTACGACGTGCATTCAATTCTTTTCGTATTTTTCTCGCAATTTTTTTGATTTTTTCTTTTAATACAAAATTTATTTCTAAAAATTAATTAACAATTTTTCGTCATATCATTGATATTTTTTTTTTTTGCTTCTACTTTTCTCGAGCTCGAAAAAAATTTTTCTGCAAATTTTATTTGTACACAATAATTGTATAAATAAAAAACAGTATAAAGTATAAACAAAATTGCTATCAACAATTGTTGATAGCAATTTTGTCTATATTTCTTAATTTTTTTGATTTCAATATATTGTAATATTTATTAAAAAGTTAGAGTAAAATTTTATACTGTTTATATATGGCAAATAAATAATTAAGTAGATAAATAAGTGAATAAGTACTCTCTAAATTTTAATTAGTAAAATTTATTAATTCAAAAGCAAAAAGTCAGATTTTCAAATTGGAAATTTTACTAATAAATAGTAATTTCTACTAATTTATTAATATAACTATAGTTTAAATTAGTAAACATTATTACTAATTCAAATTTAGAGAATAAATAATTCGTTTTATAACAAAAATTACAAAACAGAAATATTTGCAAAATTTTATATACATAAAATTTTTGATTCGTAAAATTATAAATTTATAAAAAATAAATTTCTTTAATTAATTAATTTATCTGTTTTAATTTTTTGTAATTAATAAATTATTTATTACTCTTTTTATTATCTTATTATTTTGTATTATTTTTTATTAGTATTATTTTTCATTTATTTATTTATTTATTTATTTAAGACTTTTTTAATTTATTTAAATTATAATTATTATTATTATTAATTATTTATTATTTATTATTAGTATAAAAAAATTAATTTGAATTTTTTTCACAGTACCTATTGTGTTTCTGATTTTTTTTTTGTACTTTTCTTCATTTGCTTATAAAGATGACAAATCATGAATATAATGATTGTGCGTACGACAATTTACTCACGAGTCATATCAAATTGATTGAAATGAAGATGGCTTTCATTGGGGTCGAATGTAAACAATCATATTCCATTGACTAGAGGATCCAACAAAAGGGGCGCGTTATAAATTTTGTCAAATGATTTTTTAATTTTTAATCAACAAAATCTTATCTCAATTCTTTTATTATTTCTAGTCTCGTGTTTGTTTATTTAACACTCATTTATGTTTTTCTACTCTAATTAACACAGTGCATAAATCAAAAATTTTTGTAGAAAAATAGAAAAATAAAATTTTTTTTATTTCCTTACCTAATTATCATAAATTATTTGATGATTGATGATTTGGTGAATTAGTAAAATAGCAATAAATTAAAAATAGTGGATTATATTTGTTGAATAAATAATAGGTAAAAAAAATAAATAAAAAAAATAATATATCTAATAAATAGAAAATATTATAATAAATAAAATAAATAAAGCATAAAATAATATTATTAATTAATAAAAAGTTAATTAATTAATAAAAATAATTATTTACTGTCACATTATTTATTTAAACTATTCTTTTTAATAATTATTTATTGTCACACTATTTATTTAAACACAAGGGAATATTAATTAATAATTATTTATTATCACTCTATTTGTTTAAACCGAATGGAAAGTATTTCTGTAAAGTCAAAAAAATTTTCGATATTATTTTTTGATATTAATTTTTTTTAAACATAATTTTTTTCCTCTATAAACCCTTTTTGGAAAAAAATAAATATATTGTAAAAATTTGAATTTGAGTTTTCATAAAATAAACTGTAACTCACCAATATTGGTAAAAATGTGTGAGCGAATTTTTTTTAATACGAGACATAATTAAGTACTATTTTACACGAGGTTTTATGAATATTTGACAAAAAAAGAAAAATGAGGAAGTATTTTTATGACAAGCTGCGTCATAATTGATCCTTGAAAGAATTCTCAAAAATTAAAAAGTCATTACTTGCATAACTACTGTTTGCAACAAATTATTAAACTGTATATAATTTTTATGGATCCACTTTGTTTGTATTTCATGAAACTTGAGTAAAACCAAAAAAAATTAACTGATAATAATAAATATAATTAAATTAATAATAATAATTATTCAAAGAAGAATTTTGTCATTCCCTCTTGGTAAAGTTAGTTTTTCATTATTCACACATGAAGTTAGTGAAGTGTTTCATTATGAACACGGGTAATGAATAATTTATATTTTGCAAAATTAATATCAAAAATAACATAAAAATACAAATAAATAAATAAAATTATATTTTATACTTTTAGTTTTATTTCATTTTTTTTATAAAATAAAACACAAAAAATAAATCGAAAATAAAATAAACAGTAAAAAAGAAATAAAAATAAAATAAATAATGAAAAATCGATAAAAAGAGAATAAAAATTAAATTAAAATAAGTGAATTGTTATAATTAAATAATTAGCAAAGTAATAAAAAATTATTCAAATAAAGTGGATCTGCATAAAGGAAATTACTAAATTTTACAAGAAAAACAATGCTTTTTTATAAATGTAGAAAAATTGCGTCAAAAATTAATTTTAAATGAATTACAGTAAAATTCAACTAATAATTATTTTTACTATTTCAAATTTAATTTGGAATTTATGAATAATAATTTTTTAATTATTACAGATTCACAAACAGACGAGGCCGTAGCTCAAAATGCCATCGACGCTACAGGTATTTTTTTCTAATCAACAAATTAAAAGAAGATTTTAAAAATACTTTTCCAGAAATCTTGTAATTCGCTATTTTTTCAATTTCATCAAATTTTGATTTCATCAAATTTTGATTTCATCAAATTTTATCAAATTTCATCAAATTTCATCAAATATGATAAAAAATTAATTCAATAACATAAGAAAATAATTAAATATAAATAAAAATAATAAATTGGATTAAAAAAAAAGAAAAAAAAACAATTTTCTAAAAATTCTTGTAATTTGCTATCTTTTCTAATTTTATAAAATGTGCGACAATAGTTTCTATATTAAGAACCGAAATTAATTTTAAACTGAATTAAAATTGAAAAAGAAAGATTTATTAAATATTATTTATTAATATTAATATTAATATTTGATTTTTATTAATACTTTTGAATTTTAATATTAAATAAATATTATTTATTATAATAATAATTTGTACTTTATAAATAATAATTATTAATAAATAATAAATTAATAAATAATTAAAAATTAAAATAAATTTAATAGAATAGATTTTTATTGCTATTAATTTTATTTTAATTTTTAATTTTTAATTGTAGATAATTTGTAATAAATATTTGAAAAGTGGTTTTTAATTTCAGGTTTCGGTAAATTCAATTGGAAAATATCGATATTGGGTGCCTTAATATTTATGAATTCTGCAATCAGTATTACCAGTGCTAGCTTTATCATTCCTGCTGCAGTATGTGATTTTCAATTAAAGACAATTGATAAGGGGCGTATAGCAATTGCTCCTTTATTGGGTAAATTTCCATTTTTTTCTACTTTTTAAAAATTAAAAAATTTATTTTAAATAAAATTACTTTCTAAATATCTCACTATTCACTATTTTTATTATCTCAATATTGATCGATTTTATTCATTTAGTACATCAATAATTATCAATAAATTTTTTTTTATATTCATTCGTAAATTATTTTTCTATTTATAATCGTTTTGTTTATTTTCACATACTATTTTTATTTATATAACAAAAACAAACAGGACAAGTTCTTGTCTCGTTTTTTATTTATTTAAATTAAATAAATAGAAAATAAAATTGAATAAAATAAAAAAATTTGATTGAATAAATAAAATAACAATAAAAAATTATTTAGAAAAAAAATATATTTTATCAAAAAAATGATAAAAAAATCATACTTTTTAGTATGAATAAGAAAATTGCTTACAGAAGATAGTTAAGTTTTATTGACTTTTTTTTATCTTTTGTTTTCGAAAAACTATATTTATTTAATAATGTTACAATAGTTTTTCTTATTTTTAGGCACGTGCTTTGGATGTTTAATTTGGGGTTTTGTTGCTGATATGAAAGGTCGTAAAAAGGCTTTAATTATGACTCTATTTATTCAAGGAATCTCAGAGGCCATTGCTTCTATTGTCAGAAATTATTGGGTTTTTTTGTTTTTCAAGTTCCTCAGTGGTGTGGCGTAAGTAGAATATTTTTTTCTCTCTTTTTCATAATAATAATAATAATAATAATAATAATAATAATAATAATAATAATAATAATAATAATAATAATAATAAATTACAATTAAAATCAAAATTGAGATAAGAATAAAAATAACAATAATTTTTCTATTTATTTTTCTTTTTATTTTTTCATTGTTTATTATTTGCATATTCCCAATAGATAATTATTTTTTTAATTTCATTTTTCTTTTAACTAAAATTATTAACAAATGATTATTTAATTAATTATTAATTATTAATTAATTAATGATTATTTAATTAATTATTATTAATTATTAATTAACATCACAATAAAATTATTAATTTTAGTTACTTTCTTTTAATTTTAATTTCAAATTTAAAAAATTTAAATATCAATTTATTTTGATTTTAATTTCAATGTTCTTTAATTTTAGTTTCAATTTCTTTTAATTTTAATTTGTAATTTTTTTTAATATTAATTTACGTTATTCAAAATGATATTTTTACTAATTTTCTTTTGTGTACTTACGAAAATTTTTGCAGAGTGGCTGGCCAAGTAGCTTTATTATTTACATACATCGGTGAATTTCAACCAAAGAAATTCCGCAAAAGAATTCTTTCATGGATGGAGGCAGCGTGGATCGTTGGCCTTTTAATTTTACCTAGTAAGAAAAAAAAGTCCATTATTATCACTTTAGTTAAAAATTTAAAAAAATATATAAAAATAAATTTTAAAAAATAAAAAAAAAATAAATTAAAAAACAAAAAGAAATTAAATGTGTCATAATGGTTCAAAAGCCCTTAAGAAACCAAAAAAAAAGATTAATTAAAAAAAAAGAAAAAAATGAATGAAATGAATAAATTTTTTTCGTTAAACTCAGTAAATAAACAAATAAATTATTTTTCAGATTTAGCATGGATTATTCTTCCACTGGAATTCGCTTACGAATCAGAATACTTCTTTTTTCGCTCGTGGAATTTATTTATTTTAGTCTGCTGTTTACCAGCGGAATTAATAGCGATTGCTTTATTCTTTTTCCCCGAAACACCAAAATATCTCGCGGAAACTGGACAAAATGTAAAACTATTAAAAGTTCTTGGGAGAATGTACGAAGAAAATACTGGATTGTCATCACAAAAGTACTTTGTAAGTTAAATTTCTTCTTTTTAAAGAAGAATTTTTTTTTAATTTTCGAATTTCTTTTATTTGAATTTTTCTTTTTTTGAAAGAAAAAAAAATTGATCATATATATATATAATTTCATCTCCTTTTTGTAATAAAAACATTCTTCTTTAATTTTTATTTATCATCATTATAATTCTTTAAATACCTGAAACTTTTTTTCCCCCCCAAAAAAAAAGAAAATAGTTTTCTTAATTTTCACTTTTGTACTTTGTACAGTACAAAAGTACAATTTCATCTTGTTATTATTTTCTGAAAAATCTGTTTTTTTCCACAAAAGAAAATATCTTTTTCTATATTAAAAAAATCCCCTTTTTCTATAAAAACCCTTTTCTCTGGATAAACATAAAAAAGGAAAAAAAAACATTCTTTTTTCCAGAAATCCAGTTTCTCGTCTCACAACTCTTGTTACAGTTAAGTACCATGTGTAGTTGAATTATTTCTGTTAAATGTTTTTTTTTTTAATTCGCAAAAATTAAATAATTCACACGAGAGTATTCAAAAAATAAAATTGTCATTATTTGATTTTTTTTTTTTTGCAAAAAGGAAAATTTGTAATAAGGAAAATATTTAAATTTTGTTTTAGGATATGTTAATGAATAGTGAAGATGCTGCTTTGGCAAAATTGGTGGCGCAATGGCAAAATAAATCTCTCGAGGCAGAAAAAATGACGAGGAGAAGTAAAAAATTTATGGATATTGTGAAAAGTTTTAGAAAACAGGCAAAAACACTCGTTAAATCAGCGGCATATTTAAAAAGTATTTCTGTTGCTTGTATCATTGGATTTTTGGAATTGTCATCATATTATTCTCTACTTTTATGGCTGCCGGAAATTTTCGAAAGATTTGCCAAATTTGAAAAGCATTTTCCCAATGAGACAACAAGCATTTGTTCTGTTTCAAAGCAATTGATTTCTCTTAATTCAACTTCGGTGAGACTTTTATTATATTAGAGAAAAAATATTTATATATTTATTAAAAATTAAAAAATTTTTTTTACATAATATTAAATATTCTTGTTTATTAATATTTAAGATTTTTAATAAAATTTGTCACAAGAATTTCATTATTCTCATAAATAATAAAACTCTTTAGAGCAATTAAATTATTTTCAATACAAGTTTAATAAAATTTTTCGAAAGAATACAATTACTTGTTAAAAATATTAATTAAATTTAATTATTTTCAAGAATTTTAATATAAATTCAATTATTTTCAAGAATTTTAATATAAACTCAATTATTTTCAATAATTTTGATAAAATTATTTTTAAAAAATCATTCTTTTCAAAATTTTTAATAAAATTCCTTAAAAAAATTCAATATTTTTGAAAAATTCAGATAAATTTCTTCGAAGCAATTCAATTATTTTTATGAATTGGAAAATTCTCCGCAAGAATTCAATTATTTTCAAAAATAAGAAAATTCTTCGCAAGAATGAAAATATTAACATAAACAATAAATTTCTTTAAAGGAATTCAATTATTTTCAAAAAAAAAATTTTAAAAAAATTTCTCAAAAGAATACAATTATTTTTAAAAATATTATTTAAATTCAATTATTTTCAAGAGTTTTAGTAAAAATTCAATTATTTTCAACAAATCTGATAAAAAAATTCTTCGAAATAATTCAATTATTTTAAAAAATTTTAAAATTCTTGTCAAGAATTCGATTATTTTTTGTAAATAATAAAATTCTTCTGAGAAATTCAATTATTTTCAATACAATTGTAATAAAATTTCTGGGAAAAAATTCAATTATATTCAAGATAATTTTAATAAAATTTCTCTAACAGGTTCAATTATTTAAAAAAATTGTAATAAAATTTTTCTAAACAATTCAATTGTTCTCAAAAGTTTTTAATAAACTTCTTTGTAAATTTCAATTATTTTCTAAATTTTCAATTAAAATTACTTTTAAAAAATTAATTATTTTTACATAATTTAATGAAATTCTTCAAAAAAATGTAATTATTTACAAAAACTCTAATGAAATTGATTAAAAGAATTTAATTTTCTATGAATAATTTTAATATAATTTAATATTTCAATTTAATTATCAAATTTTTTTTATAAATACTTTACAAGAATTCAGTGATTTTCAGAACATCGACAATTTAATTATTTCTGAAAATAATTGAATTCTTGAATCGAATTTTAATAAAACTTTTTTAAATAATTGAATCCCTGTGAAAAAATTTATTATTTCTGCAAATAACTGAATTTTTGCCTAATTTTAAAAAATAAGTGAATTTTTGAGAAGAATATTATTAAAATTTTATTTAAAATAATTGAATTCGTGTGAAAAATGTACTATTTATTGATATTATTGAATTCTGTCGAAGAATTTAAAAATAAATTTTTTAAAATAATTTAATTTTCCCTGGAATTCAATTAAAATTATATTTAAAATAATTTAATTCTTGAATTTTTAAAAAAAATTTAATTTAAAAATTTAATTTTCCCTGGAATTTAATTAAAATTATATTTAAAATAATTAAATTCTTGAAAATTTTTTTTTATTTTTTTTATTTATAAATTGACTTTTTGCAAAGAATTTTATTATAATTATTGAAAATAATTGAATTCTTCTTAAAATTAAATTATTTTCAAAATTTTCAGTAAAAATTATTAAAAAAAACTTTATTATTTTCAAGAATATTGAAATAATATTCTTACGAACAATTCAATAATTTTAAAGAATTTTAATTAAAAGCTTGCCAAGAATTAAATTTTTTTTTGATACAATTTTAATTACACTTTCTCGAAAGAATTAAATTATTGGTAAAATTCTTGAAATTAATTTTAATTGTCTTCAAATATCTTAAATATACTTCACAAAAATTCAATGATTTTCAGTACTTTCATTTAAAAAATTTTAAACATTTAAAAAGAAAAATTATTTAAAAAGTCAGGAAACAAAAAAGCAAACAGCAACTAACTTCAAACTGCGGACAGATTACCGGAATACAATGATTGTTAATTGTTAATATATCTGATTATTAAATGGAAATTATTATTTTTATTTTAAATTACTTTATATTTTTTTCTTTTTTCTACTTTTTCTTTTTTCTTTTTTTTCTTTTCCTTTTTATTTATTTATTTCCTTTTTGTTTTTTTTTATTTTTTGTTTTGTTATTATAAATTTTTCTATTTTTTTTAATGAATTAAAAAATATTTTTTAATTATATAAAAAGTAATTCTTTAATTAATACACATAGAATTTTATTAATGTAAAAATTTTTTTTCTTACAGGAAGTTGATGTTCCGTTAGAATTTTGTAATCGACATATAGATCCCAGTGTTTTTACAAATTCTCTATGGCTAGGAGTCGCTTGTGTTCCTGCAGCTGTAATTGTACCACTTTTTGTTGATAGGATGGGATTCAAATTCTTTTTAGGTAATAATTGAATTTCATTCTAATTTTGATTCAATTGCGTATTTTTTCGATTCAGTTTAATATTCTCTCTAAACTTTGAATTAGTAAAAATTTTTATTAATTTTTGAATTTTGAATTAGTGACTGTCATTTTGCTTTTGAATTAGTAAATGTTATTAATAAATTAGTAAAAATTTTTATGTATTACACTGAAAAAAAAATTTAATTGATTCAATTAACCGATTAATTGACTATTATCCATTAAATATTTAATTGAATTAAATAATATTAATTGGAGACTGGAGTCAATTAAATGGTTCACTGCATATTTGCTTCAAATACTGAAATTATTGGTTCAAATACCATTTAATTGACTCTAATAAATATTATTTGATTCAAGTAAATATTTAATTGATAATAGTCAATTAAATGGACATTTGAATCAATTAAATTTTTTCTTCAGTGTAGTAAAATTTATTAATTCAGAAGCAAAAAGTCAGTCAGTAATTTTAAATTAATTTTTTGCTAATTCAAATCTAGTAATTTAATTCATTAATTTTTTTTGATAAAATTACTAAAAAAAATAATTAATTTACAGTATTCACGAATGCCGTGGCATTTGTTGTGACCTTAGGACTATTTCTGGTGAAATCCTCCCTTCAAAATTTAGTACTTTCGTGTATTTTTGAATCAATGACATCTCTGGCTATGAGTCTCATGTATTGTCTATTAGTTGTTACTTTTCCAACAAACTGCAGGTATTTTATCATTTTTATATGAATTTTCTTCTTTTACTTTACTTTGAGACTATTTTGTTTATTATTTATTTATTTAAAAAAAAAGTGTATAAACTTTATTTGTATTTTATTTATTTAAATGGAATTTATATTTTTTAAATAAAAAAAAGTAAAATATTCTTTTTTGTCATTTTCCTTTTCTATTTTCTATTATTAAATTTTTTCGTTTTTTTTATTTTCTTCTAATTATTATTTATTTATTAATTATTAGTATTTATTTTATTTTTAAATTTTCTTTTAAATTAATTAAATTAATTTAATTGTTCTTAATTAATTTATCTCGTTTATTTATGAAAAAAATAAATAATAATTTTTGTTTATCGCTTGCAGAATGATTGCAGGAACACTTTTAGGATTATTCGGTAGAGTAGGAAGTCTCGTAGGAAATTTAATGGTCACTTATTTGATTGACGACTACTGCGATACACTGATTATCATAGTTGCAGTTCAACTTCTTGGTGAGAATAATTTTTTTTAATAGTAATTTATTAAAGCAATATTGATTTTTACTACTTGTAAAAAAAATTTTTTATGACTTAATACTGAGTTTTATATAAATTGGATAAAAATTTCTAAGTCTGACCAATATTGACATTGTAACTATTAAGAAAAAAATTTCGAGTCTGATTAATACTGACTTTTACCACTTGTTCAAAAAATGTTCAAGTCTGAGCGAATATTGACTTTTACTACTTGAAAAAAATTTCTAAGACTATGAGCAATACTGATATTAATTATACTGATAAGAAAATTGAGCCTGACTAATAATGATTTTAAGAGAGAGGAAAAAAATTCGAGTCTGACTATTGATGATTTTAACTACTTGTAGAAAAAATTTTATGCCTAACCAATACTGATTTTTACTACTTACAGAAAAGGGAATTTAAATTTTGGCAACAGTCTGACTAAAAATGACTTGCACTACTGAAACAAATTTCAAAGTTTGTCTAATACCGACAGCAACTACTGATAAAAAATTCAAGTCTGACTAAAACTGACTTGTACTACTGAAACGAATTTCAAAGTCTGACTGATACAGACTTCAACTACTGAATTCAAAATTCGAGTCTGATTTAAAAATAACTTCTTCTACTGAAACAAATTTCAAAGTCTGTCTGATACTGACTTTTACTACTGATAAAAAATTTGATTCTGACTTAAAATTGACTTGCACTACTGAAACAAATTTTAAAGTTTGTACTAAACTGATTTTAACTATTGATAAAAAATTGAAGTCTGACATAAAATTACTTTCACTATTAAAACAAATTTCAAAGTCTGTCTAATACCGACAGCAACTACTCACATAAAACTCGAGTCTGACTAAAACTGACTTGCACTACTAAAAGGAATTATAAAAATATAAATAAAAAATATACATTTAAAATAATTAAAAAATATTAAAATAAAAAAAAATATAAAAAATTTTGCATGTCCTACCAATACCGACTTTTTCTACTCATAAAAAAAATAACCAAAAGAATATCTTCTTCCAGTGGCCACAATTCTAAGTTTCATCGTTCGCTAAGGAACACAATTACATCACCTAGATTATCGTAGTTTTAATTTAATTTATTAAACTAAATTAATAAAACTCATTAATTTAATTTGCATTTTAAAAAGATATAAGACCGAAACTCTTGTCGAGCATGAGTCTCTCTTTATATCCTCGAATTGTACACAATTTTTTTTTTGTTTATTTTTTAACGATTATCTTAAATACAAGATTTTTATAAACGCGAGAAAACCAATTACTTTATTTATATAAAAAAGAATAAGAAAAACTTCGTGATAAAAAATTGGTGCTCTCAATGTTCTGTTACTGCAAAAACTTGCTAGATAATTTTTTATCTGTTTTAATCGTCGATTACATACAAAATAGTATTATTTCTCATATATATATATAAATATTAGAATTGTTATTTTACCATTTTTTCTACTACCGTTATACACTAAACTATTTATATATATATGTATAGTTAATTAAATTGTTAATTTAAGTTACATATTATATATATACATAATTTTTTTTCTGTATTACGTGATTTTGAAAAGTTTTTGTCGTCTTTTTTTTTTTTTTTAATGAAAATAACTGATATAAATGTGCAATATATGTTGAGTGTGAAGTGTTTTTCGCGAGAATGTTGAGAAAAGAGAATAAAAATTGTTATTAAATATTTTTTAAAATAATGGAGTTTTTATTAATGATCCTGTGATTTATATTCTATTTTTTTAATTGTAAAATATTTTAAAATATAAATAAAATATTTTAAAATATGAATAAAATATTTTAAAATATAAATAAAATATTTTAAAATATAGATAAATTTTTTTAAAATATAAATTAAATATTTTAAAATAAAATTTTTAAAACAAAATAATTGTAGAAAAAAACAACAAAATCTGGCTGGATTCGAACGTGAGACAGTTTTTCCATAAGCCAGACACGTTACCACTGGTCCAATTCGACATTTTTTTATATTCTATTTTCTTTTTCTATTTTGTGATTTTAATAGTTTAGTTATTGTATGATAAATAATAATTCGGTGGAGGAACATTAATGATAGTTTAATTATAAAAAAATTAGAAATAAATAAAAAAATAAATTATAGTAATTATAGTTTTATATACAAATTTTGTAAATTTCTGAAAAGAAAAAAAGGAAAAATAAATTTTACTATTTTTTTGAAATTAATTATCAGCACATGTAACAAAATTAACATTTAATTAAAAAAAAATAAGGAAAATGTACGGAATAATCCATCTAACTTTTGTCAGTTTTACATTAACTATTTCCTTATATAATATTTACAGGTAAATTTTTATTGTTAGAGACTAGTTTATTTATCAGTACAACTATTACTTTAATAACTGCGAATCCTTCATTTTCGTTAGTTGTAGTTTCGCTTTCTTATGTCACGTAAGTAGACAAAAAAAATGTCTTTAGAACTCGTGAATTTAATTTTTTTGAATAATTATCGTTTTAGAAGATAAATTTTTAAAAAATTATTTAAGAAACAATTTTCTTTAACATAGGTACTGCAAAAAATGAATTTCAAGATGGATTCGATATCTACGAAGCAGGCAAGAAATTACTGTCACTAATTTTTTTATCCCTACTTTCCAATTTTGTAGTAAATAGATATTTTTTTATTTACATTTTTCTAGGTTTATATCGAAATTAATTTTCTTGTTGTAAGTTTTAGATTTAAAAAAGAAAAAAAAATTTGTCGCATATAAAAATATTCATTTTACCAATTAAAATTATTTTTACATTTCATAATTTATTACTATTACTATTAATTACTACTATTACCATCAATTAGTTAATAAATTCATAATTTAGATTTAGCCTTGATTATTCATCCAAAATTAATTTATTTTTATAATTTTTTTCTAAAAATAGAACTAGGAAATTTTAGTAAAAAAAAACAAGTTTACAAATACGCGGAAAATAACTACTTTCGCGTTAGAAATAATATTGTTGAAGGAAATATTGATTCAAAAAACAAAATAAATTTTCGCGGAAAAAAACTTAAATTATCGATTTTAGAGTTATTGACTATAATATAAAATAGTTTCAAAATATTTATAACCAAGAAAAATATTTCTCAATTCAAGAATTATATTTTCTCTTTACAATGCGATTTTTATTTTTAAATAATTTCTTTCAAAAAAAGAAAATTCTTTAATAAAAAAAAAAATAATAATAAACTTTAGTTTTCAATTTCTCACATAAATATTATTTATTATTTACAATAAATAATTATTATTTAATTAGACAAACAAATTGACGAATCAACAGCCGAAATTGCTATTACCGAAACTGGTAAGAAATATAAAATTCATATTTTATATTTATATTTTAATAAATTTGAAACTATAATAAATAATAAAATTGAATTAAATTAAAAATCAGGTTTTGGCAAATTTAGTTTCAAAGTAACAATAACGTGTTATCTAATTTATTTAAACATGAGTATGGGAGTAATATCCACTGGCTTTATACTACCAGCAGCTGCTTGTGATCTTGAAATGAATACCGCTGACAAAAGTTTATTAAGCTCAGCATTTTTCATTGGTAAAAATGGAAATTATATTTTTATTAATAATAACCAATTACTAAATGAAAATTAAAAATTTGAAAAACAAAACAAAAAAAAATAGAAATAAAATAAATAACTAAATAAATTTCTAAATAAGAGAAAAAAAATATATAATTGTTTTAAAAGAATTTAATTCATTTAATTTTAATTTGAAAGAATTTTAATTCGAATTTAATTTTAATTTAAAAGAATTTTAATTCATTTTATTTTAATTTTAATTTGAAAGAATTTTTTTTTTCATTTAGGTGCTTGTTTTAGTGCAGTGATTAGTGGATTTTTGGCAAATCTGAAAGGTCGCAGATGGACTTTACTGATGTCATTATTTCTCCAAGGATTCTCTGATTTTTTGCAATCAATTTTATCCAATTATTGGATTATTTTTGGATTGAAATTTTTATCTGGTGCTGGGTAATAGGTTTTTTTCTGTAAACTCTCATAATTTTTTTCCTATTTTTTTTTCGTCTCTATTTTTATTTATTTCTTTTATTATATTTTTTTTATTTTATCTTTATTCGTTTTTATTTATTTTTTATTTATTTGTATTTATTTCTTTTTATATATTTCTTTTTTATCTATTTATATTTGTATTGATTTATTTTTATTTTTGTTATTTATTACGTTTTATTTTCTCTTTATATTTACTTTTATTTTCCGTTTATTTAAATAAATAAGATCATTCAAATATTATTAATTTTTCTTGATTTGATAAATTTATTTATTTATTCAATTATTTATTTATTTATTTAAAATTTAAATATATGATAAACAGATCGGCTGGACAGAATATTGCCTTCACTTATTTGGGCGAATGTTTGCCATTGAAAAATAGGAATTTTTTATTATCAAATATGGAGTACTTTTGGATTTTTGGACATGCTTTTGCAGCAGGTAATTTTATTCTAATTTAAAACGAATACCTACTATTTAAAAAAAAAATTTTTTTTTATTGTTTTAAAATTATATTATAATTATTATTTTTCATTTGAATTCAATTATAGCTATTGGACTAGCTATCATTCCACAACAATTTTTCATCAAAAAATTGATTTTTTCCTTTCACTCTTGGAATCTCTATATTTTAATTTGTTCATTGCCTGCAATTTCTCTTGGATTTTGTTTAATATTTTTGCCTGAAACGCCAAAATATTTGGCTGAAATGGGATTAAGAGAGCAATTATTGCAAGTTCTCGTCAATATGTACGAACAAAATGTTGGAAAATCAGGAAAATTGTATGTGGTAAGCGAAATATATTTATAAGAAAATTTCTTGTTATAAAATTTTAATATATTCAAAATTATTTTTTATATTATTCAACTTCTAGAGTCAAATTATTGTAAAATAATGTTGTTGTTTAGTAAAATAATAATTTTGGTTGTTTTATTTTCATTTATATTATTGTTTACAACAAATAATAAAATAACAATCTTAGAACCAAAGAAACAATAAAATTCATTATATATAAGATGTTTTTGTTTTTTGGATTGTAATAATTTAGGTAGATGTTGATTTGTTAACCCAATAAAATTCATTGTTATTAAATAAATAATTGTATTAAGTTTAAATAAATAAACAATAATTGCATATTTTGTTAAAATCTTTTCTTTTTATTTATATAATTTAATTATAAATAATTAGAATTATTTATTTATTTAAATTGAATCAAGTTATTTATTTATTAAAATAGAATAAATAATTGTGTTCAATTGCAATAAATAATTATTTTTTATCCAAAACTGAATACGATTATTTATATATTAATATTAATATAAAATAAACAATTGTATTAAATTACAATAAATAATTATTAGTTATTTAGTGAAACTTAAAATTAATTAGGAATGATAACTAACTATTAAAAACGAAACAATGCTATTATTACTGTAAACAATTTTTCGCAATTTTTCAGGAAAAATTATTGAGTAGTGGAAATGAAAAACTTAAAGAATTGGTACAAAATAATAAAGAAGAAAAAATGGAGAATTCGGAAAAATTAATTACAAGGATAATTAATCAACTGAAACAATTGAAATTTATTTTTAAACCGACAATTTTAAAAACTACTTTACTCGCATGTATCACTGCATTTACAGTAACATCAACTTATTACGTATTTTATCTCTGGTTGCCAGAAATTTTTCAGAGATTCGCAAAATTTGAAGCTGGTAATAATGAAGAATTATCCACTTTTTGTAAAATTTCAAGTGATTCTTCATCAACTGAAAATATACTAAAGGTAGAATGCATAATTTTTTGTTTCTTCTCTTTTTTCTATTTATTGTTAAATAAATAATATTTATATTTATTTTTTCATTATTTGATTCATTAAAAAAATTTATTCAATGAATTATTATATTTTTAGCACGTCTGTGACACGCCAATTGATAAAAAAGTATTCGTGAACAATTTAATATTGTGTGCATCTTGTTTTCCCACAATTATCATAATTACATTGTTAGTCAAACATTGTGGATTAAAAATATTATTAGGTAAAATATTTATTTTTATTACTTATATTGATAATAACTACTCATTTTTATTATTTTACTGTAACTATTATTACTTGATATTTTCTTTTTCGTAGACAAAGGATTTTATTTTTAAATTTATTGTTATTATTTATATTATTAATTATTAATTCATTAATTATTATTAATTATCACATGAAAATAAAGAGTTAAAATTTAATTAAACAATTAAAAATTTATTTTTAACTATTTATTTTCATTTAATTAATTTACATTATATTATTTAATTAATTTACATATGGCTCAAAAAATTTCTGAAGCGTGCCACTAATTTTTCGATAGAGATATTTTTTTATTTCATATTAATAATTTTATAGTATTTTCGTACCATAATATGACCCCAAAGTTGTTTTTGCAAAATTTTAATTTTTTCAAGAGTTATTGTTTAAACAATTTTTAAGCATCAAATTATTAAAACATTTTTTTCTACCATTCTATTTGGTTTCTTTTTGCGTTTACTTTTTTTATTTAAGTTCATTTAAAGAATATATGTCCTCCATGTTTAAGAAATAACTTATTTAAATTGTTATAAACATTTTCAATTAACAAATAGTTAACTTTTGTTCCTCTTCAACAAAAAACCTTTTTTCCACGTTTATTTTTTTATTTAGGTTCATTTAAACAATATATATTCTCCTTGTTTAAGAAATAACTTATTTACATTGTTAAAAACAATATTAATTAACAAATAGATAACTTTGATTCCTCTCTATTAAAAAATCTTTTTCTTCACGTGTATTTTTTTATTTAGGTTCATTTAAAAAATATAAGAATGTTAGTATAAGTACTTATTTGAAGTTCACAGCCTATTTAAAATAAGTACTTATACTTTCATTCACTACTCATTTCAAATTTTATTAAAATCCATCAAATAGAATGGTAGAAAAAAATGTTTTAATAATTTGATGCTTAAAAATTGTTTAAACAATAATTCTTGAAAAAATTAAAATTTTGCAAAAACAACTTTGGGGTCATATATTATGGTACGAAAATACTATAAAATTATTAATATGAAATATAAAAATATCTCTATCGAAAAATTAGTGGCACGCTTTAGAAATTTTGAGCCATATTCGATTTATTTACAGCTTCATGTTGCCTATTATGTGCGACCATTATTGTTGGTATTTATTTTTCAAATTCATTTCTTCAAAATTTAATTTTGTTATGTATCTATCTATCACTATCATCCACGAGCATGACTCTTCAGTTTGCATACTTCGTTACAATTTTTCCTACGAATCTCAGGTATTTATTATTTTATTATTATTATTATATTATTATTTTTATTATTATTATATTATATTTTTTATTTATTTTATTGTACATTTCATTTTTTGTATTATTTAATTGAGAATTTTAATTTTTAATTTACAGATCGTCAGGTATAATTGTTACTAGTTTATTTGTTCGTGCAGGAGCAATGTTTGGCAATTTTACTTTCAGTTTACTTAAAGATGAATGTCTCTATTTTATATTATTAGTATGCTTATTACTAATAGGTAAGTGTTATTTTTAACTGAAGTGCAATTATTATGTGGATTATTTTTTTTTTTTAATTTTACGTTTCTAAATTTATTTTTATAATTATTTCAGTTGCTGCAGTATCAACAATTTCAATTCGCGAAAGAAAAGATTTATAGAAAAGAAAAATATTGATTAATTGAATTAAAATTTAAGCTATAAGTACTTTATATTAATATTGTTATTACTGAATATATTTTTTTTATAATAAAAAATTGTTTATAAAAAGAAATATTGTAATTTTTTTTATTATTAATTGCATATATTATTAAATTAGTAAGTAATAAATGTTTTTGCTACAATAAATATTTTTTTGTAAATGAAGAATAAAACGAAAAAAATTATTTTAGAATGAAAAACAGGAGAAATTTTCCTTTTTTATTAAAAAATACAAAAGAAGTATTTTTTATTAAAAAATATAAAAGAAGTAGGATATTTTTTTATTAAAAAATACAAAAAAAGTATTTTTTATTAAAAAACAAAAAAGAATTTTTTTTTTACTAAAAAAACGTGATAGAGGAAACACGAGAAATTTTTTCTATTCCAAAACACATTCACAAAAAAAGAAGATAAAAAAATTTTACTACGCGTATTCAAATTATTTAATAATAATATTAATAAATTACAATTGACGTAAATTTCTTAGTGCCCACGAGATAAATACATACATAATATTGCATAACGCCGCATGAAAAATATCTGTACAATAAATTTCGAGTTTAAAAAATTTAAATATATTTTAAATATTCTCCGCATTATATTAATATAATAACCGACTTCAATACTAAAGCTTATGTTATTATTGTGCTTAGTTAACTTGTCAGTAAGTGTTGTAAACAGCCATTAAAAGTCTCTTTTAATAACCATCACATAATGTCCAGTAAGTTTTAATTTGCCAATCTATACAATATAAAAATAATTGAGAATTACCTGTTGTAATTTATTTCTTTATTTATTTTTTTGTAAATAAACTTTTAAAAATATGGTTTTAAATATTAGACTCAAGAATAGAGGAATCTGTTGTCGATATGGCTGTCGACGAAACCGGTGAGTTGTTTTTGTCTCAATAAATTTATATGACGGGAAAAAAAATTTACTTAAATTTGTTATATTTAGATTTTAGTTAAATCTGTAGTGTGCAAGAAAAACTGAAAATCCACATTTGGAGAATAGTAAACAAATTTTTTTTAGTAGTAAAATTATTGTAGTCAAAATTGTTTTATAAGTGATAAAATTATTGTCGTAACATTATTGTAGTAAAAATGATTTTTTATTTCTAAAACCATTGTAGTAAAATTATTATAGTCAAAATTGTTTTATTAGAAGCAAAATTATTGCAGTAATACTATTGTAGTAAAAATTGTTTTTCAGTATAGTAAAATTATTGTAGTCAAAATTGTTTTTAAGCAAAATTATTGCAGTAATACTATTGTAGTCAAAATTTTTTTTAGTTCTTTAGTGGCAAAATTATAGCAAAAAAAAAAAAAAATATTATTTTTCTAGTGATAAAATTATTGCAGTGAAAATTATTTTTTAGTAACGAATTATTGTAGTAAAATTTTTTAGTGATAAAATTATTGACGTAATTTTGTTTTAGTAAAAATGATTTTTTAGCTCCAAGACTATTGTAGTAAAAAGATTATAGTTAAAATTGTTCTTTAGTGTCAATATTATAGTAGTAAATATTATTTTTCTGTCAATAAAATTATTGCAGTAAAAATTATTTTTTAGTAACGAATTATTTTAGTCAAAATTGTTTTACTAGAAGCAAAATTATTGCATTAATACTGTTGTAGTAAAATAGTTGTAGTCAAAATTTTTTTTAGTAGTAAAATGATTGCAGTAAAAATTATTTTCTACTAACCAATTATTTTATTAAAATTTTTAAATAATAAAATTATTGTTGTAACATTATTGCAGTAAAAATGATTTTTTATTTCTAAAACTATTGTAGTAAAATGATTGTAGTCAAAATGGTTTTATAAGAAGCAAAATTATTTCAGTAATACTATTGTAGTAAATATTGATATTTAGTAGTAAATTATTGTAGTCAAAATTATTTTATTAAAAGCAGAACTGTTGCAGTAATACTATGGAAGTAAAATGATTGTAGTTAAAATTGTTTTTTAGTAGTAAAATTATTGTAATAAAAATTGTTTTATTAGAAGCAAAATTATTGCAGTAAAATTGTTTTATTAGTGATAAAATTATTGTCGTAACATTAATGCAGTAAAAATGATTTTTTGGTTCCAAAACTATTGTAGTAAAATTATTATAGTTAACATTGTTCTTTAATGTCAAAATTATAGTAGTAAATATTATTTTTCTGGTGATAAAATTATTGCAGTAAAAATTATTTTTTAGTGACGAATTATTGTAGTCAAAATTTTTTTATTAGAACCAAAATTATTGCATTAATACTATTGCAGTAAAAATTTTTTTTAGTAGTACAATTATTGTAGTAAAAATTGTTTTTAGTAACTAAATATTTTAATAAAATTTTTTAGTGATAAAATTATTGACGTAATTTTGTTTTAGTAAAAATGATTTTTTAGTTCCAAAACTATTGTAGTAAAATGATTATAGTTAAAATTGTTCTTTAGTGTCAAAATTATAGTAGTAAATATTATTTTTCTGGTTATAAAACTATTGCAGTAAAAATTATTTTTTAGTAACGCATTATTTCAGTAAAATTTTTTTGTGATAAAATTATTGTCGCAACTTTATTGTAGTAAAAATGATTTTTTAGTTCCAAAACTATTGTAGTAAAATGATTGTAATTAAAATTCTTAGTTAATGGTAAAATTATAGTAGTAAATATTATTTTTTTCTAATGGTAAAATTATTGTAGTAAAATGTTTGCAGTAAAAATTATTTTTTACTAATGAATTATTGTAGTACAAAATTTTTTAGTGATTAAATTATTGTAAAAAAAGTTATTTTTTAGTGGTAAATTATTCTAGTAAAAATTTCATCGATAGTGGTAAAATTATAGTATAGTAAAATTTGTTTTTCGTAAAATTACAGTCCATAAAAATTGTTTTTCGTAAAATTTTGCTCTTTTTCAAAAATTAGGTTTTGGAAAATTCAGTATAAAAATCACAATCATATGCCTCCTAATTTATTTAAATGCCAGTCTAAGTATCGTCAGTACTGGTTACATGCTTCCGGCGTCGTCATGTGACTTCAAAATGACGTTATTCGACAAAGGATTATTACTCACTTCATTTCTTATAGGTAATTAGAATTACAATTCTTCTCTATTTGCAGTCATTGAAAAGATAAATATTCATTCAGAAAAAAAAAGAATAATATAAACATATAGACATATATATGGAAATTACTAGTTTCTAACAACTAACAAAGAAAGTGTAAATATAAAAAATATTAGGTTCTTGTTTCAGTCCTGTCATTTGTGGCTTTTTATTTAATTACAAAGGAAGAAAATGGACACTACTGCTAACACTATTTTTTCAAGGAACTGCGGATTTTTTAATTCCAATTTTTCCCAATTATTGGATATTAATGATATTGAAATTTTTTTCCGGTTTCGGGTAAATACGAGCTATTAAATTCATTATATTACTTAATGAAATTTGTGGTAATTTATTGATAACGTAAAGTTAAATGTGAATATATTTTAGATTTTATTCATATCTGGGCATTTGAATAATTTTTAATAATCATGGATTTTTAATCAATAATTTAAATAAGATTAAAATTTCTAAATAGAAAATTTTAATAGATAAAAAGTTTTTATCTTTTTTCAAAACTAAATTGTTTGATCTTATCTTTAAAATTATTAAATAACAGGCCTCGGACTGAATTTAGAAATGAAAAAAATATCAAAAGTCTGATAAAATGTTCGTTTTATTAATTTTTCCAGTAAATAAATTGTTTTTTAAAAATTCGGTTTTGAAATAGTAGTACCATTAGTGAATTTTTGAACAAAATAAGTATAATTATTAATTTGAATTTTCCCAGAATTTTTCACGAAACAATTGTCAAATTGTTAAATTTATTTTTCTATAATTGAGTGCTTGGATACAACAAGGGGACGTACGCTCGGCGAGCCGCTTTAAAGTCAGTCAAAGGTACCGTAAAGTGTAAAAAATAAAAATTCAAAATTTTGAATTTTAAAAACTGCCATCTCATAGGAAATAGAAATGCGCATCTTTTTTTCCTTTGAAATTTCTTTAAATAATTAATATTTTTATATGATAATGGAAAAAATGTGATTAATTTTCATTGTCAAATTTCATTGAATTTTAAAATATAAATCGTCGTATCTCCGACAAAAATGAATGAATTCTTTTGATTTTTGGTATACAAATGCATTTGGACCTGTAGAAGACGACAATATCACGAAAATGTTAAAAGTAATTAATTGTTTATTGATTTTTAATTGTTAATACTGACCGGTCAAAAATAATTTTTTCTTATCTTTGGCTGCAAAAAGTATGCGGGGAACTTTAAAATTCAAACAACTTCCAGTGAGACATTTGTTTATTACGATGTAAAGAAGTTTTCTGTAAAATTGCAGAAAGATTAGTTTTATATTTACAGAAATACAATAGTTTTAAGAAAAATGCTCGCGCCGCCAACGATCCCTACCGCACAGATTTTAAGGTTAGTTGCACGGTAAAGTTTTATTTACATATAAATACATATATGTGTGTAATATTTGCATTGAATTATTTATTAACTATTACATACTATATATACAACATAGGTATAAACTTTCAATAATTTTGTAAAACATTATGTATATAAATATAAATATTACAAATAATTCTAGCAGTATATTTAATTAAATTAAGATTATTTCTGATATTTATTTTTGTTAGTATATCGTTTATTTACAACTCAATTTTTATCGACTCTATAATGTATTAAAACTATTATTTAATATGCTGTAACAACACTTAATGTCCTTTTTAATAACATATTATACGTTAAATCTAGCATAATCTAATAATATCTATTAAAATATAATAGTTCAAAATATCACAATTGTCAAAAATTGTTTAAAATAAAAATTTTTTCCAGTTTTTAAACAATAACATTGACATCTATAAACGTTTTAAAAATTTTATAATATTTAAAATAAAAACATTTCTTTTAACACAGATATTAATCTTAATTTAATTAAATACTGCTAAAATTATTTATAATATTTATATTCATATACATAATGTTTTACAAAATTATTGAAAGTTTATACCTATGTTGTATATATAGTATGTAATAGTTAATAAATAATTCAATGCAAATATTACACACATATATGTATTTATATGTAAATAAAACTTTACCGTGCAACTAACCTTAAAATCTGTGCGGTAGGGATCGTTGGCGGCGCGAGCATTTTTCTTAAAACTATTGTATTTCTGTAAATATAAAACTAATCTTTCTGCAATTTTACAGAAAACTTCTTTACATCGTAATAAACAAATGTCTCACTGGAAGTTGTTTGAATTTTAAAGTTCCCCGCATACTTTTTGCAGCCAAAGATAAGAAAAAATTATTTTTGACCGGTCAGTATTAACAATTAAAAATCAATAAACAATTAATTACTTTTAACATTTTCGTGATATTGTCGTCTTCTACAGGTCCAAATGCATTTGTATACCAAAAATCAAAAGAATTCATTCATTTTTGTCGGAGATACGACGATTTATATTTTAAAATTCAATGAAATTTGACAATGAAAATTAATCACATTTTTTCCATTATCATATAAAAATATTAATTATTTAAAGAAATTTCAAAGGAAAAAAAGATGCGCATTTCTATTTCCTATGAGATGGCAGTTTTTAAAATTCAAAATTTTGAATTTTTATTTTTTACACTTTACGGTACCTTTGACTGACTTTAAAGCGGCTCGTCGAGCGTACGTCCCCTTGTTGTATCCAAGCACTCAATTATTAACTTATTTATAAAAAGTAACTAAATAAAAAATGTAAATTACAAAAAAAACCCGAGGTTTGAAATAAATTTGCGGACTATGAGAGAGATATTTTGAAGTATTTTCAGAAAAAAAATTGAAAAATCCTTTCTGACAGTTGATATAAATTTTTATGTGTAAAAAATATTATTTTCTATATTTAACAGAGGAGCGGGACAATTATTTATTTTCACTTATATGGGTGAATGTTTACCCTCAAAGCAAAGAGATATTCTTATGTCTTTAATGGAATTATTTTGGATTATTGGAGATGCTCTTGCCTGTTGTAAGAAAATTAAAATTTTGCAAAAAACAAAAAAATTGTTTTCTTTTGAATTTAGAAAAAAAATTTCTTTTTTTCATTTTAGCATTAGGTATGGGTATTCTTCCCTTAAATATTGACATTCGGATAAATTCATATTTTTTTCGTTCTTGGAGTCTCTATATTTTGATTTGTTCAACATTAGCAATTTCTCTAGGATGTTGGCTATTATTTTTGCCTGAAACACCGAAATATTTGGCTGAAATTGGTTCTAGGGAAGAATGTCTCTTTGTTCTAAAGGATATGTACAAACAAAATACCGGCAAATCAGGAAAAGAATATTTAGTAAGATTTAAATTTTTAATTTTTAATTTTAACTTTTTGTTTATTTTTAATTTATGTTTATTTTCTTATTTTTTTAAAATTCTATTTTACATAAAAAAAAATGTTTACAAAAGTTATATAATAATTTATTATCTAATTTACATTAATTTCATTAATTTTATTGAAAAAAAAAATTTTTTTTCCAGGAAAAATTAATGAACAGTGGAAAAATTCCATTAATGGAATTAGTGAATAATAGTTATAAGAGTTTTCCAGAAAAAATTGAAAAACCTCTGATCGGTGAACAAATTATCCTTCAACTAAGGGAGATAAAAAAAATATTGAAACCGCCATTTTTGAAAAATACTTTTTTAGCATGCCTTATTGGATTCAGCATTAATTTCTCCTATGATGCATTTTATATTTGGTTTCCAGAGATATTTCAACGTTTTTCTGAATTTCAGTCGAAAAATACAAGTGCAAATTTGAAATTTTGTTCAATTTCAAATGATTTTATCAATGCAGGTGAACAATTGGTAATAACCATTTTTTTTCAATATTTAAACATCACGTCTGACTGCCTTTACAATAAGTATAAAAAATTTTTCTTTGATTTTAATTAGGAGAATGATACTTTTGAATGCAACAGTCCAATAGATACTCAAGTATTCATGACAAATTTATTATTATGTGCCTCATGTGCTCCCGCAGTATTTCCACTTTTACTTCTTGTCAATCGTTTCGGATTTAGAACTTTATTAAGTAAGGACTGCTTTCCAATTAAGTACTAATTAATTTTTTTTATTAATTAAAGTTAAAATAGTTTTATTATTATTTACAGTTATTTTTATTACTATTGTAATTATTATTAGTATTGCTTTGAACAATATAATTAAGTTAGTTAAAGTTTTATAGTTTTAATTTTTAATTTTATGTAACTAATTTAATTTTTTAATTAATCCTACTAATTAATTACTAGTTAATTATTAATAAATAAGAGAAATTACAAATTATTGCAGAAATTCAATTATCTTAAAAAATTTTACATAATAATTCTCGTCAAAATTTCAATTGTTTTTAAAAATAATAAAATTATTTTCCGAAATTCAATTATTTTCAAAAAATTCCATAAAATTATTGGCAAAATTTTAATTATTTTCAAAAATTTTTCTGAATTGAATGATTTTTATATCTATTATTTTAATAAAATTTTCCAAAGAATTAAATTTATTTAAAAAAAATTGAATAAAATTCTACGCAAACCATTAATTATTTTCATAAAATAATAAAAATTTTACAGGGATTCAATTATTTTCGTAAATAATAAAATTCTTTTTAGGAATTCAATTATTTTCGTAAATAATAAAATTCAATGCTGAATTTCAATTAGTTTCAATAAAATTTTAAGGGAATTTGTTCGAAAAGTGTAATTATTCTTAAAACTTTTATATTAAAATTCGTCGAAAGAATTCAATTATTCAAAAATTTATTGATAAAATTCTTTATGAGAATTTAATTTTGAGAAACATTCATAGTTATTCAATAAATTATTTATTTTTGTATTTAATTCATTGTAAAATAAAGAAATAAATAAATAATTGAATTCCCGTAGATTTTTCTCATAAAAAATGATTTAAAAATGAATTTTACTTAAAATTTTAGATTATAATTAAACATTAAAAGGATTATAACGTGAATTTTTAGAAATAATTGAATTTTGAAAATTTTTCATATTAAAATCTTTGAAAATTTTAATTTTTCATACAATTAACTAACAATTCTGTAGAAGAATTAGTTATTTTGAAAAAGTTTATTTCAAATTTTACTTGAAATTATATTTTTCAAGTTTTTATTTTCTAATACGTAAATTTAATAGAAGAATTTTCGAATAATAGAAATTTTGTAAAATTGAATTGTAAACAAATGAATTTAAAAATTCTTAAAGAATCTCAAAGAAAAATTCTTCTCCGAAATCCAATTATTTTCAAAAATTTTAATTATTTTTAAAAATTTTCCTGATAATTCAATGATTTTGAAATCTACTATTTTTATAAAATTTTCCAAAAGAATTCAAATATTTACAAATTTCCTATAAATTACTTCGGAATAATTCAACTATTTTCATAAATAATAAAATTTTTGCAGAGATTTTTTTATTTTCGTAAATAATAAAATTTAATTATTTTCATAAATAATAAAACTCATTGCCGAATTTCAATTATTTTTAATGAAAATTTTAATCAAGTTTCTCGAAAAATGTAATTATTCTTAAAAATTTTATATAGAAATTCGTCAAGAAAATTCAATTATTCAATTAATTATTTTTTTGTATTTAAATAATTGAATTCTAGTAGAATTTTCAAATAAAAATTTATTTAAAAATGATTTTTACTTTAAATTTTACATAATAATTGAATATTATTAGCATTTTTGTATAAATTTTTAGAAATAATTGATTTTTGAAAAGGTTTTATTTTAAAAATTGGCAAAGTTTGAATTATTTTCCAATATTTTCTTCAATTAAATTATTTTCAAATCTACTATTTTAATACAATTTTCTAAAAGAATTCAATTATTTAAAATAAATTTTACTAAAATAAATTAATTAATTTTCATAAATAATCAAATTATTTTTTAGGAATTAAATTATTTTTTATTTAAATAATCAAACTCGTGGCAAAATTTCAATTATTTTTAATACAATTTTAATCAAATTTCTCGAAAAATGTAATTATTCGTAAAAATTTTATTAAAATTCGTCAAAAGAATTCAATTAGGTATTTAAAAATTTATTGATAAAAATTTATGAGAATTCAATTTTAAGAAACATTCAATTATTCAATAAATTAATTATTTTTGTATTTAAATAATTGAATTCTCGTAGAATTTTCTAATAAAAATTGATTTAAAAATTATTTACAGATAAAAATTTTAGATAATAATTAAATATTAAAATACAATGTGGCGAGAATTTTTAGATATATTTTAATTTTGAAATTAATTTTTTTGAAAATGTTTAATTAGATTTTTTTTTATATTATTTGAAGTTTTTATTTTCTAATACGTAAATTTAATAGAAGAATTTACGAATAATTGAAATTTCGTAAAATTGAATATTGTGAACAAATGAATTTGAAAAGTCTCAAAAAGAACTTTTTTCGAAAATTAATTGATTTAAAGAAGAATTTTAGTTAAAAATTCTAGAAAATAATTTTGAAGATGTATTATATTCTTATAATATAAAATAATGATTTTATCAGTGATAGCCCTGTACTTACTGGTTAATTAACTAATTACTAGTTAATAAATTAATTACTTTTTTCTAGGTAACTAATTAATTATCAATTACAAGTTTTATTAGTTACTTAATTATTCACTAATTACTAGATAATTAACTAATTACTAATTACTATTTAATTAAGTGTTAATTAATTTATTATTTTTATTACTATTCTAATTATATTTATTAATATTATTTATTTATTATTTATTATCTTTTATTTGTTTAATTTATTTTACATTATTTTTTTTATTTTCAGTCATACATTGTTCACTGTGCTCGGTCCTGATTCTCGCTCTTTATTTTGTAAACTCATCTCTTCACATTTTAATCATATTGTGCATCTACGTACCACTGATCTCAACGAGCGTAACAATGTCAAATGCACTTTTTGTTCACATTTTCCCCACAACACACAGGTTAGGAAAAATAATTATTGTTAAAAATTTTTTTTATTTTTAAGAAAGAAGTTCAAAAAAAAAAAAAATTTTTTTTTCTGTTCTAGATCATCAGGAGTTGCTCTAACATCAATGGCATGTCGTATTGGTGCTATATTTGGCAATATGGCATTTACTTATCTCATAGATAGTCGTTGTTTTATTTATATTATTCTAATAACTCTGCAACTTGTCGGTGAGTATTTAATAAAAAATAATTGTAAAATTATATTTTTATTTTGATTGATTTTTTTTTATTTACGTTTTTAGTTGGAGCGATATCAACATTGCTAATTCGCGAGAGAAAGGATACATAATGAAATTAATCGATTTAGCATCTTAATTTATTATTCAATTACATAAGTTTATAAAATTTATATTAATTTTTACTTCACGCACTGAGAATGATTTTTTTACTTGAAAAAATTGTTATTTTTTAATAAAAAGAAAATTAAAAATTAATTTTTTCCTTTTTTGTTTACTGTATATTGTTTGTGAACCAAAAAATACATGTAACAATTAAAAAATTTATACATAATTCAAATTAATAAATAATAGGTAATGAAAATGTGAGAAATAAACTATTTTAACGTAAATTAAATTAAATAATGTAAAAATAATATAAAAATAAATAAAATATAAAATAATGAAAAATATATTAAATCAGTAAAAGAAAAAATAGAAACATAAAAAAATAATTTGCATTGAGTTAAATAAATATAATGGCATTAAAGAAATATTTATTATATTTTTCGTCTAGTAAATATTTATTTATAATTTATATTTTTTTATTTCTATTCTTTTATCTCTTCAATTGTGCACTGAAAAAAATTTCTTTCTTTCTAATAAAAATGATATATAACAAAATAAATATTTGTCTAGAATCAAATAAATATTTACTTGAATCAAATCATTTTTATTCAAATCAATTAAACAGGGTTTATTTGCTTAAAAATAATAAATTCAAATACAATTTATTTTAAATAAAATTTGATTCAAATAAAAATTATTTGATTCATAATTAATATTTATCTGATTCAAGTAAATATTTACTTGATAATAGACGAGAAATTTTTTACTTGAATCAAATAAATTTTTTTTTGCAGTTTATTTTTACGATGTTTAATACGTTTTTTCTCAAGTAATACCAGATGATGTTTGTTAATGAAAATAGTTTCTATTATTATTAATGATAAATAACAATGTATAATGAATGAATAATGACATAGTAACAGTAATTATAACAAAATATACATAAATATTATTTTTCTCATTATATCAATAAGAAATAAATAAATCTTTTTCTCTAAAATAAAATATTTTTGATGAAAAAAATAAACAAAATAGATAAAAAATTAATGTTAATTAATTGTAATTTTCTCTTCCTATCTTTTTTGCATAAGAGAAAAACATTCACGCGTTCTTTTTCCCTCCCAAGTTCTTTATATTATCAGAGGAATTAATTTCTCGGAATTGCAAAAAAAAGGAAAAAAAAACTCGTTTTTCATTTAACACAACATAGTAACAATATTATTGTGACATAATACATTGATTCTGCGCAAAGGGAGAAGAAAAAATACTTGTTTTTTTTTGTAATTAAAAAAAAAGAAACAAAATAAAAAAAAATTACGGCAGATAGAAAGATTTCTTGTTCAGTTAAGTGTGTGTATTCAAATTAGAAGAGTATGCATTGAATAATTTTTTTCTTCACAATGAAAGTTTGAAAAAAAATTTTGTTTGCTTTTTATAATAAGAATAAGATTTTGGAAAATTTTTTTTTTATTTTGCTGATGAAATGGAATTTGACAGAAAGGAAAAGACAACTTCATTCACTGTTATCGGTCCACCAATTTTGCCAATAAGTGTTATATCATCGACGGAAATTGAAAATTCATCGTTGGGGAAAAATGAAGGTTAATTTATTAATCAATTAATTAGTTTTATTTTATTCGTACTATCACTGCGCATAGGAAATTCTGTTAAATTAATAAATTAATTTATAAAAATAATTAAAAAGTAAAAATAAATAAATAAATAAAATTAAATATTAATGAAAATTTTATTTATTTATTTTCTAAAAAAAAAGAAATTAAAAAATTATTTTTAAACAGTAATTAATAATAATTTTGTTTTCTTTTTTACAAACAGCGTAAAAGTAAAAAAAAGTTGGACTACAAAATTATTAAACTTCAAATAACTTATTAAAGAAAATTTTGTAATAGTTAAAAAAAATTATTCTTATCTTATTAGTGTTTTGAAAAAAAAAAATTTTTTTTCGTTTATGTAATTATTTTTAAAATGTTCACTCACCTGTGAGTAAAGTTTATAAAAAATTGATAAGAAATAAACAGGTTTACCGATCTTTGCCCAACTTATACAAATTTATTTCTTAAATTTAAACTAAATGTCCTCAGTATTATAAAAATAAAGAATGAGTGAGTATTATTCAATTTAAACATAAAAAATTTAATAATAAATAATAAGTAAAAATTAGAAAAAGAAAAAAAAATTTTTGACTGTTTTTGCAAATTAAAATGAAGAAATGTTTAATGAATGAAAAATGATGGATATATTTATTTAATTTAGATACAAGGACAGAAGAAGAAGTAGTTGAATTGGCTATCAATGAAACTGGTGAGAATTTATTATTTCATTGCATTTCATTAATATTTATCCTAAAATTTTAATCATTGAAGTAAATAAAAAAATTTCTTTTTCGTTCAAAAATTAAAATTGAAATTACTGTAATAAAATTATAAACAAATTACTATAATTAATTATTATTAGAAATTAATCCATTTCATCCTCTTTCAGAATCTGCAAAAAAATTATCTTTTGACTTAAAGTTAAATATTTATAATTGTTTAAACAAAATAAACAACCTTATAAACAAATTCAGAATTAGTAACAAATGAAAGTGAAAAGTTATCATTTTTTTCTATTTGAATCTTGAAACTAAAATTTACCTACTAATATTTTTCAATAAAGTCATAAATAATTGTTGTAAACAAAATTTATTGTTAATAAATAATTTGTTTACAACAATTGTTTATAGTTTTGTTAAAAAATACTAAGAATTAAATTTAAGTTTCAAGATTTATTAATCCTATATAGTTAAAAGAATAGTGGAAGATAAAACGATTTTTTTTCATACTTAATTGTTGTTAATATTTATTCACAACACTTTGTTTACAACAATTGTTTAAAATTTTATTAAAAAATATTAATAGGTAAATTTAAGTATCAAGATTCAATAATCCTATAGAAAAAAATATCGAAAGAGAAGAGTAATCTTTTCAATTTTATTTGTTGCTAATTCGGAATTTGTTTATAAATTTGTTACACAATTTTCATCTCAAAGATTCTTTTAGAAAACTGTAAAAAAAAATCGGTGGAGGAAGGAACTAATTTTTTCAGCTTCAATTGTTCTCAATTCTTAATTTGTTTGTAAAATTATTTCTAACATTGTTAAATAATAATATTAAACAAGTTTTAACTTCAACATTCATTGTCACTAAAAAAATAAGAGCGATATGAATAAAAAAAATGTTTTTCGATAATATTTGTGTCTTTCAAATAATAATTTGTTTTTAAAAATTTTAAATACATAGTTTAAAGTATTGTTAAATATTAGTAATAAAAATATAATACAATATTAGTAGTAAAATTTTGTATTTTGTTATTTCAAATTCTTTCTGAAGCGATTTCAAATCGAAAATATAATTTCAATGAAATTCTCTTTTGTCCTATTTTTGTTTAAACAATCTTAACTTTTTATCCTTAAGTCAAAAGTTAAATTTTCTTATGTAGATTCTAAAATTGGACAGAAAAATACATAATAAACTCAATATATTTTTAGCCCACAATTTTTTTTTATTTTAAACTATAATTTAAATTAATTTTTTTAATTGCAAAGAGTTGTTTGTTAATAAAATTCGAATAATGTATTTTTTTTAGTCTAATTATAGTAAATTATGAAAAAAATTTATTTTTGTTTATTCTATTTTATTTTTAGTTTATGATCCATAACTTCCGAACGTTCAAATGAACGGAATTTTTTGCGAATATAAATATTTTCAAAAAATACAAATTGTTATAAAAAACAAAAATAAAATTAAATATTTAGGATCTTTATAATTTTTTTTTTTAATATTTGACGCAATTCCAATATAATTGGAATTTGAAGAAGAAATAAATAAATTTCGTTCATTTGAACGTTCAGAACTTTAGGGACTTTTTTTTTCTTTTTGTTTTATAGAAAATTATTTGTTGCAAAAAAAAAATGTAAATTTTAATTTATTTTAAAATGCAGGTTTTGGAAAGTTCAATATAAAAGTAACAGTAATATGCTTTCTAATTTATTTAAATATTAGTCTAAGTACAGTAAGTACTGGCTTTGTACTTCCGGCAGCTGCATGTGATCTGCAAATGAGTACTGTTGATAAAGGATTATTGAGCAGTTCATATTTTATAGGTATAGATTTTTTTTTGTGTTTAAAATCAGAATTTAAAAATTTTTGAATGTTTATATTTAAAAATAAAAATTTGATTATTAAAATAGCAATTATATAATAAACAAATTAATAATTATTTTAAACAATCAGGTTCTTGTTTTAGTGCATTGATTTGTGGATTTTTAGCCAATTTAAAGGGTAGAAAATGGCTTCTAATAGTTTCATTGTTCCTTCAAGGAAATGCCGATTTACTGCAATCAATTGTCTCCAATTATTGGATAATAATGGGATTGAAATTTATATCCGGTTTTGCGTAATTATACAAATTATTAATTTTTTTTCACTTCACAAGAAAAACGATTTTATTTTCTATTCATCAAGAGTTAAACATTATTTTGATATTTAAAAAAAAATATTTTTATATTTTCTAAAATTGTATTTTTATATTTTTGAAAAATAGTATTTTCATATTTTTCTAAAATATTATTTTTATATTTTTGAAAAATATATTTTTATACTTTTGAAAAATATATTTTTTTAAATTTTTTAAAATATTATTTTTACATTTTCGAAAATTATATTTTTATATTTATTAAAATATTATTTTTATATTATCGAAAATGGTAATTTTATAATGTTTTTTTTATTATTTTCTATATTTATTTCTTTAAACATTTTCTGTAGGTACTAATTTCTGTAAATATTTTCTGCAATAATTTCTTTGATAATTTTTTTTTCAATATTTGATTCATTTTGTTTTTATATTTTTATAGAGGAACGGGACAATTGATTACTGTATTTACCTATTTAAGTGAATGCATTCCTTTGAAGCAAAGAAAATCACTTTTATCATTAATGGAATTTTTTTGGATTTCTGGTCACGGTGTGGCGTCAGGTTTGTTAATGTCTTTTTTAATTAAATTATTTTTTTTTTTATTATATTATTCAACTTAATAAATTTTGTTCACAAAATTATAAGTTGTTTTTGAAATAAAAAACAATTTGCATAATTTCTATTTCTTAATCACAATTCTAATTTCTTTTTTAGAAGTAAAAAACAAATTTTTTTTTTTAAATTCGATTTGTCAATTACAATTATTATTAATGGAAAATAAAATTGAGAATATTAAGACTTTTATAAAACAATGGAAAGAAATTTTCATAATTTTAATTTGTCAATCATATTTTTTTGTTAGAAAATTTTTAATATTTTTAGTTAAAAAATGAGAAAGAGAAATTCTTCAAATTTTTTTTTATTATATATTATCGCAAGGATTTTTTTATTTCTAAAAAAAAATCCAAGACCTTCTCATTTTTTAAGCGAATGTAAAAATTCGAAAATTTAATAAAATTCCAAGTATTCTTTTATAAAGTTTGAAAATTTGCATAATTATTATTACTCTGGCCAATTTAAAATATTTTTTTAAATAAAAATTTAATTATATACTTTTTTTATTACAGCTCTAGCATATGGAATTATTCCATTAGAATTTCAATTTCAAAAGAAATATTTTTCCTTTCAATCATGGAATCTTTATATTTTAATTTGCTCACTGCCCGGTATTATTCTTGGCTTTTGGTTAATTTGTTTTCCCGAAAGTCCAAAATATTTGGCAGAAATGGGTTCAAATGAAAAATTATTACAAGTCCTCATTGAAATGTATGAACAAAATAATCGAAAATCTGCACGAGAATATATAGTGAGTATAAAAAAATAATAATAACCACTGATTATTTAAATTTTTTCCTTCTACAAATTTACTGTTAATTTCCTTTTTTTTCTATTCCTACAACTGATGACATCACTTTTGAAAATATAGGTATAATTAAAATTACCGTTTTTTAATTATTTCTGTATAAATAAAATTTTATTTTATTTTTAAAAAGAAATTGACTTATAAAAAAAATTTTATCTATTAAAAACAGTTTTTAATTATTTTGTAATAAAAAGAAATAAATGAATTGGAATTTATTAAATTAAAAAATTAAAAATGTTTATGACAAACTATTAAATTATTGTTATGAATAAATTATTTATTAATTAATAATCATTAATTAATAATAAGTTAATATAATAATATAATGCGCATTTGGTCTTGTAAAATGAAAAGAAAATATTAAAATAAAATACAAATATAGAATAAAAATGAAAATATATATAAGATAAAAAAATAAAAAATATTTGATTAAAAAAATAAAATAAAAAATATATAATTAAAAATAAGAAAAATTATTTTTCTTTTTCAGGAAAAGCTTGTTAATAATGAAAACACGTCATTGATGAAATTGGTAAATCGTTCGCGTGACAAGGGGGTGACAGTAAATAAATTATCATTTTTCAAAGAGAAATTATTAATGGAATTAAGACATACTAAAACAGTGTTAAAGCGACCACTTTTAATTAATACTTGTTTCGCTTGTTTTACTGCATTTTGTGTAACGGCATCTTATTTTGCAATTTATCTTTGGTTACCGGAAATTTTTCAACGAGTCGTTGAATTTGAGGAAAACAGTAAAAATGAGACATTAAGTTTCTGTGCTGTCTCACGTGATCTTCAATTTTCTATGAAAAACAAGGTATTATATTGTTATAATTTTTTTTTATTATTATATTAAATTTAAGTATTTATTTTAATTAATTAATTTTGTCAATTAGGAAACTGATCCATTTCTTTGTAACGGAACAGTGGACACTAAAGTTTTTATTTATAATTTATTACTGTGCGCATCTTGTGTTCCTGCAATTTTTCCAGTATTATATTTCGTGGCTCGATATGGCTTCAAAATTTTATTAGGTAACCGAAAATTATTAATCGAAATTATTAATATATATATATTTTTTTATTATTATCATTATTTTTTTTATTTTTTCATTATTTTAATTATTTAAAAATAAAAAAATAATAATTATTAAAATTTTTTTATTTTATTTTTATTGAAAATAATAATTATTACTTTTTGATATTAAATATTTATTGTTTCTTTTTCTCGCAGCATTAACTTCGATTCTTTGCTCGGGCGTCGTGTTTGGTCTCTATTTTGTTAATTCTTCTCTTCAAATTTTAATTCTTCTTTGCGTTTACTTGCCATTAATATCAGTCTGCATTACTATTTCATTTGCACTGTTTGTTTCAATTTTTCCCACAAATCTCAGGTAAATATTTTGCAAACAAATTAAAAAAAAAAAAATGACATAATTAAATAAATAATTTTTTTTTTAGATCATCGGGAGTTACATTAACTTCTCTTTCCTCTCGTCTGGGGGCCTCATTTGGCAATATTATATTCAGTTATCTCATAGAACAATATTGCTTCGAATTTATCATACTCGTAACTATTCTACTTGTTGGTTAGTACTTTTTACTATATTATATTCTGCTTTTTATTTTTTTAATGAACTTTACGATAATGATTAATTAATTACCGTATTAATAAAATACCGCACTAATTAATTACTTACATTATTAATTAATCACCAATTAATTAATCGCTTGTTGAAAATAACCGTATTAATTAATCATCTGTTAATTAATCAGCTGTTAATTAATAGATGTATTAAGTAATCGCTTATTTTAATAAATTATCAATTGATTTATCAATTAATTAGCTTTTTCATTTTTTTATAAACTTAATAATTTATTCACGTCTTTTATTTATCTTTTTTAGTTTCAGCGATATCAACAATAATAATTCAAGAAAGATAAACGTTTCATTGCTCCTAGATCGATGAGTTGTTTAACATCTACATCTAATTTCATTGCCATAGTTAATTATTATCAATTCTTTGATAAATAGTATTTAACTTGTTGTTTTTTTTCATATCTGTTTAATTTAAAGTAAATTGTATTATAAATATTATATATTATGACAATTGTAGTTATAATTAAATTGTAGACAATTTCTGTATATTTGTAAATGTAAACCAATTTCAATAGGTAAGAAAAATTGCCTAATTGTAACAGTTGTATTGTACCTGAATAAAAGATTAAATAAAATATTTTTTTCTATAGAAGAAAAATTATTTATACATTCATTATTTCTACAACAACTTTTATAAATTTCTCTAGCATTAGATATGCGCGTTTTTCCTTGTTTACAAAAGAAAAATGAAATAAACAAAAGAAATAAAATATCTATGAATTAAAAATTTTTGTACAAAATATTTTATTACTCACAAAAAAAATGCGAATAAAATAAAAAAAAGGACAGAGAATTAAATACAAAAATTTAATTAATTAATTAATATTAATTTACAACTATTATCAAAATAGATTTGTAATAAATGCAAAACGGTATTTTTAGTTATTATCCCCACGTTACCTTGATAGATTTTTAGTACAGTTCCATTCAACATTTTTTTAAACTTTATAGCTTTTACTGTATATTTAAAAAAAGAAACAAGTAAATCTACTTCACTTTAAAAAATTAACTTTTAAATTTTATTCAACACTAAAAAGTCGTCAAAATGTAAAGCTCAAAATTTTTTTGTTTCATTATTCTTATCTAAACGCTTGTCAAGAACAAATTGCATGCAAAAGATTATTAAAAGACATTGTAATTAAGAATATAATTTTACAAAGCAAAATTATAATCTTATCTAAAAACGAATTTTTGCACAACTTTGCATGCGAAAATTATTATTAAAGACAAAACTATGAATTAAGTTTTTTTTGTTGAAAATTATACATTCAATTTTTAATGGACATGCTAATAATCAAAAGCAGGCCTAATTACAAGTAATAATTCAAATGTTCAAAAATTTTTTATGTAAAATTTACTGAGATCTAATCGAAAATTAATTAAATTTTTAAATAATTGTAAATTGATGTAATTAAATAATCGTAAATTGATGTAATTAAATAATTATCGTTTATAGTAAATAATCGTTTAAGGAAACAACAAATCTTTTTAAAACACTGCAAAACTAGTGCGTGAGAAATTATAGCAAACTTTTGTGCTTTAGTGTACTTAATAGAAGTCACAAGCCAAGTCAGTAATCGGAGTAAGAGCATCATTGTTCGATAACTATCATTTTGCGTCCATAATAGTGTGAAATTCATAATGTGCATCTTTACATGAAATGTTAATATCGTTATCTCAATATTTTTAAAATATCTTTTTTTATTAACCATTTTTATTTTTTCTATTGTTCTTTATTTATTTTTTATTTTTATCTACTATTAATTGTTTTTTTCTTTGTATCTTATATTTTATATTTTATATTTTGTATTTTATAATTTGTATTTTATACTTTGTATTTTATATTTTGTGTTTTATATTTTGTGTTTTTTATTCAAAATATTTCCCAGTAAAAATTATTGTATTTCAAAAATGCAAAATTTAGAAGAAATTATACCGTTAAAAGTGAATCCACGGATTAATGATTCATCTAATATTGAAACAGAATTAATTCATGACATTCCAGAGGAGAAGGAAGGTAAGAAAGAATTAGTAATTTCTACTATACATTATTATCATAATTACGTAATTATATAAATTTTACAACAAAAAAGTTGTGACACATATTTTTTTTTCTTACAAAAATCGAAAATTTAAGTAAGAAATTTAATAATTATTTCTGCGTTTAAATCGACTATTAATAATAGTTATTTAATTACTATTTTCTTACTTTATTAATAAGTAAATTATTAACTAATAAATAAATAAGTAAATAATAACAATTGAAATATTAAAATAAAAAAAATAATAATAAAATAATAAATAAATCAGCTGCTATCTACTATCTAAATTTATTATTACTCAGAATTATCTACTTCATTATTTGTATTATTTATTATTATTATTAAAATTATATTAATTAAGAATAATATTTTAATAATATTAATAAATTTCATTAGTTATTTAATTCTAGTTAGTTATTAATAACTTTTTATTTTGTTGTCTCTTTGCTATACACATTATATTTTTTTTTTTAGATGCACGAATTGATGAAGCAATCGTTGAATTGGCTATCAATGAAACTGGTTAGCATAATTATTTATTGAATAAAATAATATTTTAGCAGATTTTTAAATATTTTACGCAATAAAAATTTATATAGAATATACCAAATTTATGCAATTTTGAAATTTTTTTATTAGGTTTTGGAAAATTCAGCATAAAAGTAACAATAATATGCTTTCTAATTTATTTGAATATTAGTCTTTGCACTACATATACAGGATTTATACTTCCGTCAGCAGCGTGTGATCTCAAAATGAGTACAGTTGAAAAAGGATTATTGAGCACGTCATTTTTCATAGGTATAATTAATTTATTAAAAATTTTACATTCAAATAAAAATTTCGCACTTTAGGAAAAATGTATGATAAAATTATTTTATTTTTTTTTATTATTTATTCTTTTTTTTTATTTATTTACTATTTATAAACAATTTTTAAGTTAAGAAAATTATATTAATTTTAACAGTTAATTAAAATTTTTGAAACAATAGGTTCTTGTTTTAGTTCGGTGATTTCTGGATTTTTAGCAAATTTAAAAGGTCGTAAATGGATTTTAACGATATCATTATTCATGCAAGGAATTTCTGATTTATTGCAAGCGATTGTGCCTAATTATTCGACAATAATGGGATTGAAATTTATTTCCGGCTTTGCGTAATTACATATTTTTCATTAATAATAAATTTTATAAATTTTTTTAATGTTTAAATAAAAGATAAAAAAATATACATATAAATAAAAAATATAGAAGTAAATAAATATATAAATAAAAAAATAAATATACAAATAAAAAATATAGCAATAAAAAATATAGAAATAAAAATAATATTTAGATGGAATTTATTTTTCAATAATTTCTATAATTTACACTCTAACTATTATAATATTTTATTCCTAATGTTTGGAAGTTTATCTTATTTTAGAGCATCAGGACAATTGATGACAATTTTCACCTACTTGAGTGAATGTCTTCCCATTAAGCAAAGAAAATTTCTTCTATCGTTTATGGAATTTTTTTGGATTTGCGGTCACGGTGTTGCGTCCAGTCAGTAAATTTACACAAAAATTCTCCCCCCAATTAAAACAATATTTTCAAATTATTCATAAATAAATGAACATTTTTTTTAATTACAGTTCTGGGATTTTTCATTATTCCCTTAGAATTTGAAATGAACTGGCAATATTTTTACTTCCGCTCTTGGAATCTTTATATTCTCATTTGTTCATTGCTTGGAATTTTTCTTGGCTTTTGGATAATTACCTTTCCGGAAACTCCAAAATATTTGGCGGAAATGGGTCGTCGAGATGAATTTCTCAAGGTTCTCGTCAAAATGTATGGGGAAAATTTGGGAAAATCGAAAAAGGAGTACGTGGTATGAATTATTATACAATAATAATAATTAATTCTAAGACTAAACAAAATGATTAATAAAAAATATCGAAAATTAAAGTAAATTAAAATTTGAAATCGGTTTATATTAATTTCGAAACTTTATTAATTTGATTATAAATAATTATAGAATTACGAATATTGACGAACATCTTGAGATTCAATATGGAGTTGATACTCTCCACCTGCGAACGCCAAGGTCACCGCTAGATGGCAGTTTGTTTGGTAAAATCTGATTTTTCGCCATCTAGTGGCGACCTTGGCGTTCTCAAGTGGAGAAATTAAACCACAATTTTATTCCTCAAAAAATTATTTATAACTAAAAAAGTGTTACGAAAAATATTATGACAATTTTCATACTGTTTTTTATTTCTAAATTCAAAACCAAGGCCTGAAATATTCATTGATATTCACCATTCTTACGATTTATATTTGTCACGAAGTATTTTATTTCATAAAAAAGAAAACGTTTTTTAATAATTAATAAATTAACAAACAAAAAAATTTAGAAACGAAATAAATAACACCAATTTATTTTATTTTTAAGGAAACATTAATGAAGAGTGGAAATTCATTTCTCATGAAAGTTGCAAGTCATGAACAGAACAAATTTGTAGCTTTAAATAAAAATTCAGTGACTGGAAATTTTTTACTGGAATTGAAACAAATTGGAAGTGTTTTAAAAGCACCATATTTTAAAAATACTTTTTTGGCCTGTATCACTGGTTTTTGTGTTCCGGCCGGTTATTATGCATTATATCTCTGGTTACCTGAGATTTTTCAACGATTCGCAGATTTTGAGGCGAAGAATAAAAATGAAAAACCCAATTTTTGTAAAGTTTCTCGCGAAATTCATTCTTCTTTGACTGATGGGGTATGATTAAATTTTTTTAAATACAAATAAATTCATCAAGTATTAATATAATTATTATTAAATTATCAATGGAATTTAATTTAATTATTAATTAAATATTAATTACTATTTTCGTTTATAATTTTGCAATATTGATATAGGAAATTTAATTTTCAGATTCATGAAATTCCTCCTGTTTGTGATAGAACAATAGATACTGAAGTATTTATTAATAATTTATTGTTATGTGCCTCTTGTATTCCTGCCATTTTTCCCGTATTATGTTTAGTTCATCGTTTCGGATTCAAATTTTTATTGGGTGAGAAAAAAAATTTTGATTTCAGATAATTTTAAATTATTCAAAAAATGTTTACATATAATTTATGAATACGTATTTTCTAAATAATTTATTACTAAGTATTTTACTTATATATTGTAAATAAATATTTATTTTTAGTTTTTATTTATTTATTTTTAGTTTATATTTATTTATTTATGTTTTACTTATTTATTTTTATTTTATTTTTAGTTTATATTTATTTATTTATGTTTTATTTTTTATTTTTAGTTTAATGATTATTATATTCTTCCAGGTGGCATGTGTCTTATTTGTTCGGCTGTTGTTGTCGGCATTTATTTCGTTAATTCCTCTCTACAAAATTTAATTCTTCTCTGCATCTACTTGCCACTGATATCAGTCTGCATTACTTTAACATTCGCCCTGTTTGTTACAATTTTTCCCACAAATCTCAGGTTTAAAAAAATTTTCTTTCAGTTTTCTTTTATTTTATTTTAATAGTTAGATTTTATTTTATTCTATTAATTAGACTTTATTCTATTCTATTAATTAGATTTTATTTTATTCTAATATTAGATTTTATTTTATCCTAACAATTTAGATTTTATTTTATCCTAACAATTAGATTTTATTTTACTCTAAAAATGAAAAAAAAATCTTATATACATAAATACAAATAATAATTGCATCTAATTATTTTTCTAGATCATCGGGAGTAACATTGACTACTTTTTCCTCTCGTATTGGATCTGCTTTCGGCAATATTATTTTCAGTTACCTTATAAACGAATATTGCTTGCAATTTATCATCCTCGTTGCTCTTTTACTCGTCGGTCAGTGCAATTTATTATTACTGTACTATTATTAATATAATTAATTATTAATTATTATTTATAATTATTAATTAATCAACTCGTTAATTATTTGCTAATAATCCATTTTTAAAAATTAGTTTCAGCAGTCACGACAATGTTGATCCACGAAAGATGAGATTTCTGATAGTTTTACTTTTCTAAATATGAAGATCAAAAGATAGAAGAAATTATTAATGTAGTGCAATATTATAATTAGTAAGAGTAATTATAATATTACTTAAAAATTATAAGTATTATTACCAATACTAATTTGTTATTACACAAATTAATAGCAATACGATTAATGCTACTAATTTTTATAATTAATATAATTATTTTCAGTAATTATAATAATATTATTTTAGAGATTTTTAACTTATTACAATACTATTATTATAATTATTCACACTAATTACAATAATATTAATTTAATTATTTATAGTAATTATAATAATATTATTACAATTACCATAATATTATTACAATTATAATAATATTATTAAAATTACCATAATATTATTACAATTACTATTAATATGGTAGAATAAAAAAATCAAATTTATATTGCTAAAATAAATTATATTTTTTATTATTTCTCTGACAATGTTTTTCTTTGTTTACAATTATTCGTATCTTCGTAAGGCATCTTTACTATTTCTAATGTTATACTGAATAAATTATATACAGACGAGATTTTTTTAAATTTATTACAGACATTCATTATTTAAATACATACTGTGATTTAAATGCTATATAATTTTCTTTAAAACAATTTTTATTTTATTTTATTATTCTCTCACAATGTATCATAAATGGGAGAAAATATTAAAAATTTTAATAAAGGTAAATTTAAAAATGAATCTCAACAGAAAAATACCTGATTTAATCAATTTTATCAAAAATATTCTCTTTCTTCAAAAGCAGGACAAAAATAAATAATACACCTATTTGTGCAAAGTAAATATTCACATATTTCTTATAAAGGCAAGAGAAGAAAATAATATTTTTGCTTTTAGTTTCTTTATCATTTTTTTATGGTTTCATAAAATATTTACATATCTATGTAGTTTAAATCTTTAAATTCTTGAATTATTTCTGTTTATTAATAATTTCCTTTTATTAATTCTTTTTTTTTCCATAATTATTTCTTTTAATTCTTTTTTTTTTTATTAATTCTTTCTTTTTAGTAATTAACTTTTTTTCGAAAGAAATCTTCAGGCAGTCATTGTTCGAATTAATAGAGGGAACAATTTTTACTGTTTCGACTTTACTTTTTGTTTTGTCATTAGCTTCTTTTGTTTATATTTTTTTTTTTTTTACTGTTTGTCATTTTTCTTAACGGTTTATAATTTGTTTTGCGGATAATTAAAGATCTAAATACATAATTTGAGTGGCTGACAATGCTCCACAAGCAGCCAAAGAACTTGCAACACCCACAACAGCTGTGGTTGTTCCTGACAAACTTACTATGGATCCAAGGGCACACGAGAGAATAAATTGTGCCAAAAATACCATAGAAGAAACAATTGCAACGTCCGTTCCTAAACCTCGCACCTCACCACTTTGTATCGCTTCACCTTCTGCATTGACAGCAAACTAAAAAAATATTTATGAAAATTATAAAAAATAATAGAAAACGAATAAAGAGTTTATAAAAAAAAAAAATGATAGAAAAACGAAAAGAATAAGAAAATGATAGAAAAGAATTTTAAAAAAATAATAGAAAATGAAAAGCGTAAGAAGATGATGAAAAATTAGTTAAAAATGACAAATTTTAAATTTAAATTATAAACTAATGATTAGTTCTGTATTATAGCTAGCAATTATGTTAATTAAAAATTTTCTAATCAGAATTAATATATTTTCACAAAACTGACCGTGGAAGATGCATGATAATGTGCGATTAATAAATATGGCATTGTAAATAGTGTTGAATACATAACACCAGCTGCCCATGAGAAGACAATTACTCCAACTGGATGTTTTGTTAATGCCATTAACATCATTCCAACACTGTAGAAGAGTAAACCGCAAATATAAACATTTCTTGCCCTGAAAAATATATTTTGATCAATACAGATAAAAAATATTTTCAAAATAGTTTCAAAGTAGTTTCAAAATAGTTTCAAAATAGTTTCAAAATAGTTTCAAAATAGTTTCAAAATAGTTTCAAAATAGTTTCAAAATAGTTTAAAACAGTTGAAAAATAATTAAAAACTAATTTAAAAATAGTTTAAAAATAGTTTAAAAATAGTTTAAAAATAGTTTTAAAATAGTTCAAAATTAGTTTAAAATTAGTTCAAAATAAAAAAGTAAGTAAAAAGTAAAAAGAATAAGTAAAAAGAAGTTAAATAAAGAAAAATAATTAAAACTATAGTTGAAAAGAAAACAATAAATAAAAAGAAGTAAAAATAAAGAAAAACAACATTAAAAAGTAGTTAAAAATTAAAATTAAATAAAAATAAACAAACAAAAAAACAGTACGTTAAAATAGAAAATGTTACCTCAGCTATAATTAATAAAGAACTTAATTATAGCCTCTCTTTTTTAAAAACAAAATAAATAATAAATAAATAAACACAAAAGTAAAAATAAAAGAAATAATTATAAATGTGGTTAAAAACAAAAAATAAGTAAATGAAAAACTAAATTAAATTTTTAAAAAATTAGCCATTAGAACGAATTTAATTAGCCTCTCTCTAGTTCAAAATACAAAACAAATAAAAACAGTTAAAAGTAGTTTAAAACAAAATAAGTGAAGAGAATTAAAAACAAATAAAAAAACACAGTTAATAGTAGATAAAAATAAACAATAAATAAAGAACAATAAAAAAAATAAATACCTGGGGAAAAAAACAATTAATAATACAGTCAACAATAAAAAAATAAATAAAGAGCAATAAAAATAAATAAAAATTGGTGCAAAATAGAAAATAAATAAAATAGCTGTATAAAAAATAAAAAATATGAGAACGAACTTGAAACGCTTAATTAGCCTCTCAATAATTAGTGAATAACAGGAACATGATAAAGAATACATTGACATCCCCCAACATCCAAATCGAACACCGTATTCATACAATTCTCTTGATTTACTACCTTCAGGTGCCTAAAAAAATTAAAATTCACTTTAATATACAAGGAAAAAAATAATATTATGAATAAAAGAATATTTAAAATTTACTATACAATTATTTTTAGTAATAAGGAAAAAAAATGAGTAAAAAACTGACTATATATCGAAAAACTAACAATTTTTTCATAATTTCCAAATTCAATTACATTCAAATATAGAATTTTTTTTCTAATTAATTATTTATTATATTGAGAATAAAAAATAATTCTTGCAAAGAACTTTATTAAATTTTTTTTAAATAAGTGTTTATTTTTAAAAAAAAATATTTATGTATTTTTTGCCTCAGGAATTAAAATATTTTTAACGATTTCAATATAAAACCGCTTTTTAAAATTTTTTACAAATATTTTTTATTTATTAAAAGTATGAGAAAATTGTTAATTGTTAAATAACTATAATTAAGAAATAGGAAATATACCCATTTTATGTATAATTTAAATTTCTCAATAACAATATTGTTCAGAAACTCATTCGTTTCTTTTGTAAAAGAAACATTACATATTCTATTCTATTTGTGAATTACAAATATTAATTTGAAAATGAAATTGAAACTTTTTAAAATTTAGAAAATAAAGGAAAACATTTTACTCAAAAAAAAATGTTCTGTTACATTTATTTACCAATTTCTTTAATTGTAAAATTATTCGAAAACATCAATAACTTTTTTTTTTAAATAAATATTTAATCAATATTATTTTTCCATAGGAATGAATACCTAATTTCAAAAATTTTAAATTCAATAACTTATAAGAATGTTTTATAATAATTAAAGATGACCGAGTGATAAAATCATTGTTTTTGTATTATAACATTAATGTTATTGTTTATTATTACAGTAACTTTTTCTAAATTATTTTTTCAAATCAATTATTATTTTCTACAATTTTTAATTATTTTCTACTGAAAATAATTAAATTCCTTAGAAAAAATTTATTATTTATAAAAATAATTGAATTATTGCGAAGGAATTTATAAAAAAAAAATTTGTAAATAATTGAATTCCTGGGAAATATTTATTATTTATGAAAATAATTAAATGTTTGCGTACTATTTTTGGGAATTTGAAGTTGATTTGAAAAAAAATTGAACTTTGGGGAAGAATTTTGTTATTTATAAAGATAATTGGGATTTTGACGAGGATTTTTTTTTAGATTTGAAGGATAATTGAATTTTATGAGAAGAATTTTAGCACTCTTGAAAATAATTGAATTTCTGCAATTATTTGTAATTTTTCCAAAATTTTATTTTTTTAGTGTTTTTTAAAAAAAATTTATTTTCAAATTTTTAAATTCTATTGTTTTTAAAAAATATAATTTTATCCTTATCATTATTTTATCCATAATTTTATTCTAAAAAGCTAGCCGCGCGCTGTAGCGCGCGAATTGTTGCTAGTTACAAATATAATATTCTATTTCAAAATATAAATAAAATTATTAGTAAGAAAGTTTAAATTTAAAATTATTAGTTTTGAAATTTAATTGTTTCTAAAAAAAAAAAAAATTGAATTCTTATAAAGAACTTAATCAAAATTTTCGAAAATAATTAAATTGTTACGAACAATTTTATTATTAATTAGTAATGCTTAAAAAATTTGCTACTGCCTGATATGATGCCACTTAATACAGATTTAACTCAATCAGCTAAAGTACAGTGCTGCTTAAAAGTTTCGGAATTAATATAATTTTTAAAATTTTCTTCATACTATATTGCAATAACGTTTTCAATTTTTTATTACAATCAATAATTTTTTAGATTTTATTTATAAATAATAATTTACAATAAAAAATTTTAACCTAATTATTAGTCTCATTTTAATAATTTTTCTTATAGACAGAAGCAGATTGACAAATCCTTAGGAAAACTGTGATATAATAATAGAGTTTGAAACTAATAAAAAATGTATAATTACTAAAAAAAATCCATAATATAAATATTTCTGCATTAAATTATTCAATTAAAATAATTAATTAAACATTCCTAAAAAAAAATAAATAAATAAATAAAACAAAAAATGAAACTTGCCTTTGGATCACCGCCATAGACAGCTTCACCGACAAAATCAGTGAAATAGAGTGAATAACAAACGTGGGCCATCCAACAGAAAAGATTTGTTAAACAAACCATTCGTAGACTGTGTGGCATATACAAAATTGAGGCAAGATATTCCTTTAATGAAACTTTTGGATTTCCCTCTGAATTTTCCTCTAATCCAGACTGTGAATTAATTTGTGATTGCGGTGGCGGAGGCGGCACTTCCGGTATTATGGGTACAGTGCCAACTCGCTTCTTAACTTCTTCCACTTGTGGAACTTCTTCAGGTGTTAAATCCTAATTTAGGAGAAAAAAATTCTTTGAAATAAAATTTTTAAAAAAGTATTCAGAAAATTTTTTTTTTTTTTTTCTTTCATCCCTTTTTTTAATCTTTTTTTTCATTCATTCATTCATTCCTCCTTTCTTTCTTTCGTTTTTTCTTTTTTATTCTCTTTCTTTTTTATTTTATTTTCTTCTTTTTCTGTATGCTTACTTTGGAACGTACTTACGTCAGATTTTCCATTATTTTGATTTTCATTTAAAGTTCCATAAGAAACGTTTTCTTCGGTCGTTATTTTTTCGCTCTCATTCGCTTCTCGGGCTTCATTCATCTGTGTAAACAAAATTAGCTCTAAAGTTAATTATCTAATTTTTTTTTATTTGATAATAATTTGTGTAATTAAAAAACAAAAATTAATAGCATGTAATTTTATTATTTCCTAGTGTTTATTTATTCTTTTATTAGTCCTTAGTGAAATAAAAAATTGTAAAAATTATAAATAATAAAAAAATTATAAATAATACAATAATATTAATATAATAATAATAATAATAATAATAATAATAATAATAATAATAATAATAATAATAATAATAATAATAATAATAATAATAATAAATATAATAATAACAATAATTATTGTTGTAAATGAACCACCGGCGACAAAAAGGAAAAATCATGATAATAAAATTAACTATATGGTTGGAAAAGTAGATGATTAAGCCAATTAGTTCAGAATAATGATGAGATTGAAGTAAAAAAAATAAAAAATAAATAAATAATAAAAAATAAATAAAAAATAAATAATAAAAAAAATATTCTCGAGATGTTAAATGCAATGATTGAATTATTTGAAAATATGCAATTAATCGTCAGGACCCACTTTTTGTTCATGCATTTTGAGTCCTTGATCACTGTCCAAAAGTTCAAGAGGTATTTCCTTAAAGCTCGTGATAGTGAAAGAGACGCAGATAATAAAAATAATAGTAATAAGCGTAAATGTTGCATGCAAATGTCCTCCCAAAGCAACGCCAATTGCAGTTGCGTCCCAATTTATTCCGCCCAAGCCATAGCCCATGAAACCACCCAATCCAGCCATTATGGTAAATGTACTTAAACCTCTAGCATGATCCTCTGAAAAAAAGAAGAGAAAATTTGTTTTTTCTAAATTAAGGAATTTTTTTGTATTCATTAAATAAATTTTCATTTTAAAAAATCGACTTTCAAAAAATCTAATATTCTCTATCAATTTGAATTAGTAGGAATTATTATTTATTAGTAGAAATTACTATCTATTAGTAGAAATTACTATTTGTTAGTAGAAATTACTATCTATTAGTAGAAATTACTATTTGTTAGTAGAAATTATTATCTATTAGTAGAAATTACTATCTATCAATACAAATTACTATTTATTAGTAGGAATTACTATTTATTAGTAGAAATTACTATCGATCAGTAGAAATTACTATCTATTAGTAGAAATTACTATTTATTAGTAGAAATTACTATCGATCAGTAGAAATTACTATCTATTAGTAGAAATTACTATCTATTAGTAGAAATTACTATCTATTAGTAGAAATTACTATCTATCAATACAAATTACTATCTATTAGTAGAAATTACTATCTATTAATACAAATTACTATTTCTTAGTAAAATTTACTAATTTAAACAAAAAATCAGTCACTCATTAATTAGATTTTATTTTATCATAACAATTAGATTTTATTTTATTCTAATAATGAAAAAAAGTATTTTCGATTATAATCAAATATTTTAATCGAGTCGAAAACTCGGAGTGATCGATTTCTTCATGTTTTATAACAATTAAAGATGACAGAGAGAAAAAAATCATTATTTAATATTATAAGAATATTATACTTCTTCAAAATTATTTTCATCATTTCAATTCAATTATTTTTTTCATAATTTTTAATTAAAATTCTTCTCTAAATCAATTGTTTTTAATAATTTTTTTAAAAAGTTTTTCTTGAGAATTTTCAAACCCATTTGTTTACAATTTAATTTTACATGAAATTTCAATTATTCGGAAATTCTTTAATTAAATATATATTAGAAATTAAAAACTTGAAATAATTTTAAAAAATTTCGATGAAGCTTCTTGAAGAAAATTAGTTTTACAGAATTTTTTATTAAAAGTATAAAAAATTCAGATTTTTAAAGATTTTAATTTGAAACCTTTACAAAATTCAATTATTTCTAAAAATTGCAATTATTAGTAACTATCTTCAGAATTCAATTATTATCTAAAACTTTAACAGTACATTAATTTTTAAATCAATTTTTATTAGAAAATTCTACGAGAGTTCAATTATTTAAATACAAAGATAGATAATTTATTAATAAATAATTGAATGTTTCTTAAAATTGAATTCTTATACATAATGTTATCATTAAATTTTTAAATAATTGAATTCTTTTGACGAATTTTAATAACATTTTTAAGAATAATGATATTTTTCGAGGAATTCGATTAAAATATTGTATTAAAAATAATTAAAATTCTGCGATGAGATTTATTATTTTATGAAAATAATTAAATTATTGCGAAGAATTTTATAAAAAAAGTTTCGAACAATTGGTTCCTTTCGAAAAAATGTATGCAAATTCTATTTTTAATAATTGAATTCCTATGCGAAATTTTTATTATTTTAGAAAATAATTGAATATTCGTGTAGAACTTTGTCAAAATAGTTTTTATATAATTGAATTCTTTTTGAATTAAGAAAATTTTTTTGAAAATAATTAAATTCTTGTGATGAATATTCTTATTTAAGGAAATAATTTACTTCCTCCGAATGATTTTGTTATTTATGAAAATAATTAAATTCCTGAAAAGAATTTTAAAATTTATGAAAATAATTGAATTATTGCGAAGAATTTTATGCCAAAATTTTAAAACATTTGATTTTTTCTAAACAAATTTATGCAAATTCTATTTTAAATAATTGAATTCTTGTGAAATTTTTTTTTTAAATAATTGAATGTTTGTGTAGAAAATTATCAAAATTTGTGTTTAATAATTGAATTCTTTTGGAAAACTTTATTAAACTAGTAGAATATTGAAAAACATTGAATTAAGAAAATTTTTTGAAAATAATTGAAATTTTTCCATGAATTTTTAAATAATTTTTGAAAATAATTGAATTCTTGTGATGAATACTATTATTTATGAATATAATTGAATTTTGCAATGAATTTTATTAAAATTCCTGAAAATAATTAAATTTTGTCGAAGAATTTTGCTATTCAATTTTTTTAGAGTTTTTGAAAATAATTAAATTTCCGTGAAGAATTTTTTTATTTTTGAAAATAATTAAATTCTTGTGATGAATATTGTTATTTATGAAAATAATTGAAATTTACAATGAATTTTATAAAAATTCCTGAAAATATTTGAATTTCGGCGAAGAATTTTTCTTTTTAGAAAGATAATTGAAATGTTGACGAGAATTTTTTTTTTTTGTAGTTTTTGAAAATAATTGAATTTCTGGAAAGAATTTTAATATTTATTAAGATAGTTGAATTCTTTCAAAGAATTGCGTTAAAATTTTTAAAATTAAAACTAATTTGAACAGAATTGAAATTAAAATTTTTCAAAAAAAAAAAAATACTTCGTTAAATGATTTATAAGTTTAACTTTATGGCGGTTCGTCAATAGTTAAGTTATTAAAATTATTAAGTTATTGAAAATAAATTATTGTTAGAAATAGAAAAAATTTAAAGTTTTTTTTTTTAGAATTCGTGGTAATTTCATAGTTTATGAGGCAAACAAAAAGAGACAAAAATTCAGAATTCTTTTACAAATTCTAAACATTTAATTTTTTCCAGTACTTTTAATAAAAATCCCTGACTTTTCCCTGACCTGTGCCAACCCTGAACTAATTAAAATTAGTAGATATTATTACTAATTCAAATTTAGAGAGTAGAAAAAAGATTTTATCTAAAAAAATAATTTTCTTAAAAAAATTGTCAATTACCAGGAACTGTGACGTCTAGAAGGTACGCTCTCGCTGGACTCTGACAAGCATCGGCGTCAAAATCAAGTAAAACAGTTCCCAAAATTGTAAAAAATATTCCCCACGGATGGGGCGATATCACAGCAGGTGAATTTTCTTCTTTGGAAATTTTTCCACTTGTCCTGTGTCCCAAGGCGACAGATTGATTTTGTGCCAATATTTTTGGTCCATCACCAAGGGAATAGCCAATTCCTTCGCCATTTGGTACAAGGATTAGTCCTTAAAAAAACAAATTCTTTTGTTTATATTTTTCCTTCTATTCTTTTATTCTATTTTTAATGCTTTGTAAATTTAGTAAATTTCAGCTCACACAATTATTTAGCTACTATTTTTTTTATAAATAAGTTACTACTGACATTTATTTCGTTGAAAATCCGTGATTTCTTAAACCAAAATTTAAATACAAATTTTATAGTGAAGAAATTAGTTCTAGGACTCTACAAAAAATTGAAGAGGTGAAAAATATCGAAAATGAGAGTAAATTAAAAATTGAAATCCGTTTAAATTAATTTCCAAACTCTATGAATTTATTTAATTTATTTTATGTAAATTTTAATTGTAATTAATTAGAGAGAATATCGACAAACATCTTGAGATTCAATATGGAGTTGATACTCTCCACTTGAGAACGCCAAGGTCACCATCAGATGGCAGTTCAGTTGATAAAATCGAGTTTTCTCGACACCTGGTGGCGACCTTCGCGTTCTCAAGTGGAGAAATTTATTTTATTTCTCAAAAACTTTTTTGATAATTAATATTATACAAAAAATGTTATTGTGGAAATAATTTCTGACACGTTTGTTAATATTTTTTATATTTAAACTCAGTCTGATGCTTATTTGAGCTTTTATTCTACTTTTTTTTGGTCTTTTTTTATTTGTTGCTTTTTGTTTACTTTTTTTTTTTAGTTTTTTTGATTGTTTGTAGTTTTTAATATAGTTTTTAAGTCTTATTCTTTGTTTGTAATTTAGTAATTTTTTAGTCTAGTTTTTTAAAGTCTTTTTTGTTAGTAGCTTTCAGTTTTTTTTTTCTTTGCAGTTTTTTATCTGATTTTTTAGTTTTTGTTTCTTGTTTGTTTTTGTTTTTAGTTTACAAAAAAAAATTTTGCTCATACCTATAAAAACGCCAACGGCCAGCAATAATATAAAAGGCCTTCTTCTGCCGTATTTCAATTTACAACGATCGCTAACGCTTCCTAGAATTGGGGTCACAAAGAAGCCAAGGAGAGGACTTAACGCCCACACCAAGGTCATGTGCTGATGAGCAACACCGATTTTCAATAAAGTTGGTGACACAAAAGCCGTCTCGGCTGCATATGAGAATTCAATGCCCATCACTGCAGCCGATATTCTAACCAATTCACCTCGAGTTTTCCTCCTAAAATATCAATCCAAAAAAGTGAAAAAATTTTTTTTTTACAATTATTACGCATAAAAGAAAAAAAAACGAAAATCAGCTAAAACTCCAATAAAAAACTAAAATATTACGATAAAGGAATTATTTATATTCTTTTATATATTCATTTTAATAATTTTATCTATTTTTTGTAGAGTAAAAAATATTTATTTATAAAAAATGAAAAAAAAATGTTCTCAATACCAAATTATCATAAAATAATCGTACTATCTAAAACTTAAGGGCATTTGAAACTTGATGACGTCACACATGCTTTGCAGAAACTGAAACGTCATCAAGGTTCAAATGCCCTTAAAGAACAAAATAGAATATTGTGATAAAATAAATATTTAGTATTTTTTTAAAAAGTTCAATATTTAAACAATGTATTATATAACAACTTATTTTGTTTTTGCAAAAACATGTTAAAAATTATCTATTTGTAAAGTTCATATTGTAATTGTTTTCAATTCAAAATTATCACGGAAAAAAATATCTAAAATTTAAATATAAAAAACTAAAACAGTAACTATTTTATCGTATGATAAAAAACTTGTTTAAACTAAGGTATAAACTTATCTAATTTTGTTTAAATTATTTTTTTTAAAAAGTATGTAAAAATTTGTTTAAAATTATAGTAATTAAAGGAAATAATAATTTATTAATTAGGATAATTCTAAAATTACAGTTAGTAGGTAAAATTGTAAAAATGTAGGGAAAATCGATTTTTTTTAATATTATATCAAGAAAATAATTTAAATATTTCACAAAATTAATTTTAAGGTAATTTTTTGTGTGGTTTTCAATGGTCAAAAAATAAAATTAGTCCGGTTAGACCGTTTAATCTAAATCAAAAATTCAAAGTTTTTCTGAATCTAAGATAGATTTAGCTTTCGAGTACGTAGGATATTTTAAAAATATTAATTTTGGTGTATTTGACAGTTGTTTGAAGTAAAAAGTCGATTTTTAGGGCGAAAATTTGTCAAAAAATCTGTTGCCAAAAAAAAAACAAAGAAACCAAAAAAAAATCCGCTACGTACTCGAAAGCATTAGTAAATGACGATCAAAAATTTTGATTTTGATTTTTTTCACATAAAATAACTTCGAAATCATCTCTAATGATATAATTTCTATTCTACACATTAGAAAGTATCGTTTAAGCAAGAGAAAAAAAATTCGATTTTTTTTCGGGTCAAAGGTGTCACTCCCCCTTAAAAATTTGTAGATTTTGAAATTCATGCGTAATTTTGTAGAATGTGTTTTTGAATCCGCAAAAAAATTGCAAAATTAAAAAATTGATTTTCATAATTATTTGAGGCATTTCTTTGAAAATAAAACTCTTTGTTTTCTGGCTGAAAATGATGAAAAAAAAGTATCAGTATCATTCAATTTATATATAAAAAATAAAAAATATTATCAAAATATGATAAAATTGTGGTCTGAAATATTGATTTATTTTAATTTTTTTTTTAAATTAATTAATTATTTTATTTATAACGAGACATAATTAGTCAGAAAAATAAACAAATGAATTTTCAAATAAAAAAAAAATTGAATAATAATGGTATTTTTTAGCATTTTCAGACTAAAAACAAAGATTTTTATTTTTTAAAAAATGTTTCAAAAATTATGAAAATCTATTTTTTCATTTGGCAATTTTATTTTTGGATTTAAAACCATGTATTCTGTAAAATTACGCATGGATTTCAAAATCCACCAATTTTTAAGTAAAATAAAAATCCAAAAAGGGTCAAAATATTTTCTGATCAAATTTCAAAAAAAAATTTATTTTTAATCAGAAATATTTTTTAAAGAAAATAAAAATTAAAAAAAGTTTACCAGGAGAAAAAATTAATTAATTAATTTATTTACAAATCCTAAATACCTATAAATATGTGAATAATCATCGAGTGTTCTCTCGAGTTTCGGTGGTCCTCGAAGGTGATTTAAAATACCCTCCACCCCCTTATCGGTGGGAATTTCACTTTTCCACTCTTTCCACGATTCCCATTTGTTTTTCACACTATCACGTATTCCATGAATTCGTCCAGTGAATCCTTGATATTCGTGTAATTTATCAACCATGATGACTCCTGTTTATCAACGTATACAATTATTTAGAAAAATAATTATTATCACATTTATAAATAATAAAAAAAAATTAATTTCTTTATTTTTAAATTTTTATTTAAAGTTATTTTGAATTGTTCATAAATTAATTGTTATTAATAGTTTAAATTTGGAGTAAAAGCGAAAATTTTATTCTCCACTTTGTTACTATATCTTTCTTTCTTAAAAAAAATTATTTGTAGGTATTTTACGAAAATTTTTGGTTGCACTTTCTTTTTATTTATTTTTGTCTCGAAATTAATATTTTTGTAATTTTTATAATTTCTGAAATTTTTGTCCTTTTGTACTTTTTGTAATTTTCAAAATTTTTGTTTTTTAATACTTTTTGTAATTTTTGGAATTTTTCAAAATTTTAAATTCTCACCCGCGGTTTATTCAAATATTTATTTCCTTCAGTCTATCGTCATATTTTCAAAAAATTCTGTTAAAAAAACGTTTTCCGGTTTTTTTTCAAAAAATTAACAACACTTTGACACTTTTTAAATTTTTCATATTTAAAAAAAAATTTTTCCAATTTACAAGATTTGAAAACGGCAATGATGCCTTGAAAACGATTAGCGCTGGACTAAATTGTATAGCTGCATTTTTCAATAGTATTAGTTTATCGTTGCATTTCTCGACGTCGCGCCGACGCACTTAAAACTTATCACTTAATTCTAAACGAAAGTAGAAAAAAAAACAAAAGCAATTATTTTTTATTATTATAATTCGAAGCATGTATTTTGAGTTAATCGGTCAGATAGCTCAAAATAAAGCATGCAAATTGATATACGTACATTTATAAAGAATGACGTGTCTCTCTTTTTTTTTAAATTTTTGCGAATTAAAAAGTCGCTTAATTTTTTTATTCTCGATAAAATGTAATTTTCTCCCAGATAAGAAAATTGCAGTCTAATGAAACATTTAAAATACTTTAACTTAAATACATTGCCCTTAATGAAAATAATACCGTAAATATTGACATTGATAAAAAGATTATATCTTTTTGTTGATATCTTCGATTAACAATCAGAGTATTATAAAAAAAAAGAGAGAACAAAATTAGTTGGATCATTAAACTTGATAAAATACAATGTAATTATATTTTATTGAATGTTAATTTAAATTAATTTAAGAAACAGACAAAAATTTTTTATTGTAAAAATGTTTTTAATAAATGTATACAATTACAAACAAAAACCGCAAAGTTAGGACTAAGAATAAATAAATAAATAAATAAATAAATAAATAAATAAATAAATAAATAAATAAATAAATAAATAAATAAATAAATAAATAAATAAATAAATAAATAAATAAATAAATAAATAAATAAATAAATATAAATAAATAAATAAATAAATAAATAAGTAAATAAATAAATAAATAAATAAGTAAATAAATAAATAAATGAATAAATAAATGAATAAATAAATGAATAAATAAATGAATAAATAAATATAAATAAATATAAATAAATTAATAAATAAACAAATAAATAATAAAACCTACATAATAATTAATGAATATTAATAATAATAAATTAATAACAACAATTAATTAATAATTAAAAATTAAAAATAATAATAAAGAAATTTAAATAAAAAGTAATTTTTAAAAAACATGGTAATAATCAAATATTTTATTTTGGTATAATGTAATACATCTTTAAGGGTACTTGAACCATAATGACGTCACAGTTTGTGCAAAGTATGTGTTCAAAAACTGTGACGTCATAATGGTTCAAATGCCCTTAAAAAAATTAAAAAGAAAAAACTTTAAAAAATTCTAAATTAACATTTTATTGAATAAAATATAATACAAAAAAAAAATTAAGCAGTTGTGATAAAACAAAACCGGCCTCTGCAGATAGGCAACCTATTATTACGCTGTGTATTGATGCAAGATAGCTGCACAAAAGTCTACGACTGAAATAGACCTTCCATTGGCACATAGTCCACATTAAGTTATTTCAATTAAAATACGAAAGGAAGTATTTGAATACTCACAGAATATTAAAATATTTATTAATTTATTCATTAAAATAAGAGTTACAGTGAACAAAAAATTTATTTAATTCAAATAAATTACTTGTCTATTGGCAAATAAATATTTACTTAAATCAAATAATTGTTATTTAAAACAAATAAATTTGAATAAATAATTATTTGAGCCAATAATTTCATTATTTCAAGTAAATTTGATTGAAGCAATTTGATTGATTTAAATAAAATTGATTTGATTCAAGTAAATATTTATTTATGGTTAATAAATTTGAATCAATAATTATTTGTGCCATAATTTCAATGTTTCAAGCAAATACCATTTATAATTGATGTAAATAAAAATTCTTTGATTCAAGTAAATGTTTATAAGAAATTTTAATAAAAATTAATAAATGGAAAAAAGTAAAAAATTCTTTAAACAGTTAAAGTAAATTTATATATATTCATCTAATTATTTATAAGAACTTTTAATAGAAATTAATAAGTGAATTAAATGTAATATTTAATTTTTAATTATTATTTATTCATTCATTATTATTTTAGAGTTTTAGACTATTTGAAAGACTATTCAAATATTGTTTACTAAGATATTTAATATTGCAAAGAATTGTATCAAAGTCTTTAAAAATAATTGCATTATCACGAAGAAGTTTATTAAAATTTTGAAAAATAATTGAAATTCTGCAAAGAAATTGAAATCTTTAAAAATAATTGAATTCATGTGAAGAATTTCATAATAATTTTTGAAAAAAATTGAATAGTTTTTAAAAATTTTATTATCTATGGAAACAATTGAAATTTTGGAAAAAATTTTATTGAAATTTTTAAAAATAATTAAATTTTAGAGAGAAATTTTATTATTTTAACCAAATAAGTGAAGTCTGAGAAAGAATTTTATTGGTTATGAGAATAATTAAATTCTTGGGAAAAATTTTAATGAAATTTTGGAAAATAATCGAATACTTGTAAAGAATATTATTGACATTTTTGAAAATACTTTATTGAATTCACTATAGAAAAATTTTATTATTTAAACAAATAATTGAATTTTGAAGAAGAATTTTCTTAAAATTAAAACAAATAATTCAATTCTGGAGAAGAATTTTATAATTTATGAAAATAATTGAATTCTTGGGACAAAATTTTATTATTTATGAGAATAATAATTGAATTCTTGAAAAGAATTTTATTTAAATTTTTGAAAATTTTCTTTCGAAAAATTTTATTATTCATGAGAATAATTTATTATATATTGCATTAATTGAATTGTTTGGAAGAATTTTTATAGAAATTTTGAAAAAGAATTGAATTCTTTAGATAAGTTTTATTATTTAAGGAAATAATTGAATTTTCGCAAAGAAATTATTCAAATTTGTCAAAATAATGGTTTCGAATTATTTGGAAGAATTTTATTGAAATTTTTAAAAATAATTGAATTCTTTAGAGAAATTTTATTATTTAAAGAATTAATTGAATCGTTTTTAATAATTTTATTATCTATGAAAACAATTGAATTCTTTAGAAGAATTTAATTGAAAGGTTTGAAAATAATTGAATTATTAGAAGAAATTTCATTGTTTAAAAAAATAATTGAATTCTGACGAAGTATTTTATTGAAATTTAGGAAAATAATTGTTTCGAAGGATTTCATTATTTCAAAAAAAGAATTGAATTCTTTCGAAGAATTTTATTGAAACTTTAAAAAATAATTGAATTGTTAGAAGAAATTTTATTATTTAAAAAAATAATGTAATTCAGACCAAGAATTTTATTGAAATTTTGGATAATAATTGAATTCTCGGGAAAAATTTTGAAATTTTCGAAAATAATTGAATACTTTAGAGAAATTTTATTATTCAAACAAATAATTAAATTCTTTGGAAAAATTATATTGAAAATTTTTAAAATAATTGAATTCTTCAGAGAAATTTTATTATTTAAACAATTAATTGAATCGCTTTTGATAATTTTGTTATCTAAGAAAACAATTGAATTCTTTAGAAGAATTTTATTGAAGGGTTTGAAAATAATTGAATTCTCAGAAGAAATTTCATTGTTTAAAAAAATAATTGAATTCTGACGAAGTATTTTATTGAAATTTAGGAAAATAATTGTTTCGAAGGATTTTATTATTTCAAAAAAAGAATTGAATTCTTTCGAAGAATTTTATTGAAACTTTAAAAAATAATTGAATTGTTAGAAGAAATTTTATTATTTAAAAAAATAATGTAATTCAGACCAAGAATTTTATTGAAATTTTGGAAAATAATTGAATTCCTAAATTAATTTATTCATCTAATTATTTACAAAATTCAAAAAAAGAATAAGGAAAATAAATAGAAATAGGAGAAATAATAATAAAAGCAATATAAAAAATTGCAAGAATAATAATATAAGATTAATAATAAGAATATTAGTTCTTTTACTTGATAGTGAGTAATAAAAATTTTAAGAGCTTTTAAAGGCCTAGTAAAATTTTTTAATACATCAGTCATATAATAATATTAATAATAATTGTAGTAAAAATATTTTTTTTTTTTGAGAGGTTGAGATGAATAAGTGAAATGAAATAATAATAATAATACCTAATTATTATAATAATATTCCTAAAGTACGAAACATTCTTTTAAATGCGAAAAAATATTCCTATAAGTATAAAAAAAAATATTGTTAATTCAAGATTTTTATACAAAAAAAAATCTTTGGCAATAATAGTAATAATAAATTTGTAATTTGGTTGAAATTTTTCCGTCAAATTTCAGGTAAGTTCATAAACATAATTATCTAAAACGATAACAATATATATATACATTCAGCAAAAATAAAATCTCAACTTTTATGATTCATTTGTTACATACAATAGAAAATTTTACATTGTCATGAAATGATCTATTGTTTATGTAAGGCGAGTGTCTGTCTTCAAGTACGAGACATTTTGATAAAAGTTATCACAAAAACTGATTATAAATAATAGTAGTCGATATGATTATATTTGAGAAAATTTTTCCTCTTGTTGATAATTATTATTCTCTTAAAAAAATCTCACTTCAAACAACAACAAACCATGAAATTTTTTTTAGACACATAATACCTGGTTTTTTCCCTTCTTTTTTTTTTCGTTGGAACCAGATTTTTTTTCTCTATAACTAATTTTCCTATTCTAGCACAAAAATTTGTTCTTAATTTTTTCGTTAATCTATTTTAATAAATTTAAATTTTAATCTAAATAATTTAATTAATTGTTAACTTAATCAATTATCCTAAATAAGTTTTGTATTTGTTTTTGTCAATTTTTTCGATTTATTAATGTTGAAATTGAAAATAAATCTCTAATAAATATTAGAAGGCTAAATAATTTTTATAATAATTAATTAATTATTGTATGATATTATTATTGTAAATTGTTATAATTATTATTATAATTAAATAGTTATTTAATAGGTTTAATATAATAAAATATAATTTTATTTTGTCAAAGAAGAGATATTTAATTTTTTTATGAATCAATCGATCTTGTTCAAAGATTAATTCAAAGTACAATCAAAATATAATAATATTTAAGAATGATATATACAAATTCAACTATATCGATAAATTATATAATAAAATTTTTGTTTTGGTTAAAATTCTGATAAACAGTGAGTCAATTTCCTGTTTAGAAAATATTCTTTCACAATAATATTTATTTTGCAGTATTCTTGCCGTGAGAATGAGTATTGATCTTTTATCTAGAAGAATAATCAATTTAATTGACAATGTAATATTTAATTTTTTCATTTATAATTATTCTGCATCAGTCATTATTTTAATGACTATTCAATTATTCTATTAAATTATTTAAAAAAATAATTTCACCGAGAAATGTAAGCAATTTTTTTCCCACCTAATATTTAATTATTAAATGAAACTAATATTTATTTAGATTATTATTATTATTATTATTTTCTTTTTTTTACTATGTATTATTTTATTTTTTTTATTTTTAGGTAATTTTATTATTTTTATGATTATAAAAAATATAAAAGAAAAAAACATTTTGTTAACGGTCAACTATATTGAAATTATTTTTTAATTTCTTTTTGTTAGATTAGATATTTTATTACGAATTTTGTAAAACATACTGTATTATATAATTCTGACGTTTAAATATTATCAATATTTTAATAAACAAATATTTTCTTAGATTAAATATTTATTTAACTTATAAATTCTTTTAAAAAAAATCTTCTTTTAAATTCTTTCAATAAATAAATTTATAGCCTGGCTTACAATTGCTCTAATGATTAACGTTTAAGCGAACGAAACGTATTTTTTTATTAAAAATATTTTCATATAACTTTTGTTTTATTTGTTCAAATTTCCACTAATTCAAATTTTGTGTTATTTATTTTTCAAGAAAAATAAAGAAATTATTTTATTTTCCACAACAATCTTGATAAGAATTTTAAAAAAATTTTTGGAAAATAATCGACATCTTGTAAAGAATATTATTGACATTTTGGAAAACACTTTATTAAAATCATTAGAAAAATTTTATTATTTAACGAAATAATTGAATTCTGACGAAGAATTTTATTAAAATTTAGAAAAATAATTGAATTCTTTCGAAGAATTTTATTTAAATTTTGGAAATGAATTGAAATTTCGGGAAAAATTTTTATAAAAATTTCGGAAAATAATTGAATTGATTCCAAAGGTTTTTATATTATTTCTGAAAATAATTGTATTCTTTGAAAGAATCTTATTGAAATTTTAAAAAATAATTGAATTGTTAGAAGAAATTTTAATTTTTAAAGAAATAATTGAATTCTGACGAAGAATTTTATTGACATTTTGGAAAATATTTAAATTCTCGTAAAAAATTTTGAAATTTTCGAAAATAATTGAATACTTTAGAGAAATCTTATTATTCAAACAAATAATTGAATTCATTGGGAGAATTTTACTGAAATTTTGGAAAATAATTTAATTCTGACGAAGTATTTTATTGAAATTTCGGAAAATAATTGAATTGATTCCAAGGATTTTATTATTACTGAAAATAATTGTATTCCTTGAAAAAATTTTATTTGATATTTTAAAAAATAATTGAATTGTTAGAAGAAATTTTATTATTTAAAGAAATAATTGAATTCTGACGAAGAATTTTATTGGAATTTTGGAAAATAATTGAATTCTCGGGAAAAATTTTGAAATTTTCCAAAATAATTGAATACTTTAGAAGAATTTTATTGAAATTTTTGAAAATAATTGTGTTCTTAGGACAAATTTTATTATCTAAAAAAATAATTGAATTCTTGGAAAGAATTTATTTTAAAATTTCTGAAAGTAATTGAATTTTTTTAAATAATTTTATTATCTATGGAAATAATTGTATTCTTCCGTAGAATTACTCTCAAAATTTTTGAAAAAAATTGAATTGTTTTAAGAATTTTATTATCCATAGAAATAAGTGAATTCGTGTAAAGAATTTTATTTAAATTTTTGGAAAATAATTGAATTCTTGACAAAAACTTTATTATTTAAAGAAATAATTGGATTCTTGCGAAGAATATTTTTTTAAATTTCAGAAAATCATTGATTTGTATCCAAGATGTTTAATAAAATTTTTCAAAAAATAAATAATTTGTAATAATGGTAGAAAAAAATAATTACCTTATACTTTATCTTCAATTCACTTAAATTTCTCTTTTTTCATCAATACACTGTTCACTTTTTTTCCCCTCACCTTTCGATGTAGAAACACATTTTCAACACTAATTCTACATTTCATTTTCGTAGCATAAAATTTGGAAAATATTCTTCGAAAATTTTTCTTTGAGCAAAATATTTTTTTCCTATTAATAAAATTTTCCATTTTCTCAATTTTTCAACACATATAAATTATAAACCTTTATATTGTAATAAAATTCGTTAAATTTGCTAGTAACACGACGTGATTGAGGTGACGAGATTGAATCGAGTACCAAATTAGAAATCCGAATGATTCTATATAGACATATATATATATATATAAAAGGCCTTTAATTTTAAAGATGGGAAGAAGTTGCTTTCGGCCACCGACTCGGAACACTAAATGTCATTAGGTATAACGTCTGATTTGGCCCAAGTTGGCAAACATTATGGCGCAATAAAATTTCTGTTCTTCAGTTATACATTTCTAATTAAGAATCAGTTTGCGAGTTTCGTGTTGTTGCATTTCTTTCTATTGTTGAAAAATTTAACCCTCCTTTATTGTCATCAAAAAGGCAACAAATAAAAAAAGAAAAAGACGCGATTTAGAATCAAAATTAAATTTTAATCGGTTAAGTGAAATTCTTTTAAATTGGTGCCAAATAAATACAAGGTGAATGACGACGGCATCATCGAACCAGGAAATCATTTAACACAAAGAGGTGCGATCGACTTCGTCTTCCTGGGTCAATAATTTTTTCTTTATTTTGCATTTTTCAAAAGAAAACACGAAAAGAGAGAAACAAAATTAAAAATTTTTAAATCAGATTATTATAATTCCATTGTTTATACTTTTTGTATTTCTTTTCTTTTAGTATCAATTTTCAATCAGTTATTAAACAATTTACAATGCAATTTTTTTTTAATTTTTAAATTAATAAAGTTAAATATAAATAAATTAATAAAATTAATAAAATTAATAAAATTAATAAAATTAATAAAATTAATAAAATTAATAAATAGTTCTCATGCTTTAAATGATAAAACTAATGAATTTAAAACAAATAGTAGAAATTAATTAATTAATAAAATTAATAAAAATTATTGTCCCTACAGTTTTGAATGTTCCAATGAACAAAAATATTTTTTATTACTTTTTTCAATTTTAATTTTGTTACGAACTAATTATCTGTACAATAAAGATAAATAATTTTTAATTCAATTAATTCAATTAATTTATTTAATTTTTAATCAATTTTTAATCAGTTGAAATTACTGTTTACAATACAAATTTTTTTTGTTTACATTAATTTTTAATTAGATAATAAATAATTGATGAAAGAATATTTTTTGTTTTATATTATTTTTAATCAGTTAATAAATAGGTAGTTACAATACAATTATTTTTTATTTAATCAATTTTAAATTACATAGTTCATATTTTCTTTTATTATTTTTTTTATCAATTTTATTTATTTTATTTTATTAACGAATTAGCAAAAATATTTTTCAAAACAAATTTTTTTTTACAAATTTTCCTTTATCAATTATTTTAATAAGAAACAATTTCAAAAAGAAAAATTTTATTTTTTCCTTCTGGAAAGTATTTTTTTCATTTACAAGACCAAAAAAAAAATTTTTTTTTTCCCTAATTTATTAGAATAACAATATTTGTCAGCTGACGAGAGAAAATTTTAAAGAAAAATAGTTTCAAAGTTTAAAAACATTTAATGGAAGTTGAGCAAGTGAAAAGATTGTTTGTACTTTAAATATAGAAGATCGAACCGTGACATTAAGTTCCTACAAGTGCTTCTCTGACAGAGAGCTTCGGTATTTCAGGTTCAAGCTGGTTAGGTGTCATAAAAGCAAAACATCTCCGAAAAAATTAGAAATTAAATTATTTTTCGAAAAAAGAGAAATTTTTTTCTTTAAAAAAAAAAAATTAACTAGAATAAAAATTTCAATTAAAGTAAAATGACACAAGTTATAAAAAAATTGCAGTTTTTGGAAATTTTTATATTTTTTGTAAATAAAAATTAGAAAAAAAATAGAAATTAGAAGTAAATTTATAAATAGAACATGAAAACAATTTTTTTATCGAAAAAAGATGATTTTTTTTAAAGAAATAATTGAATAAAATCAATATTTAATTAAAATAAAGTGCTACCGTATTTATAAAAAATCACAGTGTCAAAATTATGACATATTTTTTGTAAACAAAGTTTAGGAAAAAGTAGAAATTATGAGTAAATTTATAAGAAATTAATATTAATTAGTATTAATTACTAGTAATTAATAAATAAATTATTTATTTAAGGGATTGGTTCACTGATATTTTTATCTATATCAAGAAAATAATTTAAATATTCCGTAAAATTATTTTTATAGTAATTTATTTAGAGGAATTCAATGACAAGAAAATATTTTGACACTTTTTGAATTTTTATTTTTCCTAAAATTTTGGCAGATTTTGAAATCCATAGATAATTTTGTAGAAATTATATTTTTGTAATCACAAATAAATTGCCAAATGAAAAAAATGATTTTTACTATTTTTGAAGCATTTTTTTTTGGAAAAAAACTGTTATTTAATTGAAAATTTAAACAAAAATACCATTTCTATTTAATTTTTTAAAATAGAAATTTATGTTTATTTTTATAAATTAATTTCTAATATCTAATCTATGGAAATAATTTAATTTTTTGCAAACAAGTTTATTGAAATTTTAGAAAATAATTGAATTCTTTTAGAGAAATTTTATTATTTAAACAAATAATTGATTTTTCTCAAAGAAATTATTCAAATTTTGGAAAATAATTTAATTATCTCGAAGACTTTTATTATTTATGAGAATATATGATTAGACAAGTTTTATTATTAAAATAAATAATTGAATTTTGACGAAAAATTTTATAAAAATTTAGGAAAATAATTGAATTCTTTGGAAGAATTTCATTTAAGAAAAATAATTGAATTTTTAGAAGAAATTTTATAATTTAAAAAAAAATTGAATTCTGGCGAAATATTTTATTGAAAAGGAAAATAATTGAATTATTTTGAATGAATTTATTATTTATGAAAATAATTGAATTCTCGGGAAAAATTTTGAAATTTTCGAAAATAATTGAATTTTTTTAAAGAAATTATTCAAATTTTAGAAAATAATTGAATTATCTCGAAGACTTTTATTATTTATGAGAATAATTGATTAGACAAGTTTTATTATTAAAATAAATAATTGAATTTTGACGAAGAATTTTATAGAAATTTAGGAAATTAATTGAATTCTTTCGAAGAATTTCATTTAAGAAAAATAATTGAATTTTTAGAAGAAATTTTATAATTTAAAAAAAAAAAAATTGAATTCTGGCGAAATATTTTATTGAAAAGGAAAATAATTGAATTATTTTGAAGGAATTTATTATTTATGAAAATAATTTAATTCTTTAGAAGAAGTTTATTGAAATTTTGAAAAATAATTGAATTCTCGGGAAAAATTTTGAAATTTTCAATAATAATTGAATAGTTTAGAGAAATTTTATTATTCAAACAAATAATTGAATTCTTTGAAAGAATTTTATTGAAATTTTAGAAAATAATTAAATTCTAACAAAGTATTTTATTGAAATTTATGAAAATAATTGAATTGTTTGGAAGGATTTTATTATTTATGAAAATAATTTAATTTTTTGGAAGAATTTAATTGAAATTTTGGAAAATAATTGAATTCTGACAAAGTATTTTATTGAAATTTATGAAAATAATTGAATTGTTTGGAAGGATTTTATTATTTATGAAAATAATCTAATTCTTTGGAAGAATTTAATTGAAATTTTGGAAAATAATTGAATTCTGACGAAGTATTTTATTGAAATTTAGGAAAATAATTGAATTGGTTCGAAGAATTTTATTATTTATGAAAATAATTGAATTGTTTCGAAAATTTTATTATTTAAGAAAATAATGAAAGTCATTGAAAGAATTTTATTGAAATTTTGGAAAAGAATTTGATTATAGCATACTAATAATTATATCTAGTAAAATATAAAAAAACTAGAAATCTAATTAATTTTTAAAAAATGAAAAAAAAGAAAAAATTATCTAGAATAAAAATTTAAATTAAAAAAAAAATAAATACTTCCTTTATGAGAAAGTAATATAATTAATAGGTATCTATTAAATAAATAAATAAATAAAAATGCCAGCAATTAGAAAAAATTGTGACATATTATTATCAGAAATAAAATTTCCAAGAAAAGTACAAATTATAAAAGAAATAAGGAAAATAAAATTCTATATTTGAAAAAGGACAAAATAATTATAATATTTATTATATTCAAAAACGTCATTTTCATAATATTAATCAGCTGAAAATGACGTTATTGTATCTGATAAATGATGCAAGTTAAAGTAAATAATCATGTCTCATAAGCAAATAATTTGGCGTCTGGTCTATTTGTCCTGTGAGAAACTCTTAATTCGTGGTATAAATAATTCTCCGTCACAGCAATCATAAATCATGAACAAGTAGCTTTAACTTCTTGTCTTGTGTATTTGCCAAAATAAAATTTTTTATCCTATAAAACTTGATTCCCTTATTTGTTATTAAAACACCCAACAATCATAGAACATTTTTTCCTTTTTTTGGAATAAAGCACTAAAAATATCTCTTTTTAAAGAAAAGAGAAAGAAAGAAAATAAAAAAATTTTTTTTAGATTGTTTGCATCGCATACGTTTTATTTCCCTCAAGGTGAAAATATTTTTTTTTAAAAATGACATTTTGACACATCATGCGAGTCTCTTATCAGAAGTGCCATTTTTTTCTCTTACTCAAGCTATTGTAAACTCATCTCCTGTCAACAGATTTGTTATTCAAATTCAAAATCTCGAGTCAAAAAAAAAATCTCGTGTTTGTCATTATTAAATATGTCCAAAGAAGTATTATCGATTTTTAATGAAGAAAGTGAAAAATTTATTGGCAAAATAAAAAAAACAACAGGAAACGTAGCAACAATAAAATAGTTATTAACAATAATATTTACAACTATAATAAAATAATTAAAATTTATTATTTATATAATTTTTATAATTAATAATTTTAATTATTATTATTAATTAACAATTAATAATGAAATATTATTAATAAAACAATTATTATTAATTATTTTATTATTAAGAATAAAATATTAATAAAATAATAATTATTAATTATTTTTAGTAATAATTATTATTATTATTAATAACTGTTTTGTTGTTGCTAATTATTAAAAGTGTTACTATTGTATTAATAATATAATTTTATTATAATATAATAAAATAATTATTATTAATTATTTTCTTGTTGAGATTTACTAAAAGTTTTAGTATCGCATTAATAAAATAATGATTAAAAACAATTATTATTAATAATAAAATAAATAATAATTACTAAAATAGTACCTAAACTAATTTAATAATAAATATTTCCTGGTATTACAAATTTTTCGTCATCAGTTTTACTACGCCAATATTGTTGTTGTTATTGTCACAGACAACCAAGAGCATTTTAAATTATCAAAATACAATAAGGAATCAAATTGTCAAATACAATAAAAAGAACAATTATCAATACAATAAAAATCAAATAAAAAATTTAAAAAAAACAGTTTTCTTCCTTTTTTTGTTTTTCGAAAAATAAAAATTAGTTTTTTTTTGTTTTTCTAAATGGAAAATTGATTAAACACAAAATTTATTGTTCGATGAACAAATAAAGTATGAGATGACATTTTATATTTTCAGAATAATTCAAATACTGCAAGGGAATAATATTTGTTTGTCAAATATGTGATATTTTTTTTTTTTTTATTATCATATAAGGAAATAATAATGTCAAACACGGATAAATAGAGAGAAGCTGCTTTGTTCCTTTGATGGAATTCATAGAATTCTCTGAAGTTCTTTGCGATGACAAAAAAAAGCTTATCTCAAAAAAAAAAAAAAAAATGGAAAATGAAGACTTTCTTCACAATTTTTCTCACATTTTATCATTTTTTTAATCGCTTTTCTGAAGAAAAAAGAAGAATGAGAAAAACTTTCTTTTCGAATAATTTTATGCTATTCTTTTTTCTTACTTACAAGATTTTTTTGGATAAAACCAGTTTTTTTTTAGAAATATTTTTCTTTTATTTGGTTTCATTTAATTTCATCATCTTACAGTAATAGATAAAATTTATTCTCATTGTTGCAATAATTTTTTTTTAAATAAAAAAATCGGGTATTTTACCTTTTTCTGCATTTTTTAAAAAATTAAAAAAATAGTTTTTTGTTCAAACGATTTTTTTTTAAACGTTTGTTTCTAATTTTACAAAAGTTTTTTTTATTAAAATATTAATTTTTAATTTAACAAAATGTTCTGTATTAAAGTAGGGGAACATAGTCTAGGTCGGACACCTTTTTGACTTTTGTTTATAACTTTTTTTTAAAAATGAATTTGGACAATTGAAGTATATGGTTGGAAAGTCCTGTTTAATAGGAACATTTTTTCTGTACAAAGTAAATTGACAGGTTTAAAAATGAAAAAGTTATAAAGATTTAAAAAAAAAAAAATTTGTAGTCCAGGTTGGCCATTACAGTCAAGGTCGGCCATGTTTAAAATTCAAAGGGCATTAATCGTTAAAAAATAAAATAACATGTTTGGAGTTAAGGAAAATTGATTCTTTATTGTTTACAGTTTGTAACTTAATGAAATAACAAAATAATAACAATAAACAATATAAAAAAATAAATATAAATAAAAAAAAGTTTTGCACTAAAATATTAATAAAATTAAATAAAAATATTAATAAGATGATCAATTATATTATGAGTTATACAGAATTGCAGTTTTTGCAAATGAAGTAGCTCGTCCTCAACTTTGCGCATTTTAAACACATAGTGGCCGACCTTGACAGTAAGTAACATTACCGAATTGTTGTAACCATAAAGAAATACGTTTCGGGATTCGATTTTTTACTTTGTTTTCCTTTCAACCATGAGAGTCCCACAAATTTTCTGCATGCTTGCCTTGACGATTCAATTTGTTTTTTATCTTTTATTAATGGTTTTTTACATTATGCACAAAACTTTTTTTGAGCTTTTTTTGTACCGACGTCACAGAAAACACAATTTTCGATTTACCGAAAATGTAATTGAACAAAAAGTTAGGTTTCACTAAGACAAGCTTCGACAAAAATGCGCGTAGGTGGCGCTAGTGAACTTGACAAAAAAACGCGAGTGGCCTACCTAGACAGTAGGCCAACCTTGACTACATTCCCCTATTTGTTTGTTTTCAATTTAACATTTTTTTAAAAAATCATTTGGTTATTTTTTGTTATTAATTGAACAAAATTAAAAAAAAGTTGGTAGAAATAAGTAAGAATAGAAATAATTAATTAAAAATTTGCTTCTAATTAAAAAATCTCCTTGTTTAAACATTTATTTTAATTTAACAACATATCTTAAATTTTATTTTGGGAAATAAAATAGAATGAAAATAAATATTCAAGTAAAAATTTGTTTTTCATTGAAAAAATTGTTTTTTAATTTTTAGAAATAGAAGAGAATATAAACAAAAATATTTAATTAAATTAATTTTTTTATTTTAAAACCTTTTCTTCTTTTAAAACATTTATTATTAATTTAGAAAAGGTAAAAAAAATTCTCTTTTGTAAATAAAATAGATTAGAAATAAATATTTAATTAAAGAATTTGTTTTCAATTAAAAAATTTGTTTTTCATTACTTAAAAAAGAAGAAAATTGATTTTAAATTATAGTTATAAAGTTATTTAACGTTTAATGTTTTTTTTTTAGTTTAATATGTTTTAATATAAAAAGATAATTATTGTTCTTTTATTGAAAAATAAAGTTGATTTGCCATTTGAAAAAAAAATAATTTTGGTTGTGTTTTATTATTATACGTTAATTATAAGACATTGATGTATTTTTAGCCATTGACGAGAATCATCAAAGATAATTAAGTTACAATAGACATAGCATTGTCTACTGTGCATGAATGTGTAAAGATAACAATTTATTTTCAGATATAAAGTTTCCTTCATTAAACATTCTTGATCATTTTTACTCTTCGCGATGTTACTCTAGATTGACTTTCCTGATTTTCTAAAAATAAATCGAAATTTGCCATTTTTCTTTTCACCCCCAAAAAATTTTTTTTAAGGGATGAGAGGGGGAGGATTTTTCTAAATATTTTTATTTGGTTTAGTCAACTATTTTTCAAAAAAGCGAAAATAAAGCAAATTCGTATTTAGAAATTAAAAATATTTTATTTTTTGACAAACACATAAATACCTATGCAAAATTGGTTTTTTTTATTGAAAAATATTTTTTTTTTAAATAATAATCTTTTTTCAAAATGTAAAAATCATTTAAAAAAAAAGAAATGTTTCTCTCATTAGTTTTGAATATGAGCAAATTAAATGTCTTTACGATGACCTTCCTCAAAGTTTATTAAGAGCCGACAAACTTTACTGCGTTGAAAATTTACGATTTGAATGAAAAACCTTGCTCCCTTTTTTCCTTTTCTTTTAAAACAGTTTTTTCAAATCAGGTGTATAAGAAAAGAAAAACAAACTTAACAAATTTCCAGGGAAAAAATTTTTATAATAATAATTAATTAATTATTATATTAATTATTTTATTAATTATCAATTTATTATATCAATAAACAGTAATTATATTACTATAATAAATTTAATAATATAAAAAAATTAATTAATTAATTAACTTAATAATAAAAAAAATTAGTTAATTTTTCATTTTAAAGTAAATTTTCTTAATAAATTAGCAATAGTTGACCCCAATTTATTAAGAACAATTAATTTTTTTTTTATCAGTCACATAGTCATCATGAGATTGGAAATCTCATTATACTGAAAACTTGTAGATAATTTTTGAAAAAAAAAATCCCCGTCACTTTATTTTTTTAAATTCAATGAACGATTACTAATTCGATATGAAGTCTTCTCCACCATTTTCCAGGAATGCACGTGTTAATTAGTTTCTCTTGTTTGCGATTGCAATAATCTTGAAGAAAGTAGAAAATCATTTTCAAATAATCCACATTAATCGCCTCTTTAAAAGCGTGCCTCGGATTAAAATATTTTTTCCAAAAATAACTTCCATTTGTCTTTCACAAAAAAGGGGTGCTTTATAAATTTTCGAGTACAAAATTAAAATTAAGAATTTTTTATTGAATTAAGTTTTAATTATTATTTCTAATTAATTGTTATTATTAATTATTATTCATTTTTACTACTACTAACTACTGCTACCATTATCACTAATACTACTACTAATTAATTATAATTACTATTAATTTTTATTATTAAGTAATTATGATTAGGTTAATTAATTAATTAATTGGTCTCAAGATCATTATTTCAATTTCTCATAATAATTAATGGTTAAAAATTGCAAGATAAAGTTTAAAATAATATTTTATTATTAAATAAATAAATAAATTTATTAGGTTTCATATTTATTAATACTTTTATGAATTTATAATACAAAATCTTGGTATTCTTGACAAATTGCAATTTTTTTTTTGCAATTTTACAATAAATTTTATGTTTTTTTTTTTTTAAATATTTTCTATCACAGTTTTCTTAAAAGTATCAAATTGGTACCAAATTGCATAAAATTTATACAGAAAATTGTTAAAAATTATTGGTCAACAAACTGTAGTCGAAATATAATGGAATGACTAATTTTTTCTATTCAAATTTTTTTTTTTTGGAAAATTTAAAGAAACGGTTCCCAAAAAATTTTTTACTTTTACTTTTGTTTTTTTTCTTTTTTGAATTACTTCCATAATAACTGATTGAAAATTATCAAATTTTATATGGTTATGACACATCAATAATTTAAGAAAGAGATGCAAAAAAAGATAAACAACTCAAATCTTGAGCATACACCATAAAAATAATGTTCGAAAATATTTTTCTCTTTTCTTTTTCTCTCTCTCTCTTTCTCTCTTTTTTTTGAGAATATGCAAGAAATTCATCCAATGAAGAAAGATTTTTGTTTTCAACTTTGACTATCTTATCAGGTTCAGGCGGCAAGAACCGGAAAAAGTATTATCGAGATGTCGTTTACTGCTCGCAATCAGTACAAATTTACCCACACCTTCAAAGATTAAAGAGATAAAGCTAGACCATATTAATCGCTCCTTGCAGACACCTTTTTCAGTCTATTAAGAGCCAGTGAGCAAAGGTGTTTTAACTTTTCTTCTTTTCTCTCTTGACTAAAGAGGCAAAAGAGAAAAAAAAAATAAAATAAAAAAATAAAAAGTTATTCGTCAGTTGGAGTTGTGATTTTTTACAAGGCAATATAAAGCAACAGTGTGGTTGTTCACCAATGAACAAAGGGAACGGTCACAGACGGAGGAGAAATCAAGGAACTCGCACAAAATTTCGCCGACTAATTAATCCCATTGCGAGGGAATTACAATCAACAATTTTCAACAGCAATTTCCACGATCTAAAGATCACGGAATTTAATAATGGGTGAGATTTTTATTGGAACACTTTTTTTTTTAATGTAGTTTTTGTATTTTTAAAATCATTTTAATATTTTTATTTTTTACTATTTTTTATTTTCTTTATTACTTTGATTTTTATTGTTTTTATTTTACACTACTGTTAAACTGTTATTTTTTTACTATTTTTATTTTCCACTAGTATTATTTCTTAGTATTTTTATTTTTTACTATTTTTATTTCCCACTACTATTATTTTTTACTATTTTTTTACTAGTAGTTTTTTAACAGTAGTTTTAACAATAGTTAGATAATTTTTATTTTTTACTATTTTCATTTTTCACTACTAATATTTTTTACTACAATTTATTTTCCACTACTATCATTTTTTACTACTTTTACTTTCCACTGCTAAAATATTTTTTACTACATTTATTTTCCACTGCTAAAATATTTTGTACTACATTTATTTTCCACTTCTATCATTTTTTACTACTTTTACTTTCCACTGCTAAAATATTTTTTACTACATTTATTTTCCACTACTATAATTTTTTACTATTTTTATTTTGCATTACTTATATTTTTTACTATATTTATTTTCCACTACTATTATTTTTTACTATTTTTATTTTTCATTACTTATATTTTTTACTATATTTATTGTCCACTACAATTATTTTTACTATTTTTATGTTTTACTAGTAGTTTTTTAACAGTAGTTGTAACAATAGTTAGATAATTTTTTTTTTGCTATTTTCATTTTTCACTAGTAGTTCTTTTTGAGAAATTATTTACGAAAATACTTTTGAATGTTTAAAACTTAAAATCATTTTACTATTTTTATTTTTTGCTAGTAGTTTTTTAAATAGTTTTTTAACTATAGTTCTTCAACAGTATTTTAATAATAGTTTTTAATAGTAGTTTTTAATAATAGTTTTTAATAGTAGTTTTTAATAGTAGTTTTTAATAGCAGTTTTTAATAGTAGTTTTAACAGTAGTTTTTTAAAAGTTTTTTTTAACAGTTTTTCAACAGTACTTTTTTAATAGTAGATTTTTTAATAGTAGCTTTTTAATAGTAGTTCTTTTATAGTAGTTTTTGAATAGTAAATTTTTATTGTCGTCTTTTATAATCATTTTTTAATAGTCGTTTTTTACTACAAATTTTATTAGGTACTAATTTTTCACTAGTACTATTAAACAAATTTTTAATTCAAAATATTTTCGAACGATTATTTTTCACATTTGAAATAGTTTGAAATACAATAAATAAATAGGTCAATTATAAACTCCGTAAAGCACGTTAACGTTATTCCACTAAATTTTTGAACACAATCGAAAATGTAATTAAGACATATGGCAAACAATTAAATTAGAAAAAGTAGAATTTCAATTTTTTTTTCAATTTTCTATTACAAATTAAACATTTTTGTCATTTTTTTAATTACAAAAAATAATTTCAATTACTTTTATTTTAATTTTTATTAGAAAAAATAATTTCAATTACTTTTATGTTAATTTTTATTAGAAAAAATAATTAAATACCTACTTATATTTACTTTCATTATAAAAAAATAATTATAAAATTTAAATTTATGGAATTAAATTTCATGAGTTATTTGTAATTATATGAAATAATTATGAACTAATTATTTTTTTCTTTATGAAAAAGAAATTGAATAATTTCTTTTATTTTTCTTTGCAAAATAAATAAAAAATTACTTGCTTTTTTTATTGTCAAAAAATGAATAATTTCTCTTCTTTTTTATGTAGTAAAAAAACAAAATATTTCATTTTTTCTTTCTTTATAAAAAAAAACTGAATAATTACTCAATTTTTTCAATAAAAAATTAAAAGATTTTTATACAAATTAATGAATCGTTTAGTGGAATGTCTGTACGTGTGGTCTTTATCGCCGGTTGAATGATTGACTTGTATCACTGATTTATCTAATTTTTACCGAAAGGATTTAATAAAATGTATAATTTCATAATTTCAGGGCTCGATTTCCTAGCAGACGGAGGTGCAGACTTCGAACATGCCATCACCCTCACAGGTAAGATTTATTATTGTAAATATTTTTAAAAAATTATCTTAAATAATACATTTTAAAAGCAACAAATATTGAAATTAATAAATATTGAAAGTAGTAAATACTAAGAGTAATAAATACTAAAAATACCAAATACTAAAAGTAATAATTACTAAAAAAATACTAAAAATACCAAATACTAAAAGTCGTAATTACTAAAAAATACTAAAAAAAGTAAATACTAAAATAAATAAATACTAAAAAAATAAATGCTACAAATAGTAAATACTAGAAGTCATAATTACTAAAAAAAATACTAAAAATACCAAATACTAAAAGTCGTAATTACTAAAAAATACTAAAAATAGTAAATACTAAAATAAATAAATACTAAAAAAATAAGTGCTACAAATAGTAAATACTAGAAGTCATAATTACTAAAAAAATACTAAAAATACCAAATACTAAAAGTCGTAATTACTAAAAAATACTAAAAATAGTAAATACTAAAATAAATAAATACTAAAAAAATAAATGCTAAAAATACTAAATACTAAAAGTCATAATTACTAAAAAAAATACTAAAAATACCAAATACTAAAAGTAATAATTAATAAAAAAATACTAAAAATAGAAAATACTAAGAAGAATAAATACTAAGGGTAATAAGTGTAAAAATTAATAAATACTGTAAATACCAAATACTAAAAGTCATAATTACTAAAAAAATACTAAAAATACCAAGTACTAAAAGTCGTAATTACAAAAAATACTAAATACTAAATAAATACTAAAAAATGAATGCTAAAAATACTAAATACTAAAAACAATAAATACTGTAAATATTGAAATTACCCAATACTAAAAGTAATAATTAATAAAAAAATACTATAAATAGTAAATACTAAGAGTAATAAATACTAAAAATACTAAATACTAAAAGCAATGAATACTAAAAATAGTGAATACTAAAAGCAATAAATACTAAAAATAGTGTAAATAATAAGAGCAAGAAATACTAAAAATAATAATAAATATATTATTTCAATAAGTAAATAATACACTGAAAAAAAAATTTAATTGATTCAAATATTTATTTAATTGACTATTATCAATTAAATATTTACTTGAATCAAATAATATTTATTAGAGTCAATTAAATGGTATTTGAACGAATAATTTCAGTATTTGAAGCAAATATGAATTGCACCATTTAATTGACTCCAATAAATATTATTTGATTCAATTAAATATTTAATGGATAATATTCAATTAATCGGTTAATTGAATCAAGTAAATTTTTTTTTCAGTTTAACATTAACCATAAATAGAATATTTATTAATAACTAATAATTTATTTATTTTATTTATTTATACGTATAATGAATTAATAATTAAAAATAAATAATTCACTTATCTTTTCGTCTATACGTTACGTATACGATTTTTATAATATTTACATCTTACCATGAAAATTTAACAAAAAACAATTCTTATTTACAAAAATAATAAATAAATTCATTATAAAAAACCACTATGGAAAAAATTACTAAGAAAAAAATCCGCGAGAAAATTTGCGAGTTTCTAAATAAAAAAAAAAAAAAATTTTCCTGTATAATTAGCAAAACAAATAAGGAAAGTTGAGAAAATATTTTCTAAATATGCGACAATAATATATAATTCGTATGACAGTAGCTAATTACCACCTTATTATTATATCTAAAAATGAAAGAAACGTGTAATTAAATTTAATTGTGTCGTCATAGACGAAAGAGAATTTCTGATTTTGAATGAAAAATAGAATAGTATATCTGTCACTTGCTATTGTATGTATATTGTTAAGCTGTTCAGAATTTAATTATACCAGTGGGTGTATGATTATCAATATTTATTTTGCTACCCAGAGACATTGTCACTGTCATTGCTTTTTATCAGTAATGCTCAATTTTTTTTCTCCTTTTCTCTTAAAAGAGAGATATCATTTTTTTTTTTTTTTTTTTTTTTTTTTTTTTGATGAGTTGCATTTATCTCAATCTTAAAAATGACAAATATTTGAGTTTGTTTAATAATAAACGACATTATACAGACGCAATTACAAATCGAGTTGTGATTTTTTTTATGGAACATTTTTTTAAAAATCATATAAAAAAAGAAACTATACAAATATAAATTTAGAAGTTTATTCTTTTTTTTTATCGAATAATGGAGGAATAAAAAAATTGATAACAGTTGTGACAATAATAAAATTCTCATATTCAGTGGCAATATCTTTCTAAAGTATTTTTATTTTGTTTTTTTATCAATTTTTGTTGTTATTTTTTTTGAAAAATTTTAGACACGAATTTTGAAAATAAATGATTCTTTCAATTGACGTATGATTAGAGTTATTTGACAATAATTTGTCATAAGCACGGAATTTATTTCTTTCAATTTTTAACATAAATAGGAAATAAAATTGATTCACTGATTAAATAATTACTTATTTACATAAAATTAATTAGCACTGATTCACTGATTAAATAATTACTTATTTACTTAAAATTAATTATCACTGAATCAAAAATGTGTATTTAATTCAAATAATTGCCTAGGTAGCTGACTATTGTCAAATAAATAATTTTTCATATCAATTTTTATGTAAATAAAATAATTTAATCAAATAAAAAAATTGTTATTTAAATAAAATAATTTCCATTCAAATTAAATAATTTTTATTTAGATCAGATAATTTCTATTATAGACATTTTTCTTTGAAAAAAAATTATTTCTACTAAAGTAGAGAAATTTTTATTTAAATATAAAAGTTTCTATTCGAAAAAAATAATTTTTTATTAATTAACATTTTCTCTGAATGTAAAAATTATTAGTTCAATTACATTTTTTTTTAATTTAAATAAAGAATATATTTATTTCAAGTACCTAAATATTTAATTGAAAATAGTACCTAATCTGTTATTTGATTTAAATAAATTTTCTATTTATCACGAATTCACAAATTAAAAATAAATAATATTATTTATTACGAAATATTATCCTAAAAAGAATTTATTTCAAATTAAGAAAATTTTTCAATTTTATTTTTTATGAAAATTTATGTTAAAAATAAATAATGAATTAATTTTTTAGGTTTCGGGAAATTCCACTATATGTTACTTGCAATTAGTGGATTAATTTACATGGACACAGCAATTGGTGTAACAGTTTTGTCATTCGTTTTACCAGCAGCACAATGTGATCTAGAAATGGATTCAACTGCAAAGGGTTTATTGACTGCTGCTCCAATGTTAGGTGAGTTTATTATTTTTTCTTTTATCAAATTTTAATAAATTATTATAATTTTTGGTAACAATAAATAAATAATAAATAAAAAAACACAAAATTTTCGAATCAGAAAAAATTATTTTCAAATTAACAGAGAAAATAACTCCTCCGATATTGAGAATATTTTTTTCGAAGTATTTTTTTGGTAATTTAAATAAAAATAGTAAAACAAAAATAATTGCGAAAAAATTAGGAATAAATTTTAATAAAAAATTGTTGGACAATTAGTTTCTTCAAATAGTGGAAATAGTATAAATTAATAATAATTAACAGTATATATTAAAAATAATAAAATAAATAATAGTCCGGTCTGTATATTTAATAAAATAAATAAAATACACAAAATAGTAAATAATCGGAAATAATAGTAAATAATAGTAAATAATAATAAATAATAAAAAAAATTAAGAATTTATACAGTAAAAATAACAATTATTATTGTAGAATAATATAATAAATCAAAAAAGAAATATGGATATAAAATATTAAAGGATTAAATCAACTTAAATTCTCGCTCTTTTCTTTATAGCTAAAAGAAAAGACAATATCGATTATTAGATTCTAAGTGAGGCCTTATAAAATTTCATTACGAAACTAATTGGCTTTGTTGTACAATATTCTGTATATTGACAACATGCATTCAAGACTGAAATTTCAATCAAATTAGATTACTTAATAATTTTTCAGAAAAATTGTTTTTTTCTTTTAATGATAAAAGAAAAGAAATTAAATTAATTATTAGAAACTAGCAACAATTCGAGCGCTAAAGCGCGCGACTAACTTTTTAGGGTAAAATTAGCAATTTTAAAAATAATAGAATTTAAAAATTTGTAATTCAAATTTTTATTCAAAATACTAAAAAAATCCAATTTTGAAAAAATTACAAATAATTGCAGAAATTCAATTATTTTCAAGAGTGATAAAATTCTTCTCATAAAATTCAATTATCTTTCAAATTTAAAAAAAAATCCTCGTTCAAATCCCAATTATCTTATTATAAATAACAAAATTCTTCCCCAAAGTTCAATTATTTTCAAATCAATTTCAAATTCCCAAAAATAGTACCTACGCAAACATTTAATTATTTTTATAAATAATAAAAATTTCTCATGAATTCAATTATTTAAAATTTTTTTAATTAATTTCTTCGCAATAATTTAATTATTTTTATAAATAATAAATTCTTTTTAAGGAATTCAATTATTTTCAGTAAAAAAATAATTAAAAATTGTAGAAAATAATAATTGATTTAAAAAAATAATATCTCTTCTATTTTAATGAAACTACTCAAAAGAAATCAATCATTTAAAAAAAATTTAATAAAATTGTACGCAAACATTTAACTATTTTCATATAAATAATGAAAATTTTACAGGAATTCAATTGTTAAAAATGGAATTTTCATAAATTTTTTCGAAAAAAAATTAATTGTTTGATACTTTTTATAAAATTCTTGGCAATAATTCAATTATTTTGTTATACAATAAAACTCATTGCAGATTTTCAATTATTTTTAATACAATTTTAATCGAATTCGTCAAAAAAATGACATTATTATTTAAAATTTTATTAAAATTCGTCGAAAGAATTCAATTATTTGAAAATTTGTTAATAAAATTATGTATAAGAATTTAAGAATTCAATTTTGAAAAATAATTCACTTCTTGAAATGAATTTTATTACATTTTTTTTTTAAATAATTGAATTCTTTTGAGAAAATATATAAAAATAGTAGATTTTGAAAAATATTTGAATTTCAGCGAATAATTTCATTATTTATGAAATGCAATTGAATGCTTGCAAAAATTTTTTGAAAATAATTGCATTTTTTAAGGAATTAAATTTGTATTAAAAATAATTGAAATCCTATGAAAAAATTTTGTTATTTATGAAAATAATTGAATTCTTACAACGAATTTTATTAAACATTTTTTTATTGATATCTTCATTTTTTATAACAATATTTTTAAAGTTGTTTAATTTTAAAAAGGTTTAAATTGGAAATTTTTGATAATTTTAATTCCTATGGGAAAATAATAATTAAATATTTATTTAAAAAATTTTTTACAGGTATTATATTATATTTTATATTTTTATAAATAAACATAATACATAAATCTAAATTTTTTCATATAATTTCAAAATAAATTTCCGAAAAATTAATGATAATTAAAAACCTCGAAATAAATTTTATTTTTCCTCTTTTTAACAGGTATGGTTATTGGATCATATATTTGGGGATGTTTAGCTGATACGAAAGGTCGAAAAATCGTATTAATTGCAACATTATTAATGGATGGTATTGTTGGTGTATTATCATCGTTTGTTCAATTATTTTGGATCTTCTTAGTTTTCCGTTTCTTTAACGGATTTGCGTAAGTATATTTAATAATTAAATTTCTAAAAGAATTTCTTTTATTTATTGCTAAAAAATTTATTTCCTTTGTTTCTAAAAAGTTTATTTTCTTTGTTTCTAAAAAGTTTATTATTTTCTTTGTTCCTAAAAAGTTTATTTTCTTTTGTTTCTAAAGAAATTAATTTCTTTGTTTCTAAAAAAATTTATTTTCATTATTTCTAAGAGAATTATAAAAATTATAAAAGAAAACATTTTTATTTTAGCGTCACAGGTGCAATGGGAATCGTTTTCCCTTATCTTGGCGAATTTCAACCAACGAAGCATAGAGAAAAAATTCTCTGCTGGATGGAAATGTTTTGGACTGTCGGCGTTATTGTACTTCCATGTAAGTATATTCTAAATTAAATTTCATTTAATTAATTTTTTTTCCAAGGATATCAAATTGAGACAAAAAAAAATGATATCCTTAAAAAAACTGTAAATGAGTAAATTTTTGCTATTTTCAAATTAGTAAATTTTAATTAAAAAAAAAATAATAAAAAAATAAAAAGTAGTAAAATGTACTTCTCCTGTAGTAAAATTTACTTCAGTAATAGTTATTAATAATAAATAAGTAAATTAATTACTAAACTAAATAAGAAAAAGATAGTAAAAAATTTGATAAAAAATAATTAAAAAGAATAAAAATAAAATAGAAATTAATAATAAAAGTTGACTGAAATTCGCAATAAAATCAAAACAGTTTAGATTTTACTTTCTAAGTATATAGTAAAAGTTACTTTACACTTTTTTCGTCTATTTGAAATTAATTGACTAATTTTCTACATTTTAGTGATCGCCTGGTTGATAATTCCCCTGAACCTCACCTATAAAGCTGATTCATTTGACTTTAAATCCTGGAATCTCTTTGTGGCTCTCTGTGCACTGCCCTCATTGATGTTGGGCCTTTGGCTCTTTGCTTTTCCAGAAAGTCCCAAATTTTTACTTGAATGTGGAGAAACTGAGGCTGCACTGAATGTTTTTAAATGGATATACGCCCAGAATACCGGAAATGATCCTGACACATATCCGGTAAGTTAATAACTAAAAGGTTTAAAAAATAAAACAAATAACGTAGAGTGGGGTGAAAAAGACACTTTTCTACTTTTTATGAGACTATAAAATCAAAATTTAAAATTTGTTCTTAAATTCTCAAATTTTTATTAATTTAAATTCTTTCCTGAAATTCAATTATTTTTAGGAATTTTAATAATATTCTTTGCAAAAGTAATATTATTTTCGTAAATAACAATATTTATCAAACAAATTCAATTATTTTCAAAAGTAATAAGATTTTTTGCAGAAATTCAATTATTTTCAAAAAATTTTTTTTTAAATTATCGTCAAGATTTCAATAATTTTTAAAAATAGCAAAATTCTTCTCTGTATTTTAATAATTTTCAAAGACTTTAATAAAATTTTTGTCAAAATTTCAATTATTTTTGAAAATTACAAAATTCCTTGTCGTAGTTCAATTATTTTTGAAAAATTTAATAAAATTCTAGTTAAAATTTCAATTATTTTTAAAAAACTTTTCTAAATTATCGTCAATATTACAATTATCTTTAAAAATAGCATAAATCTTTGCTGTAATTGAATTATTTTCAAAAGGAATAATATTTTTTGCAGAAATTCAATTATTTACAAAAATTTGTTTTAAATTATCGTCAAGATTTCAATTATCTTTAAAAATAGAAAAATTCTTTACCGTAATTCAATTATTTTCAAAAACTTTAATTAAATTCTTGTCAAAATTTTAATTATTTTTAAAAATTTTTCTTAACTCAATGATTATTAATATTTATTATTTTACTGAAATTTCCCAGAAGAAAATTAAAATTAAATTAATTTAATTTTTTTTTAATTAATTAAATTATTTAAAAATTTTTAAAATAAAATTCTGAGCAAAAATTCAATTATTTTCATAAATAATAAAAATTTGAAAGGAATTCAATTATTAAAAAAAAATTTTATAATTTCTTTACAATAATTCAATTATTTTCATAAATATCATTGGAGAATTTTAATTATTTTCAAAATTTTTTTTGTAATTATGAATCAAGATGTCAATTATTTTTAAAAATAGCAAAATTTTTCAAAAAATTCAATTATTTTGATAGTTATCAACAATCTTCCCAGAAATTCAATTATTTTCAAAAAAACAATAAAATTCTTTGCAGAAATTCCATTCTTTTTTAAAATTAATCAAATTTTCACATAAATTTAATTATTTTCAAAAATTATTAAAATTCAAAACAAGAATTGAATAATTATTTTTCTAAGTTTTATTAAGATTTGACGTAAAAATTAAATTATTTTTAATAAAAAAAAATTCTTAGCAGGAATTCAATTATTTTTAAAAGAATTTTAATAAAGTTCCTATATTCAAAAATTTCGTTAAAAGTCTTCGTCAGGATTTAATTATTTTGAAAAAAGTCATTAAAATTCTTCGTTAGGATTCAATTATGTATTTTAAAAAATTATAAAATCTTTACAGAAATTCAATTATTTGCAAAAATTAATAAAATTATTCACTGCAATTCAATTAATTTCACTAAAATAATAAAATTTTTTGAAGGAATTCAATTATCTTCATAAATAATAAAAATTTCACAGAAACTCAATTATTTAAAAAAGAATCGGCATACATTTTTATGAAAACAATCAATAATTAAAATTTTATTTATAAAATTTAATTATTTTCATAAATATTAAAATTTTTTACAAGGGGTTCAATTATTTTCGTAAATAATAAAATTCTTTTTAGAAATTCAATTATTTTCATGATAATAATAAAACTCAACGCAGAATTTCAATTATTTTTGATACAATTTCAATTGAATTTCTTTAAAAAATGTAATTATTCTTAAAAATTGTATTAAAATTCGTCGAAAGAATTCAATTATTTAAAAATTTGTTTATAAAATTTTTTATAAGAATTCAATTTTAAGAAACATTGAATTATTTTATGAATTATTTATTTTTCTATTTAAATAATTGAATTCTTGTAGACTTTTCCAAAAAAAACATGGTTTTAAAAAAAAATGTCAATTAAAAGTTTCGATAATAATTAAATATTGAAAGCATTATAGCATGAATTTTTGAAAATACAATTGAATTTTAAAAAGATTTCAAATTAAAATCTTTGAAAATTTATATTTTTCATACTTTTCACTAAAAATTCTGTAGAATTATTTTTTTTTTTGAAAAAGTTTAATTGAATTTTTTGTTGAAATTATTTGAAACTTATTTTCTAATATATATTTAATTGAAGAATTTCAGAATAATCGAAATTTCGTAAAATTGAATTGTAAACAAATAGACTCGAAAATTCTCAAAGAACTTTTTCAAAAATTATTAAAAAATAATTGATTCAAAAAAGAATTTTAGTTTAAAATTCTGGAAAATAGTAATTGAAATGAAATGATGAAAATAATTTTCAAGATGTTACAGTAACAATATTTTTATAATATAAAATAATGATTTTATCACTATATAGATCATCTTTATTTTAATAATTTATTATTTATTATTAATTATATATTACTATTTATTATTTATTTATTATTATTTATTATTTTTTTTTTTTTAATTATTTTATTTAATTTTAATAACCATCTTTTTCCGAGTCAAAGACTCGGAGTGATTGATCTCTTCATGTTTTCTAATAATATTCTTATAAGTTATTGAATTTCAAAAAGGTTTGAATTTGAATGTTTTAAAAATTTTTAATTCCTATGGAAAATGAATAATTAAATATTTATTTAAAAAAGAAGTTATTGATGTTTGCGAATAATTTTACAATTAAATAAATTCGCAAATAAATAAATTAGAACATTTTTTTTTGAGTATCTAATAATTTTTAGAGTGAATCAGAATATTTAGGATATTCTTCATAAAACTTCTTCCTTATGATGAAACAAAAAAAATTATATTGTTTCCTTATAGAGGAAGGATTGTATTAAATTTGTTTTTTATTTATTTTTTTTTTTTAAATTTATGATCTACAAGTTTTGAACGTTCAAATAAACGAAGTATTATTTATTAATAATATTTTCCTAAATTACTAATTGTAATAAACATTAAAATTCTAAATTTTACATTTAGAAACTATGTCATTAATTTTTTATTAAAAGTGAAGCAAAATTATTGTGAAATAATTTTTTTTTGAAGAAGAAATAAACAAATTTCGTTGATTTGAACGTTCAGAAGTTTGGAGACCTAAAAATTCACTATATTAAATAAAAAAATAATGGACCATTTCCTCCAGGTGAAATCACTGCAGGAGAAGCCGACCTCAAAGGACAAAAGTACAAGAGCACTGAAATTACATAAACGAAAGGATTTAAAAGTCCTCACATCGGAAGTTTGGGATCTGACAAAATCACTTTGTAAACCACCATATCTACGAAATACTTTATTGGCCTGTGGAATACAATTTGGTCTCACAAGTAGTTACTACACACTAATGGTCTGGTTCCCCGAATTATTCACCAGATTCGAAGACTTTGAATTGGAACATCCAGGACAATCGACATCGGTTTGTATTGTTTCCTCATTAACGGGAAATTCAACAACAAATTTCAATCCACACGATTGTGATCCAGGAATACCGTCATCCGTTTATCTTCACACAGTTTACATTGGTCTCGCTTGTATTCCCGGATCAATAATTCTTCCACTATTCGTTCATAAATTAGGCGCAAAATTCTTCTTAATTTTATCGCTAATTGTCTCGGGTGGAGTTACCGTTGGCTTTTACTATGTGACAAATGCAACGCAAAATTTAATTTTATCCTGCGTTTTTGAGGCATTAACTTCATTGGGTATTTCATTGGTTTATTGTGTTATTGTCGATATGTTCCCCACAAATCTTAGAGTAATGGCCGCGGCACTATCGCTCACAATGGGTCGATTGGGTGCTCTTGTTGGTAATCTTGTTTTTGGCTATTTGATAGATTTGGCGTGTGTTGTTCCCGTTATTTTATTCGCTGCCTTTCTATTCTTCTGTGGTCTTCTTTCGATATTCTTGCCAAAAACGGGCAAAGATACTCTCGATTAAAATTGTCCTCAAAAAGAATTTTTATTTTTGTAAATTTTTTATCAAATTCTCGACACGTTCTTAGACGGGCCCATGAAAAAAAAATTTGGTTCCATTAAAATAAGCCATCAGGACTTATGAAGAATAAAAGAACAAATTCTCTTATTCGATAAATTCAAAGAAAGCTGTAGTTGGATTAATTTACAGTGAAAAAGAAATTTATTTGATTCAAATAACCAAATACTTATCTACTATCAAGTAAATATTTACTTAATGATTTTTATTCGAATCAAATAAATTGTATTCGAACCAATAATTTTAGTATTTAAATCAATAATTTCAGTATTTGAACCTATAATTTCAGTATTTGAAGCAAACACAAAAATGTTTCTAAAGTTTTGAACGTTCAAATACAATTCGAATACAATTTATTCGAAGTCAAACAAAAATATTTGATTCAAGTAAATATTTATTTGATGGAGTTATTTTTATGTCTCAAAAATAGACAAGTAATCGTTTAATTGAATAAAATAAATTTTTTTCCCAGTGCAACGATTGCTTTCTAAAATATTACAATGAAAAGAAAATTTATTTGATTCAAATAACCGATTACTTGACAATCAATTAAATATTTAATTGAATCAAATAATATTTATTGGAGTCAATTAAATGGTATTTGAATAAATAATTTCAGTATTTGAAGCTATTAATATTAATATTTGAAGCAATTAATTAAACATTTAATTCACTCCAATGAATAATTAAATATTATTTGATTCAAGTAAATATTTAATTGATAATAGGCAATTAATCGCTTATTTGAACCAAATAAAATTTTTTTTTTTTGCAGTGTAGAAAATAAAAACTATTGCGAGTTTAGGTGATATTGTAAATAGAAAATTGCAGTAGCAATCAAACAGTAAATTTATTTTTCTACACAGGAAAAAAAATTTCTAGGAAAATGTTCCTCTAATCAAAACGAGAGACTACCCTGTAAAAAAAATTTCTTAATTTTAATTTCTAATACGATTTTTCCTATGATTTATAATTAAGAAATTTTTTTTACTAGAAAAAATAAGGGTAAATATTAATGATCTTAAAATAATAATATAAGGAATAATTAATAATTAATAATGATCTTAAAATAATAAGCAATAAGTGGTGTCTTGAAATAATTTATCAACTGAATATTTGTCATATTCCCAATTTTGTTACACCCGGAAAAGATAAATTTCTCTCAAAGTCGATTGATTGTTAATTTATTTGTTTCAAATAAATATTTAATTTGATTTAGGTAATAAATTTTTTTTTGAATTTTTTTATAGGCACACAAAAAATTTTCTTTATGCAAATTTTTTTTATTTGACACAAAAAGAATTTTATTTTAATTTTCAACAAACATTTTTTTAGTATTTGCGCCCAAAATAATATTTTATTTTTGCAAAATGATTTTATTTACGGCAAAAGAAAATTTTATTTGTGCAAAGTTTTTTTTTTCATTTGGGCGAAAAAACTTTTTATTTTTATTTTCGCCAAAAAAATATTTTAGTTTTGCAAAATTATTCTCTTTGCGCCCAAGAAACATTTCATTTTTGCAAAATGATTTTATTTGCACCAAAAAAATTTTTTATTCGTAAATGACTTTGCATGAATAAAATTTTTTTTTTTGCGCAAATAAAACCATTTTGCAAAAAAGATTGAAAGTAGCACAAGAAAATTTTTAATTCTAAACAAATAAATTAGCAATTAGCTAATTGACGAACAAAATATTCTTTTATTTAAAGATTAAAATTCATTTGACTAGATTCAAATCTCAAATTCAAATTTCTGAGTGAAAAATAAAAAAAAAAAATTACAATTCAAGTCAAATTATTAAATTTTTCACTCTCATTCTCGAGACGAAAAAAAATATCACAAAAGGAAGAAAGATTTTTTTAGATTAATAATTATAAATAAATAAGTAAATTGATTAGTTAATAAATATATTAATTAATTAATTAATTAATTAATTAGGTAAATTAACAGAAAGAATTTACAAAAAGAAAAATATCTAAGATCTATAGGCGATAGTTTCTCGCCTTAGAAATTTATACCAAAAAAAAAAAACAAAACAAATGGTAATAAAATATCACATTCGTGATTCGAGATGTATAGCAGCATTTTTTTGTTGTTGTGTTGTTTATAGTAAAATATTGCGAATGTACAATCGAATGCGATTTTTAATGATCTTTTATTTAATAATTATGCGGTATTTTTATTTTAAAAAATGTGAACTCTAGGTTTGTGACGAAACTGCCTTTAGTTATGTTCTTTGGTCTTTGTACATATAGTTTAAGGTTTTGTTTAAGAATTTTCATCATTGTATAAAGTTAATTAATTAATAATATTGTAATTTTTAATTTTGTGTGCTTGTGAATTTTAATAAGTAGCGTAAATTATAGAATGAAAAATGGCTTTACAATATGTTTTTCTAGAGCTATTTACCAAATAATGATATAATGATAACAATGATTATTAATGATGATAATTAGCAAATGAAATAAAAATTATAATAGTAATGAAAATAATAATAATAATGAAAATAATGATAATAATAATAATACTAATAATAAAAATATATTAATAATAATAAAAATGATAATAATAGTAATAATAATAATAACAGTAATTTACCATCGAAATATAATTATGATAATTATTATTATACTAGTAATAATAATAATAATAATAATAATAATAATAATAATAATAATAATAATAATGAATAATACAGTATAAATAAATATAGTAGTACTAATAATAAAAGTAATAAAAAGTGAAAAACCAGTAACAATAAAATAATATAGCAGAGTAATAATAATAATTATTATTACTTTTCATTTTTTATATTATTTTTTATCATTTACTTTAAATGTTATTATATTAGTAATAATAATTATTATTTATTACTAAATACACAGCGTACCTAAAAATATATTTAAAATTGTACATATAGATATTTTTTTTAAACTAGATTGTAAATTAGACACTTTTTTGTAGTTTTATAAAAATAAGAATGTTATTTAAATCATATTATAAAGAAATTCGTCATTATGAAATTTTTATTAATTTAAACATTGTTATTGTTAGGTTTATTATAAAATTTTAATAATAGTACAATAATTACATAGTTTATTTGTAATTATAATAATATATTGTTTTATAAAAGTTGTTACGAATTGTTTATCTGCGATAAAAATTATTCTCATATTGTTATAATTAACTATTAGTGAGATCGATATATTATATAATTATATAAGTTTTAAAAAAAAAGAGTACTTATTTTTTAATAATATTTAGTGCATCTACCAAATGTGTATATATAATATATATTTATAATATATATTTATATGTTTACAATATTATTTTCGAAATTAATTGTTTGCACTTGAAAAGTTTTGTTTTATTTTCAGAAATGTCTATTCGTTCTATAATAAATTAATAATATTGATAAAAGTAATATTAAAAATAATAATCATAATAATAATAATAATGAAAGTAATAATTTTAATCATTCCTGTCAATAATATTAGGATATTATAATAAATTAAGACAATTTTTATTTACACCTATAATTACATATAATAATAAAAAATCAGTCGTGTATAATAAATGCAGTTTCTTTTACATTTAGTCTTTTACTGTTTATTTTTTTACATCCGCCTCGATTAAATACCTTGAATACTTGAAATTGGAAGAAAATATTAATTTTTAAAATTAATGAAATTAATAAAATTAATAAAAAAAATTAATAAAATTAAAATATTGAAAACTCGGGTATAATAACTTTGCAATAATAATTGATACGAAAGTAAAATAATTAATTAATGCGAAAGTGAAATAATTAATTCACACGAGTATTGAAGTAATTAATTAATATAAAATCGAAAATAATTAAAATTGATGCGAAATTGTAATAATTAGATAATTAATTGACACGAAATTAAAGTAATTAATTAATACAAAATCAAAATAAATAATTGACGTGAAACTGAAATAATTAGATAATTATTCAATCGAAATAATTAATAAATACAAAATTGGAAAAAGTAAAATAATTAATAAAGGATAAAAAAAATGATTCTTTTTACACTTATTCGAGAATTTTGAAAATAGGATGCGCAATAATACTTGTGTAAATTGAATTTATTAATTGGTAATTTTCAATGTGGAATCTTCGGAATTTTGCGAAGTAAACATAAGAGGGGAAGCGTAATATGGTAATAATGGATATTGGGTTGGAGGAAATATTGGTGGCGGAAATAAACCTTGTCTCTGGGCAATTTTTAATCTCGAGGTTAATTGTTTCTTCCATTTTGTTCTTCGATTTTGAAACCAGGTTTTAATTTGAACTTCAGTCAAGTTCAAACACTTTGATAGTTCCATTCTTTTACTGACACTCAAATATTTATCAACCTAAAAAGAAATAAAAACGAGATTAGAAATTATATTTTATATTTTTATGTAATTATTATTGAAATGGTTAATTAATAATAAATAATAATAAATAAATAATAAATAAATAATAAATAAATAAATAATAAATAAATAATAAATAAATAATAAATAAATAATAAATAAATAATAAATAAATAATAAATAATAAATAATAAATAAATAATAAATAAATAATAAATAATAAATAATAAATAATAAATAATAAATAATAAATAATAAATAATAAATAATAAATAAATAATAAATAAATATTTAGGCCTTCTCATTATTAAACAAATTACTATTTGACAGTCATTAACAAAACGCTTATAATAAACAATAAATAATGATTAATAAATTGTACATTTTATATATAATAATGAAAAAATAAATAAAGAAAAAGAAATATAAAGAAATAAAGAAAGAGAAATAAAAATAAAAAATTAAAGAAAATAAAAAATAATAAAACTGAAAAGCCTTTTTAGGGCAAAAATTATTTCACACCCTAAAAATTATAAATAATTTTACTAACTTTAAATTCAGCCTCAAGCCTTTCCAACTGTTTTGCACTGTAAGCTTGACGTGGTTTACGATCAATTCCCGGTTTCCTAGATCTTCTGCCACTTGATTTTGGAGCTGAAAAAGAATTTTTAAATTTTGTATCATATAAATTTAAGTAAAAGGGAAAAATGTCAAAAAAAAATACCTTGTAAAGAATAAAAATGATTTATTGCTTTGCTAATATTCGTCAAACATCATATAACAATTTCCCTTTAATTATTCTGCAAACAGCGAATAGATTCTTTCTAGTTACCAAAAAATTTCTCGACCTTGACCAAAAAAAAGGAGGAAAGAAAAAAAGAAAGAAAAAAAAATAGAAAAAAAAGAAATGACTTTAAAATGAGACAAAATGTCAATAAATGTCTAAAATACTTCAACTTATTTGTTATAAAACGTGTGACACCTTCTTGACAACGAAAAGTTGATGTGTCAATGAAATAATTAAACAGTTTACGACGAGGAATGTTTGAACACGATTATAGTCTTCGTGTCAAGAAATACACAATGCACGGGACCGTATATATATAATATATATATGACATTTTTAATGTTCTCACAATATTCTTCGTATATTAATTAATTCATTAATTTTGTCAATTTTAAACTGACATTCTATTGTCTATTTTTTTCAATTTCAAAAATTGAAATTTTTTTATAAAATCAAGTATAAAATTGATTTTTTTGGGAAGATATTTTCTTAAAGTTTCTAAAAATAATTGAATTGTATTGCAATACTGATAATAATTTAATTTTTCTAAAAAGTTTTATCAAAATTTAAAAAAAAGGAATTCTTTCGAAGAATTTTATTAAAATTTTTGAAAATAATAATTTTAGGGCACGAATTAAGTCCTTAAATCTCGTAAAGGTCCGTCAATTTGCTTCAAGTCCCTAAAAGTCAGTTTTTTTAAAAAAAAAGTTCCGTAAAGTCCGTAATTTGTTTGAAAAAGGACGAAAAGTTCGTAAATTGTACGATACAATTTGGAGAATTTTAGAGAAATTACAAATAATTTGAGAAATTCAATTATTTTCAAAAGTAATAAAATTCTTCGCAAAAACTCAATTAGGTTCAAAATTTTTTAAAAATTCTCGTTAAAATTTCAATTATCTTCAGAAATAATTATATTCTTCTCCGAAATTCAATTATTTTCAAAAATTTTAATAAAATTCTTGTGCAAAATTGCCATTATTTTCAAAAATTTTCCTCAATTCAATGAATTTTTAATATCTACTATTTTAATCAAATTTTCCAAAAGAGTTCAATTATTTAAAGAAATTTCAATAAAATTCTACGCAAACATTTAATTATAATTTCATAAAATAATTTTAAAATTTCACAGCAATTCAATTATTTACAAATTTTTTATAAATTTTTTCGCAATATAATTAAATTATTTTCATATAAGTAATAAAATTTTTACAGGGATTCAATTATTTTCGTACATATTAAAATTCTTTTTAAGAATTCAATTATTTTCATAAATAATAAAACTCATCGCAGAATTTTAATTATTTTTAATAAAACTTTAATCGCATTCCTCGAAAAATGTAATTATTCTTCTTTAATTTTATTAAAATTTGTCAAAAGAATTCAATTATTTAAAAATCTGTTGATACATTTCCTTATGATAATTCAATTTTTAGAAATATTCAAATATTCAATAAAATATTTGTTTTGTATTTAAATAATTGAATTCTAGTAGAATTTTCTAATGAAAATTGATTTAAAAATGAATTTCTGTTAAAAAAAAAAATGAATTTGGAAATTCTTAAAAAACTTTTTCAAAAATTATTAAAAATAATGGATTTATAGAAAAATTTTAGTTAAAAACATTTAAAAAAAATTAATTTTGAAGAAGTTATGTACAAATTATTGCAGTTAAATTCAATTGTTTTCAAAAGTAATAAAATCCTTCGCAGAAAATTAATTATGTTCAAAAATTCTTAAAAATTCTCGTCAAAATTGCAATTATCTTTAGAAATAATCAAATACTTCTCCAAAATTTAATTATTTTCAAAAATTTTAAAAAAATTCTTTGCAAAATTTCAATTATTTTTATAAAATATTAAAAAAATTTTAAAGGGATTCAATTATTTTTATAAATAATGAAATTCTTTTGAGGAATTCAATTATTTTCATTAATATATAATAAAACTCTTTGCAGAATTTTAATTATTTTGAATACCATTTTAATAAAATTTTTCGAAAAATGTATTTAATCTTAAAATTTTTTTTTAAAATCGTCGAAAGAATTTAATTGTTTGAAAATTTGTTTATAAAATTCTTTATGAGAATTCAATTTTAAAAAAACATTTAAATATTCAAAACATTTTTTTTGTAGTTAAATAATTGAATTCTAGTAGAATTCTCTAATAAAAATTGATTTAAAAATTAATTTCAGTTAATATTTTAGATAATAATTGAATATTAAAAGAAATATAACATAAATTTTTGAAAACATTAATTTTTTTGAAAAAGTTTAATTGAATTTTTTTATATTATTTGAAGTTTTTATTTTCTAATTTATGTTTAATTGAAGAATTTACGAATAATTGAAATTCGTAAAATTGAATATTGTGATTAAACAAATGGATTTGAAAATTTTTAGAAAACTTTTTCGAAAATTAATTGATTTAAAAAAGAATTTTAGTTAAAAATTCTTAAAAATAATAATTGAATTAAAATGATGAAACTAATTTTGAAGAAGTACAATATTCTTGTAATATAAAATAAAGATTTTATCAATTTTCCATCATGTTTTATAATTATGAAAAAATTTAATTTTTAGTTTGATGTAAAATGTTTTTTTTTCAATACAATTTAATTTTTGCGAAAAAAATTTTTTAAAATAATTGAATTGTTTCGAACAAAAATTAAAATTTTGTTGAAAATATCGAATAATAATTATTATTTAGTTACTTAATTAATGTGTTTTTTTTCTTGTTTTGAATTTAAAATTATTCAAAAATTGAAGTTGGTATCGTTTTCTTTTCTATATATATATATTGATTTTCTTGTTATCTTTTAAAATGAAAACCAAGCAAAACGAGGAAAAAATAAAAAAACGTAGCATTGCCTAGAAGAAAATGAAAAAGAAATTTTTTTTTTTGATAAGAAAGGCAAACTATAAAAAAAATTCACTAAACAAATAAATTAGTAATAAACATTCTCTTAATATTTTTTTTTTTTTGTTAAATTTTTTACTCTCGGTCATCATCATTTTGGAGGTGCAAAGGCACGTACTACGGTTCTCCGTAGTCGCATAGACGTTCGAAAGAGGCTCATAAAAAATGCTAACACCTCCGTCAAACATGCGAGTTCTACTTGTTGATCTGTCTCGTAAGAAGTAACTGACTAATCAGTCGTTAAATACACCAAAAGTGGGGATCGCGTTACACGCTTCCTGAGAAAAGCTTTGCAATTCCTTTTTCCTTTCTTTTTTTCTCTCTTACTCTCTCACACAAGGAAGGGAACATTTCACAGGCAAATAATTGTCTTCACCGTAGACAGTTAATATGCAATAATTTTTAAAAAATTTAAAAATTTTACCCGCGTGTCAACGTATGAGTCGTGTCTTTAGCGTAGTTCGGCTCCTTACGTAAACTTAGAAATTTAGAATACAAACTGTCGCCAAATGAGCGGACAAATTCGGTGTAAAATTTCAATTTTGAAATTAAAACGATACTGCAAAAAATACGTGGCATTTTTTCAAAAGAAATACGAAAAAATTGGATTTTAATTAAATTTAACGAAATACGAAAAAATTTGATGTTAATTATACTATTTTCAATTTTCTTTATATATTTTAAGAATTTATCTCTAAGAATGAAACTTTTATTTCATATTGGAAGATTTTTTTCCTGTTTTTTTTTTTTTTTATAAAAACCGGAAAAAGAAATGACGAAAAACGACTGAGATTTACGAGTACGCGAAAGCATTTAAGCACTTCTATATGGAGGTATCGCTCTGATAAATGGACTTCTAACAGAGCGCAGTGTATATAAAAGGAAAAATACCTGGATGGGGAGAGAATAAAGCACGAAAGAGGGTTTTCAACACCGCCAAAATGGTTTCATTCGATAAATAAAAAGAAAAATTTACCAACGTACAAAATGAAAATTATTTGAAAATTTGATTCACTTTTTTTTATCTCTAAGTTTATAAATTATAAAAGTCCAAAAATAAGCTTTTTTTAGACAAACTATGCAAATTTTTTATGGAAAATATTTACTAAATTGGACCACAGATGAATATTTTATTTAAATAACTTCTAATATATTTATGTTAAATGTAATTTAAATGTAAATAAATGTAAAAAAAAATAAAATAATATATTTTTCTTAGGACCTTAATTTTTTTTTAATATAAAAACAAGAAATTGTGGCCTTCGGTCACAGAAAAACACACCAAAGGCCACAAATCTTTCTCGTTTTTATAAATAAATAAAATGAAAATAGAAATAAATTTTAATATGTGTGATTATAATAATTAGCAATTAATCAGAAATAAATTGGAAATAAACAGTTTGTTTGTCTCAAAAAATTTTTTTATTTAAAAAGAAAATTTATTTCTCTCAGCAGTAGAAGTAAAGTTATTAGTCAGACGTATGTTTCACTGCAAAAAGAGGCGTCTTATTATTATTTTCTTCTTTATTTTTAATTTTTTACGAGAAATTAATTATTTTTATCAATAAAAATGAAAATTCTCATGAATTCAATTATTTTCAATACAATTTTAATAAAATTTCTCGAAAACATTCAATAATTAGATATTTTAAAAAATCTTAAAATTTAAATACAAAAAAAAATAATTTTAACATTCTTCTAAAGAATTCAATTATTTTCATAAATAATCAATTTTCTTTGCCTGAATTTAATTCTTTTTAGTAGAATTTTTTTATAAGATTTCTCGAAAGAATTGAATTATTTTCAAAAATTGAGAATAAATTGAAAATAAATTCAATTACTTGCAAAAAATTTTAATCTCGATTTTAATAAAATTTTTAATTACAATTATTAACAAACACGATTATTTTAAAACTTTAAAATAAATTCTTCTTAAAAATTCAATTATTTCCAAAATTTTCAATTATAAAAATTACGTTATTAAAGAAAAAAAAATCAAAGAAATTCTTTGAAAAATTTAATTATTTTTGAAAACTTTAATAATATTTTTCAAAAAATCCAATTATTTTCAAAAATTGGTATAAAAGTTAGTTTTTTAAGAATCTAATTACATTTTCAATACAATTATAATTAAATTTCTGGAAAGATTTGAATTCTTTTGAAAAATTGTAATTAAATTTTTTAAAAATAAATGAATTCTATTCAAATTTGACTGAAAATAAGAATTGAATTCTTGTGAATAAGTTTATTAAAATTTTTGAAAATAATTGAATTTTAAGAAGAATTTCTATCAAGAATTTTATTGTAATTGTATTGAAAATAATCAAACTCTTACAAAACAATTTCAATTAAATTTCTCGACAGAATTGAATCATTTTCAAAAATTGGAATAATATTTTTAGCAAGAATTAAATAATTTTAAAAAATTTATGTTAAATTTGTTTTTTAAGAATTTAATTATTTTCAATAGAATTACAATAATATTCCTGGAAAAATTTAATTATTTTCAAAAATTTTAATAAAATTCCTCGAAAGAATATTAAAATATATTAACGAATATAGTAAATAAAAAAAACGGGATTTAAATTAAATTTGTAATAATATGAATAAAAATAAAGTATAATAAACCCGTTGATATAATAAATAAATAAATAAAATACTCAAATAAAAATAGAAATCAATTTGTTTTTGTGGAAGAAAATATTTTATTTGGACCAAATAAATTCTTTTTAAAACCCGTTGTTATAAATAAATAAAGAATTGCTATTTACTGAAACAAATAGTTGTTCTCTGAGTAATTAATTGTATTATTATTTTTTTGATGCAGTGTACAAAAAAAAATTTACATTACAACTAGAGAAAAATTTTATAATTTATTCGAATTAAATAAAAGTATATTTTTCTCAGAGCCAATTAGGTTATTTATTTGTTTTAAATAAAATTTTTATTTGACATAAATTAAACTTTTGTTTGAATCAAATAAAGTTTTATTTAAACCAAAGAAAATTTATTTGAATCAAATAAAGATTTATTTAAACCGAATCAAATTTATTTGAATCAAATAAAGTTTTATTTAAACCAAAGAAAATTTATTTCAATTAAATAAAGTTTTATTTAAACCAAAGAAAATTTATTTCAATCAAATAAAGTTTTATTTAAACCAAATAAAATTTATTTGCAACAAATAAAAAGTCTAGTTGGCTGTGAGTCAAATATATTTTATTCGACATAAATAAAACTTTTATTTGAAATTTTGAACTAAATAAAGTTTTATTTAAACCAAATAAAATTTATTAGAAACTAATAACATTTTATTTCAATCAAAAAAAAATTTAATTGAAAAAAATTAAATTTATTTGAAAGAAATAAAATTTATTTGAATCAAAAAAAAAAAATAATTTGAATTCTGAGTCAAATATATTTTTTCTGAGTGTACAAAAAAAATATTATTGATAAATAATTAGGAGAGGATTTAAAAAAAATATAAACCATCAGCTATTGATGAGGAATAAAGTGTAATTATTATTTTCTGATTATTTTTTTTTCGGGGCAATTATGTTGAAGGTGTATAAAGGTACATAATGTGTGACTGAAATCGAGGGGATGTTTGATGCTGTGTTTGCGTGTCCAAATGGTGTTACCAAAGGCGCCTCGGATAATATCCAATATTCCTCAGAACTTGAGAGAACATACTGAATTTCATCCCACCTTTATCTCCCGTAAATGGTTCTATTCGTGCGATAAGTTATTAACTGCGTTAATAAGTTTCCTCCCACAAAATGCTTTATAAAGAAAAGTTGCTCCTAATCTTTCTAAATAAATGATAAATTACTTTCAACCTCTCCTGAATTCGAAAATTTTGTTCATTTTTTTTCCTGAATTTTATATTAAAATGTTTATTTCCCTTTTATAGTGGATATTGAATTTTTTTTTTTTGTGAAAATCATCCAGAGGGCATTTTGAATTTTATTTCTTAAATCATTCGGAGAATATTTATAAATTTTTTCCTTAAATCATTCGAAACATATATTTTTAATTACTTTTCACTAAATTATCCGAAAAATATTTTGAATTATTTTTCGAATCATCTAGAAAATATTTTGAATTTTTTCTCCTAAATCACCCGAAATACATTTTGATTCGGAAAATATTAATGAATTTTTTTTTTCTAAATTATCGGGAGAAAATTTTTAATTTTTTTCTAAATAATCTGGAAAATATTTTTAATTTTTTCTCCAAATCATTTGGATTGTATTTTAATTTTTTTTTTAATCATTCGGAGTACATTTTTAATTTTAGTTTCTAAATCATCCGGAAATTATTTTGATTTTTTATTATTCGGAAAAAATATTTAGAATTCTTTTTTTTTCTAAATTATTCGGAGAACATTTTGAATTATTTTTCCCAAATCACCCGGTGAAAATTTCGAATTTTCTTTTCTTAAATCATTGAGAGAATATTTTTGAAAAATTTATTTCTCGTCAAAAATTAAAAAAAAAATCGTCTACTAGTAAAGATCGTCTATCGACGAAAATTTTTTCCCAATTATTTACCTTGTAGTCCAAACATTTGTCCCGGTTTGGATGGTACGACCCAACCACCATAAAGTAGTGATGCAGACGCTAAAGATGATGCCGAAAATCCAGAAGTTTCGGCTAAAATTTCTCCGGGACAAGAGGTTCCAGTTGTATAAAAATCTGAAAGAAATTTCTATTTCTATTAATTTCTAGATTTCAAATTAAAATTTTAAGTCTCTCTTTTAGCGTCGACGCTAAGCGTCAAAAAGTGTTTTAGTTTCGTAACGTAAAAAAAAAATAATAATAAACAGATTTTTTTAACGATTTCCTGTTCAAAGTTTAATAAAAAAATTTTAAACGCGTATATGAACGGAGAATTAGTGATATTAATGATAGTGATATTAGTGACATTTTATTATTTTATATTTTTATTACATTTTTACTTTTTTACTTTCTTTACTCTTTTTTTTATATTTTATATTTCAGTTTTTTAATTAGTGATATTTTCGTTACTAAAAATTATCCCGAAAAAGGTTTTTGACGCTTAGCGTCGACGCTAACTGTTCAACTTCATTTTATTATATATTTTTTTTTTACTTTCTTTATTCTTTGTATGATATTTTTTTTATTTTTTTAAATTTCAGTTTTTTAATTAGTGATATTTTCATTATTAAAAATCCCCCCAAAAAAGGTTTTTGACGCTTAGCGTTGACGCTAACTTTTCAAAAACTTCATTTCAACTTATAATTTTAGAAAAAAAATATTTCTAAATTGAAAAAAATTGACTATAAAAAATTCAATGAAATTGTTATATAATTCAACAATATAATTAAATTTTTTAATGTATTAAATTATTATTATTATTATTATTAAATCTGATTTGATTTATTTTAATGAATCCTTGAACACTGAATAATTGTCAAGAAGGTAAAATAAAAAATTATTGTTCTATCAAATTAAATTTCAATTTAATTATTGAATTAAATTTCATTTTAATTATTAATTTATCATTAAATTCAATTTTAATTATGTTTTAATTAATAATTTACCATTAAATTGAATTTAATTCACTGATAATAATTACCGGAATGTGCTGATGGAATGGTAACCGAACTAAAAAACTGATGACGCTCATTCTGCTCTTCCTTATCATCAAAATTATTTTCCATTTTTCGAAAACTACTCTCCTTTCCCAAAAAGACATCACTCTTTTTATTGTCATGTTTACCTAAAATACTGTCTATTGAAAATGCACTGTGCACAACTGGCGAAACTTTTTTTAAATTACTCTCCGAACTTTTAAATGTTTTTTCACTCTCATTACTCGAGTCCGAGGAATATTCCAAAATTTCCAAATTTAATTCTTTACTATCGTCCTCCATTTCTTTTGTCCCATCATCTTGTTCCTCTAAATCATGTTGAAAATTAAGGACCATTTTCCTTTGCTCCTTCCACGTATCCATCATTTTTGCGACACCATCAAAATCACTGACAATTTTTGTAATTTTTAATTTCAATCACAAAATTAGCACAAAAGAAAATGATAATTACTTTCAAATTGCTATTTTTTTCAAATTCAAATTTGTTACTTTTTTGAAAACTATATTCTTTATAGTTTAGTTCGATTCCTTTTGGGAATTTTCACCAAAAATTAAGTGATTTAAAATAATTTTTGGGTTTTTCACGAAAAAATTCGTTGCTCCTAAAAATATTTTTGGACTTTTCACCAAAAATTAACTGACTAAAAATAATTCACACAGATTTCTTCACTAAAAATCAAGTGACTAGAAAGATTTTTTGAGTTTTTCCCCAAAAATATTCAATGACTAAAAATACATTTCGGAGATTTCTTCACAAAAAAGAAAAGACAATTTTTCTTTAATATTTTTTCACTAAAAGTAAATTAAAATAAATTTAACGTAATGAACTTTTATCGGATTAAATATAAAATATACATTTTGACTATAAATATAAATGTCCTATAAATAAAATCTCTTCCGGTTATAGAATTTTGAATACTTCTCGTTTCGTTTAGAATCAAAGACTGATCCTTAGGTTAATCCCCTCTTAAGAGAGCAAAAGCAAGTACTTCTAAATGATGACAGGTGGCACGTGTCCATGATCCCAAAGGACCACCCCACATCATCCCCACCATCGACTTTTGCTAAAAGGATCGTCCTCCTGAACGCATCACAATGGAACTTTTATAACCTTTCACACCTTTTGCTCCAGGAAAAACCGCGAAAAAAAATTTAATTAAAAAAGAAATTTACAAAAAATAATCATAATGTTAATAATAACAACAATTATTATTATTATTATTATTATTATTATTATCATTATTATTTTTTTTTATAATTAATAATAATATTAATAATAATTTTAATAACAATTATTATTATTATTCATACAAAATATTATTTTTACATTTTGTTATTATTATAATTGAACATTATTTTTATTTTAAATATTATTTAATGTTGTAAACAATATATTGTTGTGCTGAAAAACAATTTATTTGATTCAAATAAACGATTTTGTCTATTATCAATTAAATATTTACTTGAATCAAAAATATTTTATTTGAACCAATAATTTTGGTGTTTGAAGCAAATACTATTTTTTATTATTTTTCTGTGCAATATTCACAGAATATTATTTAAAAAATTACAATTATTATTAACATTATTATTAATTTTTAATATTATAATTCTTAAAAATATTTAACTAAAATATTAATATAATAATAATTATAATTACAGTGGTAATTATAATATTATTAATACTATTCTATCAATATTCCTATTTTCGTAGAAATATTGACTAAGTATCGCAAATAATAATAAACAAATCTTTTTATAATTGTTACCTATTGTTATTAGTGATTACACTAAAATTTTGGAAGTTTAAATGAAGAATTTTGTTTGTTTAAATATTTTTAAAAATTGCAACACTGAATTAAAAAATTAAAAAAAAACTGTCAATAAATAAATAAAATAAAATTAATAAAAAGTAAACAATAAATAGTTAGAATAGTAAAAAGTAAACAATAAATGCTAAAAATAGTAAAAAGTAAATAAAAAATAGTTAAATAGTAAAAAAGTAAGTAATAAATAGTAAAAATAGTAAAAGAGAAAAAAGTAAATAATTAGTAGTATAGTAGTAAAAATGGAAAATTAGTAAAAATTTAATAATAAACAGCAGTAGAAATAGAAAATTTGTATAATAGTAAAAATTTAATAATAAACAGTAGTGAAAATCTAAAAATAGAAAAAAATAATAAACAGTAAAAATAGTAAAAGAAAAAAAAGTAAACAATTAGTAGTAGGTAGTAAAAATAGAAAATTAGTAAAATAGTAAAAATTTAATAATAAACAGTAGTGAAAATCTTAAAATAGAAAAAAAATAGTAAAAATTGTAAAAGAGGAAAAAGTAAATAATTAGTAGTAGTAAAATAGAAAATTATTAAAATATTAGTAAAAATTTAATAATAAACAGTAGTAAAAATAGAAAGTTAGTAAAATAGTAAAAATAGTAAATGAGGAAAAAGTAAATAATTAGTATAGTAGTAAAAATAGAAAATTAGTAAAATAGTAAAAATTTAATAAGAAACAGTGGTAAAAGTAGAAAATTAGTAAAATAGTAAAAATTTAATAATAATTAGTAGTGAAAATAGAAAAATAGAAAAAAATAAATAATAAATAGTACTAAGAGTAGTAAAAAGTAAACAATAAGTAGTAAAAATGGTAAAAGAAATAACAAATAAGTCGTAGAATTGCTAAAATAGTAAAAAGTAAATAGTAAATAGTAAAGATAGCAAAAGGGAAAAAAGAAAATAATTAATACTATTAAAAATACAAAAATAGTAAAAAATAAATAATAAATAACATTTTCATTAAAATAATAGATATACAACAATAATAAAAATTGCAGAGTAAAAAAATTCATTAACAATGAATAAAAAAAAACACCTAATGAATGTAAAAATAAAATTTGAACCAAAATTCCTCTTCTATTTAATTTTTTAAACCCCCCGATGGATGTATTAATGTAAATTGTTGGGCAATAAATTTTATACACCATAGAATATCTTGATTCTCAAGGAAGAAACTTTCATTGGTCGTTGAAGCGCATGCTTTTTGATCATGAATCCGCCCTCTTAACACTCGTTCTCTCGCTACCCTTATAACTTGGGGTTGTCAGAAAACTGATGGATCGTACTTTCAAACCCCTCCAATAGTTATGGCAATGGATAAACGCCTCTTCCATTTCCAGCTTCTGAAAAGACATGAAAAATACCACAAAACACCTCAGCACGAGACGAATTTTTCCTCTTTCCATCCCCCCCTCTCTCTCTCTCTATTATATTATAACGCACTTAAACCATCGCATCGCACTTGAGAGATCGATCTCTGAAATAGACAATTTTCATATTTACTGCATATATTCAATTCACAGTCTAGAGCTGGATTTTATTCAAGTCTTTTATACAAATTTTATCGATACATTCAAATTTTTTTATATAGAAAATTTTTTGAATATAAATTTTGTCTTCTTAGGACTGCGGAGAGAGAAAAAGGGGAAAAATAATTCGATGGTAATATATTTAATTTGAAAAGTATTTAATTGGCGATATATTTAATTAGTAATAATTAAATAAATAAATTTAATCATCTCAATAAATTTAATTAGTAAAATATTTAATTGTTTAAATTAAAGTAATTAGTTAGCTAGCAAGTAATTAGTTAGAAAAATAATTATTCGGCAAAGTAGTTATTTGGCAATAAATTTAGTTAGAAAAATAAATAATTGGCAAAATATTTAATTGACAAAGTATTTGATTGGCAATATGTTTAACTGTCAAAGTATTTAATTAACAAAATAATTTATTGGCAAAGTATTTATTTGGCAAAACAATTAATTGTCAAAGTATTTGATTGGCAATATTTTTAATTGTCAAAGTATTTTATTGACAAAATATTTCGTTGTCAAAATAATTAATTGGCAAAATATTTAATTGTCAAAGTATTTGATTGGCAAAACAATTAATTGTTAAAGTATTTGATTGACAAAATATTTAATTGGCAAAGTATTTTATTGACAAAATATTTCGTTGTCAAAATAATTAATTGGCAAAATATTTAATTGTCAAAGTATTTGATTGGCAAAACAATTAATTGTCAAAGTCTTTGATTGGCAAAATATTTACTTGTCAAAATAATTTATTGGCAAAGTATTTATTTGGCATAACAATTAAATGGCAAAGTATTTATTTGCTATTATATTTAGTTGGCAAAATAAATAGTTGGCAAAATATTTAATTGTCAAAGTATTTAATTAGCAATATAGTTAGTTGACAAAACAATTAATTGGAAAAGTATTTATTGGGATTATATATTGCATTGTCAAAATAATTAATTGGCAAAATATTTATTTGGCAATATATTTAGTTGTAAAAATAAGTAATTGGGAAAATATTTAATTGGCAAAGTATTTGATTGGCAAAACAATTACTTGGAAAAGTATTTATTGGTTAATATATTTAGTTGTCAAAATAAATAATTAGAAAAGTATTTATTTTGCAAAGTATTTATTTGGCAATGTATTTAGTTGGCAAAATAATTCATTGCAAAAGTATTTATTGGGCAACATAGAAGGTTGGCTAATTTATTTAACTCTCAAAAATGAATTTCTACCCACATAAGTTCAGTATAAGAAAAAAAGGTAATTCTTTATTTCAGATGCTTAATGGCGTATATAGAAAAGGTACCAATTAGATTTATGTGAAGAGGGATGTTTTATATCACGCTCTAATATTCAATTCGGACAATCAATCAAACACCTGAAATAGTTACGGGATCTTCGACACGAATGTTCTGGTTAACGAAAATTAGAAGCTTTCCCCCCCCCCAAAAAGAATTTGGGTGTTTTTATCTAAAATATCATATAGATGAACATCTGTTTCCTTTATTCGACCATAAGCACTAAAAATTTTCAGATACACAAACAGATCGTTAAGCATTGCATGAGTTTTCGTTTTCCAACAATAAATTAGATAATAGTTTCTCTTCTTTTCTCAAACGCGATTTTACAGCTTGAAAATAAATCACTTCCTTCATTACAAATAAATAAATAAATAAATAAACAAATAAATAAATTAACAAACAAATAAATATAAAAAATACAATTAATTACATCCAAAAAAAAGTACGTATAACAATAACATAAAAAATACAGACATGAAATTAAATTTTTCACAAATTTTTAAATTCATTTCCAAATAATTAATTTATTATAATTTACAGAATAAAAATAGAAAAACAAAATTGAAGGGAAAAAAATCGTTTAAGAAATTGAAAGATGCTTGAAAAATGGATGAACAATATATTTTTGTTATATGTTGAGAATGATGAGTTACATCTATACAAATATAGTCTTTCTCACTCTCTTTTTATCTCCCTCTCTCTTTCTCTCTCTCACACCATCACCATAAGCTTGAGATATTAAACAGGTGAGATAGTTCCCAAGGGAACAAAGCCCCCATTACCACATCTTACCAGCAACCCCTGCGGTCCAGAAAGGCTCTTTCCTAAAACATTCATAGGAGCATCGTAAGTGGTTTTTAATAAACGTATTTAATCACAGATATCGAATTACATGTAAATTATCCTTCTCAAAGCTGCTCGAGATAAAGAGATTAGTAATCAGCAAAAACACGTGTTCAAACTTTCAATTTTCGCCAATAAAAAAAATGTTTAAATAGTTCCCGAAATTATTTTTTGTTATAATCACTATAATTAGTAATATACATAATTATTAATTTTTAATAATAATTATTAGTTACTCTATATGTGTCAAACGATATTATTGATTTGGAGTAATAATTTTTAATCTGCACTAACAATAATTATTAACTATTGGCATATAATAAAAAATTAACTCAGAATAATAACCGGTAATTATTTTATTATTTTTTCAGTACTATTATAACAGATTACAATAAAATATAATAAATAAATATTTCGTATATAGTCTGCATAATTCCATATATGTATCGCAATATTTTTTTTAATTTTCCTTAGTGCAGAATTTCAATAACAAACAGTTGCCTTGGTGATGAACACAATTCCTATGTATAATTGCGATCATTAATATTTTTCTACTATTATAATTTGACCTCTAGAAAGATAAAATCTGCTTAAGAAATAGAAGAAAAATGTCAACTTTAATTACTAGAAATGCAGATCATTTTTTTGATAATGCAAAAAGAAAATGTTTGTCAATATTTCAAAAATGTTTCTATATTTCTTTTAATCGAAAACTTTTGTTAATGTCGAGAATAATTTTCATTTTACTTTGTATATTTATTATCTAAAAACTAACAATTTTTATTTAGCTGATTATATTTTTCGTGCTTATATTTATTTATGGTCGAGATAAATGTAAAAGAATTAAAATATCCCAAAACCTAGGAGTGTATCAACTGAATTATCAAATAAGCCACGTGTACTTTGTATATTAGAGAATGTTTTAAAAAAAATTATTTTATAAGCACATGCGTCAAAACAGAGGTTTTATTAAACAGATGCAACTTTAAAACACAATCTATTCTCTAAACATAAAATTTTTTCGCACACGATTATTTATTTATTTAAATTATTATTTATTTATTTCTCAGAATAAAATTTCGACAAAATTTTTTTTAAAAAATTCATTTCTAGATATTTGCAAAGGACGATCGATAGAAACGGTGGTATTGAAAAACAAGAAACTCGACTGATTGTAAAAGATAAACCTTTGGTAAATTTTCAAACATTAGAGAAAATAAAAGAAACTTAATTGTTAAGAAACACAATTTTTATTATCTTCTAGCATCAAATGACTGATAATTGTCAGCATTGTAGGCCACGTACAAGTTTTAGCAAATATAAATAAACGAATTTACCCTTCAAGAATGTCATACTAAAAGAAAATATCAAACATACAACAGCTTTTTGGTAACACTACAAGAACAGAGTCGGTTCTTCTTACAAGCGAAACAGTTGAATTTCCGTTAATGGATAAAAGAATGATGAAGTTTATAAAGAAGATTTTTTGTTTTGTACTTCTTAGTGTAATTATTTTGGGAGTGTCAGGAGGAAGTAATTACACTAACGGATTAATAAGATATCTAAAAGAAAAATCGAAACTCCATCAGGTAATGTTTATAATTGATGATCAATTTCTTGCAAATGCAGAATCCAATGCTACAGCACAACTCATTCGTGATGTTTCCAAACACTTTCCATCATTGAGCATAAGTTTGCATGAAGCACAAACTGATCTGGAAAAATACTTTTCATTACATCTGCAAATTCCTAGAAGAACGACACTGTTTGTTTTCATTCTCAATGCATCTGGAAAGAGGTATATGAATGAATTAATTGCTACATTCAAAATACTACGATATTTGTCCCATGGACATTCATATCCAAAGTGTTTAATCAACTTGACCAATCAAAAAAAGGTTTATTCTTACAAGGCTATGCTAAAATCACTATGGCACGATGACTTCTTAGATATTTCAGTATTGGAAAATTTGATTGAAAATCGAACGTGGCAAACAGTGGATGTGACCACTATTCACAGAATCAATCTTTTTACAAAGAAATATACAAATCAGAAAGTTAATCCACGAAGAAAATGGTTTCCAAACAAAGTATTGAACCTCCACGGACAACGCTTCAACTTTTTAGTGCCAGGCTTCAGCGACAAAATTGGACGACGAATTTGGATTGAAATACAAAGATTCATAGACTACGTTATGCAATCAATGCATTGTAACATTACAATTCTTTTATTTAGAAGAGACACAATGGAAAAGTCACTTTCTTATAATGAAAGTGCAGAAATAGTAATAGCTTTTTCTGAATTTAAGTTATTGAATGCCACTGTTAACACTATACCAATGCGTATTTTGTCGTTTAGTACAATAAAGGCAGTGATTCCAACTGTAGGAAATAAAAATCGAAGTGTGGAAGTCTCGCAGGAATTTATTTACATGATACTTGCTACAATTGGTGCTTTTGCTGTAATTAAAATTGTAGCCTTGCTGTTAAAATTTAGCAGAAGCACTTGGAACACGTTTAACATCTGTCAAATCATAATGGGAATGTCCGTAGATAACAAACCAAGAAAATTAGCAGAGAGAATAGTTTTTGGTGCTTTCATGTTGAGTTGCATGGTCTACTCTGGTTACATGTTCTCAGTAATTTTGGACATCAATTTCCGGGAGGTTTCTCAAATTCAAACTCTGGAAGAATTGGCAAACTCGTCATTAACTTCTATGTTCAGAACCTTCATAAACGATTCAATGTTAAACAGCCCGCTCGTTCAAATTCAAAAATTAGCCGCAAAATCTACCACGATACCTGGCCATGGAATGGCATTTGATTGTTTGCGCTATTTGATCAAAAACAGAAATGTTTCTTGTATACTCTTTGATGCTGAAACTTCAGTAAAATCATTCATTATTAAAGATCAAGAATTAGGTTTTCAAATACTGCAGGAGTCTATAGTGCACTTCCCAAAATCCTGGATAACAAGGAAAGGTTCACCCTTTGTCGATCGATTTAACGAAATAATTCTGAGAGCCTTTGATCATGGCTTGCTGCAAAAATTGCTGTTTGCTGATTACACATCAAAAGTGAATAAAATTTCATCGGCAGACATAATTGAAAAAGAAAAATTGCTATTGGTTCTTTTCCACTTGTTGACAATTGGTTACATTTTGGCTGCAATTGCTTTTTTGGCAGAAATTTTCAACAATTTCATTTACAGCAAAGTCAAACAATTTTGGTTAAATCGTTTAAACTTTTTTTAGAAAAAAGAAACAAAAATTCTGCTTAAAAATCGTCTGAAGAAAGCATTGCTGGATATAAGATTATATTAGGTACGAAATTAACTTTCTTGAAAGTAGATGACAAAACAAAGTCAAAAACATTAAGAATTAAGTTGAAGATTTTAAGTCATTGAGCTACAATTTCTCTTTTAGCAGAAATTTTAAGCAATTTTATTTGCAGCAAAGCCAAGCAGTTTTGGGAGAATAGTTTAAGTTTTCTTTAAGAAAAGAAATTTTGCTTGTTCTTACATCGAGGCGTTCAATTATTAATTTGCAATAATAATTATTAATAATTAATAATAATGATTATCATTAATAATGACTGATTATTTTATTATAATATTAAATTGTAATTAAATTAAATTTCCATTAGAATTGTAAAAATTGACAACATTTTTGTTCGTGTTTATTTTTGACTTACGCGTAGTGAAATATTTTCAGTAACGCCTCATGAGCACTGTTATATACTGTTAGATAATTATTTCCGTCATTTTCTACTTCACATATTGTCGCATCTTTCTACAAAAAAAAAATATTTCGTCGTTGTATTTCTTTAATATTTTTACACGGTGACTTCAGTGTACGAGAGTTGTGACTTTAAAATGTTTAGAATGAAACATTTTCTGATTATTTGTCAAGTTTTTTGTGCATTGACAATAGCTCAAGTGTGTTACGATGACGGAAGTGAATTTTGTCTCGATGAAAATGATATTTTATCAGTCGATTTATTACCCGGTTCTTTTATTCTCGGACAGCCTAATGATATTAGTGAAAAAAGGAAAATACTCGACAATTTGACTGTTGACGGATCGTTTAATACTGCATTTGGAGAAATGGGCTATCACAGGTAATTGGAAATTTTGAAAAAAGAAATTCATTCTGTACACGATTTTTATTTTCAAAAAGTCTGTATTTATTTAATTTTTTTTCAATTTGTTTTTCTAAATATTCCTTTTCAGTTATTTTTCTAAATATTCTTTTCCAATTATTTTTCTAAATACTCCTAATCAATTATTTCGCTAAATATTTTTTGTCAATTATTTCTCTGAATGTTCTTTTTTATTAATGATTGAAATTTTCTTTTGTAATTTCTCTAATTACTTTTTTTTACTTTTTAATAAATAAATAAATAAAAATAAGTAATTAAAAAAGAAAAATTATTTTTTCAATTCTTAAAAAAGAATAAAAATATAAATTTTTTAATTAAATTAAATTACAGATTAAGAATGAATGAATATCTCTGTCACGGATATATAGCGGAAGAAATATTTAATCAAGTGGGACCAACACGAATTAAACGTCGCTTACAAGTGCCACAGGAAAATATTATGTCAGATTTTATACATGAAAATAATGTGACAATTCATGATAAATTATTATCCGACGAAGGTAGTTCAAGATATAAAGATTGGCTTCAACGGTAGGAATATTTTTATTTTCATTGTATTTTTATTTTTAATTATATTTAAACAAAAGAAAAATAAAATTTTTATTAATTAGAACAACAACATTAAATGACGTCTATCAGCACTACTCTCCGCAAAGAAGAATGAAAGTTAAAAATACCGGTCGACCTGAAGATGATTTTCAAGATTATGACGGAGAAGTTACTAGCTATGGATTACCAATGCCCATTCCTTCCGAGAAGAGCAAAAATAATTATCCTGGTAAACTAATTATCAAGCAGTTAATTGCACCAATTCTTTAATTGATAAAAAAAAAAGATTTTTTAAGTTTGTAAATTTTAATAAAAGGGTTTTTTCTCTTAAAATTTTGTTACCAGGTCCACTGATGCCATCTTCATCTGCACATCACATAAATTATGGTCCACCACAAGTACACTATGCTCCACCAAGTTATGGAGCATCATCTCATGGTGTATCAGGACACGGTTTCTCGCCCTCAATTCACGAGGAGCATTATTATTATCCCACAAATCATCACGAAGAAAGTCACGTCCATCATCACAGTAAAAAAGGCAGTGAACTTTCAATAAAGGATTTTTTCGAAATTGCACTCACTGCTCTTGCATTTTTGGCATTTGGCTTGTTCATTATTCAACTGCTGATGAGTATCGCGGTAATTATTGACAAACTATGATTTAAATTACTATTATTTTTAGACTGTTCAGGCTTCACACTCAATTCTACTAAAACCTACTATTTACTACTTCTTTTTACGCTTTACTACTATTTAAATACTTTTTCTTTTATATTTGTAACACCAAAAGCAACTTTTTTCTATTTTATGAGAATTTACTCTAATTTAAATCCGCACATAGTTAAAATAAACAAATTATTTTACAAAACAGTAAAATTCTTAGCGGAAGAATTTAATTATTTTCGACAATTTTTTAAAAATTCTTCACAGAAATTCAATTATTTTCATAAATAATTAAACTCTCCACAGAAATTCAATTATTTTCATAAATAATAAAATTCCCCACAGAAATTCAATTATTTTCATAAATAATAAAATTCTCCACAGAAATTCAATTATTTCTAGAAAATAATGAAATTCTTTGCTTAAATTCAATTATTTTTATAAAATTTGTTGAATAAATGAATTATTGAAAATTTTTTTATAAAATTCCACGAAGGGAAACATTTTTAAATAATTTTAATAAAATTTTTTTATAAGAATTAATCTATTTTCAAATAGAATTGAAATTTAATTCCAGAAAAAAATTGAATTATTTTCTAAATTTTTAATAAAAAATTCTTAAAAAACACATTTTAATAAAATTCGTTACAAGAATTCAATTATTTTCATAAATATAAAAATTCTCCACAGAAATTCAATTATTTCTAGAAAATAATGAAATTCTTTGCTAAAATTCAATTATTTTTATAAAATTTGTTGAATAAATGAATTATTAAAAAATTTTTTTATAAAATTCTACGAAGGAAAACATTTTTAAATAATTTTAATAAAATTTTTTTATAAGAATTAATCTATTTTCAAATAGAATTGAAATTTAATTCCAGAAAAAAATTGAATTATTTTCTAAATTTTTAATAAAAAATTCTTAAAAAACACATTTTAATAAAATTTGTTACAAGAATTCAATTATTTTCATAAATAATAAAATTCTCCATAGAAATTCAATTATTTCTACAAATAATAAAATTCTTTGCAAAAATTCAATTATTTTCAATAACAAATATTTTAATAAAATTTTACAGAAGAATTCAATAATTAAAAAAAGTTTTAATAAAATTCTTCTCAAAAAATTTTCTTATTTTCATAAAGAATAAAATTTCCACAGAAATTCAATCATTTGAAATGCATTTTTCCAAAAATTTGTTGAATAAATAAATTATTGAAAACAAAATTTATAAAATTCTACGAAGGAAAACATTTTTAAATAATTTTGGTAAAATTTTTTTATAATAATTCATCTATTTTCAAATATAATTGAAATTTAGTTCCAGAATAAAAGGAATTGAATTATTTACAAAATTTTTTAATAAAAATTTCTTCAAAAACACATTTTAATTAAATTTGTTACAAAAATTCAATTATTTTCAAAAGTAACAAAATTCTTAGCAAAAATTCAATTATTTTTGTAAACAATAAAATTCTTAGCAAGAATTAAATTATTTTCAAAAATACTGAAAATCTCAGCAAGAATTTAATAATTATTATCTAAAATTTTTTTAAAAATTCTTCACAGAAATTTATTTCTTTTCAAAAATCGCTCAATTTTTAGAAAAAGTTCAATTATTTTTAAGTAATTTAACAAACTTCATCACAAAAATTCAATTATTTTCATAAATAATATAACATTCTTTGGAAGAATTTAATTACTTTCATTAATAATAAAATTCTCCACGAAAATTTAATTATTTAAAAAAATTTTAATAAAATTATTCGAAAGAATTCAATTATTTACAAAATTTGTTTAAATTCTTCGAAACAATTCAAGAATTTTTCTAAATTAGAAAATTCTTCCCAAGAATTCGATTATTTTCAATACAATTTTAAAAAAATGTCTTGAACTGATTCTATTTTTTTTAAAAATTGTAATAAAATTATTATAAAATATTCAATTATTTTTTAAATATTGATAAAATTCTTTAGAGCAGAAATTCAATTTTAAGAAGCAGTAAAATATTTAAAAAATTATTTATTTTTCTTTCTCATAATTGAATTTTCGTAGAACTTTCAAAAATGAATTTCAGTTAAAATTTTAGATAATAATTGAATATTAGAAACGTCAATGTATAGATTTTTCAAAATAATTAAATTTCAAAAGAGTTTTAAATTAAAATCTTTGGAAATTTTGATTACTTTAAAATTGTAATAGTATTTAAATATTTATTTGAAATAATGATTAATTATTTATTTACCTAAAAAATTAATAAAATTTGAACAATGTTATTTTTAAAAGTTCAAAAAAAAGAATAATTGAATTTTGAAAGAATTAGAGTTTGTTTTTCTAAATTTCAAAAAGTTTTTAAATTAGAATAAATTATTAAAAAATTTAACACTTGTGGAAAAATAAATAAGTATTTAAATTTTTATTTAACAAAGATTATTCTACTTTTAAACAATTTAATTTAGAGTTTATGAAATAAACTTCATCTTATGGAAAATTGTAATTAAAATGGTTTTTTTTATTTCTTACTCTACTATCAAGGGGTTAATTAAGAATTTTTTTTTCTTAAAGAATGCAGTCACTTCAACGCCATCAACGACTGCGAATATTTTTGCCGATTTACCATTGGGCAATTCACGTGCAAGGAGAGAAGTATTTAATTCATTACCTCTCTCCTATTCTGGAAATTCGGAATTAAATGAATTGTCACATCGAGTATTGCGTTCAATTGAAGCGGCACTAGTTGCTCAAAGTGATCATGGCAATTGTCTTCGAAGAGTTCTTTGCGAGGACAATAGACACGCCAAAAATACCGAAGGTGGACAAAGAATTTGGATTCCTGTTTGGAGGTATAAAATTTCATTGGATTTAATTTTTTGAAACAACAAATTCGTTAATATTTTATAGAAATTAACAATTCGTTAATATTATTATTACTATTATTATTATAATTAATATGATAATTATTAGTCACAGTTTTTCTAAGGATATTAAATTGAGACAAAAAACGAATAAAAATTGTTGCGATGCAACAATTTTGTTACGTTTTTTGGCTCAATTTGATATCCTCAGAAAATTAGTAAAAATTTTTGCGAATTCAAATTTAAAGAGCAAAATGTTAAAAAAAAAATTCTTAAAGATTAATAAATAAACTTTAATAAATTTAGAAAGATAATAATTACTAAGAAGTATTTAATATTTAATGTAGGAAACTAAAAAAAAATTGAATAAAAACGATAAAGAAAATTTCTACAAAATGTATAAAATGATCAATTGGGAATCTTTTTTAACAGTCTAGGAATGAGTTGGGTTTCTGGTAGAATTCTGAGTAAATCACCGTGGTCGGCAATGCTGAATTCTGTAAAAGCTTCAGTTCTCGGCATTGGTAATGCCGACTGTACTTCACTTTATCCAGCATGCAATCTCGAAAGAGAAAGAATAAAAAGACGAAGAAGACGAAGAAAATAATTACAAAAAAAAAATGTTATTCTAGTTCACAACATTTATATGACCAAGATTTAAAAGAAAAAATTATTATTTAAGTGAAAAACAACCAAATTGTTGTTCAATAAATTTCGAAGCAAAAATTTTTTTTTTCTACATTTTAGAGAAAGTAAAAATTACTATATTTAGACGAAAAAGAATAAAATAAACAAAATTTTGAGTTTTTCACGGGACAACAAAAAGAATAAAAAATTTTAATCATTTGAAAGAACGAGAAAAAATTATATTATATTAGAAAAGAATAAATTTCAAATATTTGAAAGAAAGAAAAAATTATTATTCCAGCAAAAAGCAAGACTTTTAATAAAATTTGAATAAATATGGAAATTAAATTTTTAAATTTACCACTTAAGAAACAATAGTATGAAAAAAAATTTATAAAAGTTTAAATAGAAAAAATTTTCTTCTTTTAATTGTTGATTATTATAAACGTTGCGATCTTCATCTACGTTCAATAATTATGTTTCTAATATTAATACTTGATTAAAAAATTAACAAATATTAAATTTTCAAGAAAAAAATCTTGTAATTAATACTCACGAAATAAATTATAATAATAAAATAAATTATAAACAATAAAAAAAATTGTATTAATCCAGAAATGATTTCTTTGAATCAACAAAATATTCAAACAAAAAAAAACATTATTTCTATACCTAAAAAAAAAAAAATTTCTACGATCAAAAATTTATTTCAAAAAAAAAAAAAAATGGTTTCAAACCAAAAATGATTACTTTCAACCAACAAAATATTTAAACAAAAAAAAAGCTTTTTTTTAAAAACAATTTTTTCTACGGACAAAAATTTATTTCAATGCAAAAACGAATTCTTTAAATCAACAAAAAAAATTCAAATCAAAAAGATAAACATTATTTTCACGAAAAATAAATATTTTTCAACTAAACAAAAATTTATTTTAATTAAAAAAAACACAACATGAATTTTATGGAAAAAATATTTTTTATTTAACAAATATTTATTTTAACATTAAAAAAAATTTGTTTCATTCGAGAAATGATTTCTTTGAATCAGAAAAATATTGAAATCAAAAGGAGAAACATTATTTCTTCTTGAAAAACTTTTTTTTTCTACCAAAAAAAAATTATTTTATCAATGAAATAAAATTGTTTCAATCCAGAAATGATTTTCTTGAACCAACAAAATATTTAAACGAATAGAAACATTATTTTCACTAAAAAGAGTTATTTTAAACAACAAAAATTAATTTTAATTAAAAAATTATTCATTTTATAAAGGAAAAAAGGAAATAATTTTCACCATTTTAATTTCTAAATTACTATTTTTTAACAAAATTTCAAGTGTTTTTTTGAAATATGGGAAAAAATTTTTAGTATTCACATTTTTTTTGAGTAAATTTTAAGTTTTTTTTTGGAAAAAAGGAAAAAAATTTCCATAATTTCTATTTGTTAATCACGATTTTTAGTGAAATTAGTTTGTTTATAAATAAATTTATTTATTCGTAAATAAAAAAGATTTACAGAGTTTCTATTTTAAAATTACAATTTTTGTAAAAAATTCTATTGTTTCTTTTTGAAAAAAGGGAATAAAATATTTCTTTGTTACAATATTTTAACGAAACAATTAAACAAAAATTTTCCAATTTTTTCAATTTGAAACATTTTTTCCAAATTCCATTTCACGATTTTTTTAAAATTGTAATTTAAAAAAGAAAATAGAAAAGAATTACATACATTTTTTGTACAAAATGCTATTGTTTCTATTTCAAGTATTTATTTATTTTTTTTAAAGTGTTAAGAAATTTTGTATAATTTTGTTGAAGAAATACTTGAAAAGAAATTGAATTTTATTTTAGTTACTTATTGTTTTTGTAATATTAAGAAAAATTTTCCTATTTTTTCAATTTTAAACAGTTTTTCCAAATTCTTTATTTGCTGCAAATTGAAAATTATCAGAATCTTCATCTACGTTCAATAATTATGTTTCTGTTACTTGATTAAAAAATTAACAATCATTAAATTTCCAATAAAAAAGTGTCTTAATTAATATGAAATAAATAATAAATATAATATAGAAAATAGAAAATAAAAATAATAATTAGAATGATGCCAAATAATTACTATTTTAATTAAGATGAAATTTATCAAAGTTTAAAAACTGACTTTTTTAAAACTTTCTCCTTTTTTTAAATATAACCCATAGGTAATTAATTAGAAAATGAACTTACGCAAATTTCTGCCAGTCTGTCAATTATAAAACTTGTTGAGTGAGAGGAGTGAAATATCGAAATCAAATTTTGTCGATGCGCCTCTAATTTCACTCATCACATAAATTAATATAAACAAAAAATTTTAAAAAAGAGGTTAGAAAAAAAATTTCTAAAATTTTTCCCCCTTTTCTATGTCGAATTACCTAGTCAAAAATTTCATCAAAAATTTCATCAAAAATTTTATCAAAAATCCATAAAAAATGGATTACGCCAGAAAATTCGGAAATCAAAAAACATCTTCGCCTTATTTAAAAAATAAATACAAAATTTCCACAAATTACAAACAATCAACAACACTCACCGAACCTCGTTTAATAGAAGACAAAAAATTGTCCAATTGGAAAAAATGGTTAAAAATAAGAAAAAAAGATGAAGAAAATTATAAAAAACGATTAAACAGAAATGAACTCCTCTTAAATTCAGGTGATAATTACAGATCAATACTCGAAACTAGAGAACTAATTGAACTCGCAAAAGATCCACTAATAAATTATGCTTATCAGACAAAACAAGATTTTGATCTCAATTTTTTTATCACACCCGAAATACTCTCGAATCATGGAAATAATCATTTACCAACAATAATTGTTCCCAATAGTAGAAAATTGAAATTAAACAATTTTTCATCCATCGCCACACCGGATTTAATTCTACGCGAAAAGGGTTTAACGAAACGAGATGAATTTAAAAAAAGAAGTGACTATTTAGAAGAAGAGAAAATAAAAAATTCCCTCCTTTTGTCAATTATAAAGCCACATCCACCGGAAATGGAAAAATTATTTATTCAGGGGAAAAATTTAATGAAAGAGAGAAGAATAAATATAATTAAGAAGGTACCAGTGATAACGATAACAAATGACAATGAAACTGAGAATGAAACCAGTGAATTGTATATTAATCCAGATGCAATGATTGCGGCATTGAGAATTGAAAATGAGAACATTGGGAAAAGATTAAATTCAATAATTGAATTAGAAAACAATCATTTCCATTGTTGGGATATTAAATTCAATTGTAGAATTAATGAAAAAGGGGAGAAATTTATTGTTTTTGAAAATAAGGGAAATATAAAAATAACATATTACTGGAGAGAAATTTTTCTTGATTCGACAAATTTACCATTATTATTATTGGAGAGAAGAAAAAAATCGAGTTCTTTCTTTTTTAATAAAAATCATGGTATTATTTTGCCTGGGCAAATTTTGAATTTTCCCATTTGGTTCAAAAGTGGAGAATCGGGAATAAAAAGGGAAAATTGGAGATTCGTGACCGATCCTTTATTGTCTAGTGAAAATATTATTTTTCGTTTCTGGGGATTCACTCGAGAAGACGAGGAAAATGGGTCCAAAAATAAAGTTCAAGTAATTCTTTCTTTTTATTAAAATTCAGATTTTTATTATTAATTAATTAATTTATTTATTTATATTTTATTTCATTTAAATAAGTATTTATTCATTTATGTAAGTGCTAAGTTTAAATTTAAAACTTAATTAAAAATTTTTAAATAAAAAGAAAATAAATTTTTTAATTAAAAACAAACAAAAATTTATTTTATTAAAAAAAATATTGTTTCAATAAAATCCTTCAATGAAAGAAATGATTCCTTTGAATCAACAAAATTATTCAAATCATAAATAAAAACATTATTTCAACCAAAAAAGAAACTTTATTTTCGACAAAAAAAGAATTTTTTTAACCAAAAAAAATTTATTTCAATTGAAGAAACATGATTCTTATGAAAAAAAATTTGATTCAACAAAAAATTATTTCAACAACCAAACCAAATTGTTTCAATCCAGAAATGATTTCCTTAGATAAACAAAATATTCAAAACATAAAGGAAAACATTATTTTCACAAAAAAAATTTTTGTCAACTAACAAAAATTCATTTTAATTTAAAAAAAAACCTGATATTTATGGAAAAAATATTTTTTGACTCAAAAAAAAAATTATTTCAACAATAAAAAAAAAATTTTCTATTGAAAAAAGGCTTCTTTAAATAAAAAAAATATTCATATCAAAAAGAAAAACAATATTTCTACTTAAAAAAAATTTTTCTACCAAAATAATTTTTTTCAATAAAAAAAAAAAAACACGATTTTTATGGAAAAAATATTGTTTCAATCCAGAAATGATTTCTATGAATTAAAAAAACTACCAAATAAAAGAAAACATTATTTCTACTTAAAAAAATATTTCTACGAACAAAAATTTATTTCAACAACAATAAAAAATTGTTTCAATTCAGAAATTTTCTTTGATCAAACAAAAAAAAAAAAAAAAAAAATTCAAATCAGAGAGAAAAACATTATTTATAAAAAAAAATATTTTTCAACTAACAAAAATTTATTTTATTTAAGAAAAACATGAATTTTATGAAAAAAATATTTTTTATTTAATTTATTTCTACAATAAAAAAAATATTTTTTTAATCCAGACATGATTTTTTTGAATAAAACTAAATAATCAAACAAAAAAAAACATTATTTCTACGATTAAAAAAAGTATTTCTACGAACAAAAATCTATTTAAACAACAAAATTATTACAAACCAGAAATTATTTCTTTGAACCAACAAAAAAATTCAAATTAAAAAGAAAAACATTATTTTCACCAAAAAAAAATTTTTTTTCAACTAACAAAAATTTATTTCAACAATAAAAAAAAATGTTTTATTCCAGGAATTATTTCTTTGAACCAAAAACAATATTGAAATCAATAAAAGAAACTTCTTTTTCACCAAGAACTTTTTTTCAACTAACAAAAATTGATTTTAATTAAAAAATCATGAATTTGATGAAAAAAATAAGAAAAGGAAATAATTTTCATCATTTTAATTTCTAAATTACAATTTTTCAATAAAATTTCAAGTATTTTTTTAAATAGAGGAAAACAATTTTTGGGAATCACATTTTTTAGAAAATTTTAAGTTTCTTTTGGGGAAGAAGGAAAAAATTTTCCATAATTTCTATTTGTTAATCACGATTTTTAGTGAAATTACAGTTTGTTTATAAATAAATTTATTTATTTATTTATTCGTAAATGAAAAAGATTTACAGAGTTTCTATTTTATAATTACAATTTTTTTTTTACAAAATTCTATTGTTTCTTTTTGAAAAAAGGGAATAAACTATTTCTTTGTCACAATATTTTAACGAATCATTTAAAAACAAATTTCTCAATTTTTTCAATTTGAAACATTTTTTCCAAATTTTTCATTTTCAGCAAATTGAAAATTATCTGAATAATAAACTGAGAGATTCGGCAATTAAAGAAATTCTCGACGAAATAGTAAACGACGCCCTAATATTTCAACCACCAGAACCATTTTATAAACAACTATTTCTCGAATCTGACATATTCACAACAAAAAATCCATCCTACTTTTACAATTCAATTCTAATAAATGAGTTTCGTGAAATTTACAATAAAATTTTTAATAATTCCAACTGGAATCTCTCTATTCACGATCTACGTAATATTCTCCTGGAAATTGAAGATTCAGAATTTCAACACGACAATAATTTATCTCATTTTGTCAATCTCTGTAAAGCAGCATCAGAACCAATTTCCATTTACTTAAGAACAGAAAATAGTGAAAAATACGAGAAAATTTACAATTTACTATGTTCATTTGTTAATAAATTTGAAAATGAAAGTGAAACAATAAAAATGAATATTTGCCTTGAATTAATAAATGAAGAAGATTTAGAAATTGGAAGGAGATCTGAAACTAGGTCGAATAGTCTCAGTTCCTTGGGAAAATTGACACCTAAATTGAAAGTGAAATCAAAGGAAAATAAACGTAAGAGGGATCAAATGGCATTAGAGCAGTCAAAGGAGGAGACTTGGAAAACGAAAAAATTGGTTATTTCAAAATCGAGAGATATTATTTTGTACGAGGAAATATTTTATTTGAGGATTTATGAAATTCTCCAAGAGACAATCAGTAAAGCGTGTGCTATTATTGATTCTTTTATAAGACTACATGAATCAGAAAACTAGATAAAAGTTTCTATTACAGAGGATTTAAAATAAATATTTTCTCTTTTTCTCCAGCGAAAAGCTAGACAATTCTTTACCTTTTTTATTATTTTCATTTGAAAACTTTTTTTCATCATCATTTTTTTTTCTTTGATTCCTTAATTGTAATAAATTGCAGTTTCACATATTTTTAAAAATTAAACTTGAATTTATTTTCTAAAATTTTAATAAAATTCTTGTCAAGAATTTAATTAATTTAATTCTATTCATAAATAATAACAAATCAAAAATTTTTGTACATAAAGAAAAATTCAAAAAAGCAAAACAATTCAATTATTAGCAAAAATTTGGATAAAAGTCTTCAAAGCAATTCAATTATTCAATTATTTTCATAAATAATATCAAATTATTTATAACATTCTTAGAAAGAATTGAATTATTTTTAAAAGTTTTAATAAAATTCTTCGTAAAAATTATCTGCAAGAATTCAATTATTTAAAAAAAAAAAAAATTTATCGTAACAGTTCAATTATTTTCAAAAATTTTCATAAAATTCTTCGCAAGGATTTAATTATTTTCAAAAATTTTAATTCATTTCGTGAAAACAATTATTCTAAAACTTAGAATTGTAAATAAACAAAAATTAAAAAAACAAAACAATTTAATTATAATTATAAAAAATTTGAATGAAATACTTCGAAGCAATTCAATTATTTTCATATATAATAAAATTCTTAGAAAGAATTCAATTATTTTTAAAAGTTTGAATAAAATTTTTCGTAAAAATTATCTGCAAGAATTCAATTATTTCAAAAATAATAAAATTTATCCTGAAAATTTAATTATTTTCCAAAATTTTCATTCAATTCTTTAAAACAATTGTAAAATTTTTGTAAATGAACAAAAATTTTTAAAAAATTCAATTACTTTCATGAATAATAAAATTCTTGTTAAGAATTAAATTATTTTCATAAATAATAAAATTCTTAGAAAAGAATTAAATTATTTTTAAAAGTTTTAATAAAATTTTTCGTAAAATTTATCTTCAAGAATTCATTTATTTCAAAAATAAAAAAATTTATCCTGATAATTTAATTATTTTCAAAAATTTTCATTCTATTCTTTAAAACAATTCTTAAATTCTTGTAAATAAACAAAAATTAAAAAAAAATTCAATTACTATAAAAAATTTGGATAAAATTCTTCAATGTAATTCAATTATTTTCATAAATAATAAAATTCTTAGAAAAGAATTAAATTATTTTTAAAAGTTTTAATAAAATTTTTCGTAAAATTATCTGCAAGAATTGAATTATTTCAAAAATAACAAAATTTAATTATATTAAAAAATTTTCATTCAATTCTTCAAAAACAATTCTAAAATTTTTGTAAATAAACAAAAATTTTTAGAAAAATTCAATTACTATTAAAAATTTTCATAAAATTCTTCAACAGAATTGTATTATTTTCATGAATATAATTAAATTTTTGTCAAGAATTCAATTATTTTCATAAATAATAAAATTCTTAGAAAGAATTGAATTATGTTTAAAAGTTTTAGAAAATTCTTCGTAAAATTTATCTGCAAGAATTAAATTCTTTCAAAAATTTTCATAAAATTCTTTGACAGAATTCTATTATTTTCATAAATAATAAACTTCTTCTCAAAAATTCAACTTTTTTCATAAAGAATATAAAATTCTTCGCAAGAATTCAATTATTTTCAAAAATAATAAAATTCATCAATACAATTCAATCATTTTCAATACAATTTTAATTTAATTCCTCGAAAAAATTTAATTATTTTCTTAAATTTTAATAAAAGTCTTCTCAAAAATTCAATTATTTCAATAAAATTTTACGAAAGAATTTCATTATTTTTGAGAATATCGAATTCAATTTTCAAATTAAATTATGATTTTTAATTCAAAACAATATCATTCTAATCTAAATAAATAAATATAAATTCCATGTTATTAATTATTTAATATGTATTATTAATAAAAAAAAAGTAAAATTCCCTCTAAATAAATTTGTATATTTCATTGTGTTTGAGATTTTTGGTTTCTACTTAATAAGTGAAATAAATAATTAGAGAAAAATAGAAATTAGAGAAATGATTCATAAAATAAAAGAAGCAAAAGAAAATAAATAATAAAAAAATTTAGTTTTTATTAATACATAGATTTTATTAACAGCTGAAGAAAATTCGCCTTCCTCGTAAAATTTGAACTTTTCTTGTATTATCTTTTATTTCTTCATTCCAATTGTTTTTCAACTTACGAAATTCGTCGATCTGAAAATAAATTTTTGCTTAAAGAAATGATTTTGGTTTTTGAAAATTATTTCTTGTATAACGAAACATATTTTGATTTTTTGAAAATAATTTCTTTTGAAAAATCAATTTTTAATTATTTTTGTAAATTAATTTCTTGTAAAGAAACGATTTTCGTTTTTTTAAACATAAAAAGATTTTAAAAAAAAAATTGTACCTGTTTGGCAGAAATCATTATCGATTTTGGAAATATTATCCAAGTAACACATTCGTTGTAAGGATATGTTGTCAATGATCCACGATAAGTGTAATAACTTTTAACATTCAAACAATTTTTCATCCAGTGCAGGCAATCTAGTCGAGAAAAATTTGTAGGCAAAATAATTTTTAAATTTAATTTTTATTTATTTTACTCCCTTCTTTTACTAATTTTTTAAATAATATAATTACCCATATATTTCTATATAATTTATTCATATATTTCTACGTAATAAATATTATATATTTACTTAAAAAATATTTATATTTACAATAATGAAATCTTAAAACTTACTAGCTGGTATTTCAGTTATTATTTCCGGTTCGTGAATGTACTTCAAATTATCTGTAATTCCTTCCAAATGAAAATTACTCCACAAGCAATTTTTATCAGTTGCCTGTATTAAAGTATTTCACAATCAATTTAAAAATGTTATTTTCAAAAAATATTTTCAAAAAGTATTTTTAAAAACGTATTTCTTTAATTAAAAAAAAAAATTACTAAAAAATTGTTATCTACTTTGTGTTCAATTTCTTATAATAATTTTAATATAAATTTTTGTTAATAATGAATAATTAGTTATAATAATTTACTTAAAATTTTATTGAAATAATTTTTATAATTTAATTTTTTTATAAAAGAATATTTGAAATAAATTATATATTGAATAAATGAAATGAAATCATATTCTTCTATTATTAATAAAAATATCGCAATTTGAAATGTAAGGATAAAAAAAAAAAACTTTTATCAATATTGAAATATTTTGAAAAGTATATTATTTTTTTTTTGTACTCTTTTAAAAATTCTCCTTTTTTTTCTTTAGAGAAAAGAATAAGGCATTTTTTGTTCACCAGAAATAGGAATGCGAGTACACAAATTCCATCTTTGTGTTTTACACATTCAGCGAATGTCGTATATTTTCTGTTCCAGTGAACTGCGTGGGCTTCCATAGAAAACCTTCATCGAGATATAAAATTAAATTAAATCAAAGTAAAAAAAAAAAATTTCATTTCATTGTTCGATCAATTGTTTTTTAATTTTTTGCCCTTTTAGACATTTAAGTTAAACAAGTACTATTATTATTATTATAAATATTATTTATAAAAGTTGATGATAATATATTTTCACCAAGTATCATTGAGTGTATGCTCGGAGCCTTGACAATTATTTTCTCCCCAATGAAAATGAACATTTTCGAATTCATAAATATCGTCTAATAGAGGTCCTCCTTTAATTGTTGAAGGAATTCTGTCGCCGGTCAATGTTATCTTCACTAAATATTTTGTAAAATTTTTTCTATATTTATTTCTTAAGTATATTTGTTTATTTACGGTTTTAATTTATTTACTGTAATTAATTATTATTATTATTATTATTATTATTATTATTTATTATTATTTTACTGTAATTTATTTATTTACCGCATTTGTTTCTTGACTATATTAATTTATTTGCTTCATTTGTTTATTTACTGTTTTCCTATTTACTGCATTTATTTATTTACTATATTTATTTATCTATTATATTTATTTATTTACTGTATTTTATTTATTGTTTTTATTTTTTCACTGTTTTTATTTATTAACTATTTTTTTTATTTATTGCATTTATTTATTTACTACATTAATTTGTTTACTGTATTTATTTATTTATCGCAATTAAATTCTTTACTTTAATTATTTAATATATTTTAATAAATATATGTTTCTAAAATTTCTTCTAAAAAGAATAATTCTAAATTTAAAATATATTCTTGGTCAAGGATTCTTATTTTTCAGAATAAATATTTTTCGTTCAAGTGTGTCAAACGCAAATTTTTTATCAATTTGACAAATTTATCTGCACTAGATTTATTTCTGTATTTTTGCTCTTTTATATGAAAAAAAAGAATCTTTTTTATTCAAACCTGTTTCTCCATTATTAACCATACAGGCATAACCATCATTTAACCAGTGTCCAGTTAAAATTAATTGTGGAAATTTAGCAGGCAGAACGGCTTTGTCGTCTATATTTACGGGAGATTGACCTGATTTTTGAGAACCTTGAAATTCAAATAATAGAATAAAAAAATATATTAAAAATTAAATAATAATAATAGTGATAAAAGATTAAATAAATAAATAATAAAAATTTATCACAAATATTTTTTTACATTAGTTCGTTTGAAAGAAAAAAAAACAAATTGGTTCATTTTCCCTGATGACAAAATGAAAAATTATTAGATTCACTTAGAGCAAAAAAAAAACGACTTGACTTTTTTTTTAAATTCGAAAATAATACACAATTTTAATTACCAAGGATCCACTCTTCAGATTCCATTAATTTTTTTTGTATTCAAATTTTCACTTAATAAACAATTATTACTTAAAATTTTTCCATCGAGAGAATATAGACTTTTAGCGTAAAAAAAAACAAATGAATTTTACAATTTTTTTTACATTTTTCCTTTTTCATAATTTCTTTTTATTAAAAAAATTACTATTCTTTCCTTTTTTTCAAATCTTTAAATTTCAAGTTCCCAACATTATTTATTTATCAATAATCGAAAGCAAATTCATTTGCGTAAAAAATTTTCCGACGATTCAGTGGTTGTTGTGCTCGATAATTTTTTAAAATTGGTTCATAATTTTTGTCACGTATTTTTCTGAATTCTTCCATCTATTTTTATTTGAAAATGCAAAGGAAAGAAGACGAAAAATTACGCATAAATATAAAATTATTAAAATAAATAAAATAGACAAAAATAATAAAAAAAAAAAATATTAAAAAATAAATGAATAAAAATTGAAACCTGATTTAATGAAATTTTGATAGGTCTTGGAATTATAATCCAAGTGGCGCATTGGCTGTAGGGAAAATTTGTTAATGATCCCTCGTACGTGTAATAACCTGGTTGGAAAAAACAATTTGTCATCCAATTCAAAGAATCTAAATTCCGAAAAAAACAAGAAAAAAAAATTCATGATTATAATTCATTTTAATAAATTGAAAAAAAAATTTAATTTGTAAATTTAAAATAAAAAAAAAAAAAAAAATGAGAAAAAAACAAACAATTTTTATTGCAAGTAAGAAAAATATGAAAGAAATAATATGAAGAATAAAAAAATAGGAAAGGGAAAATATGAAGAATGAAAAAAATAAGAAATGAAAAATAATAAAATATAAAGAATAAAAAAAGAAGGAAAAAATAATCAAATATAACGAATAAAGAAAAATCTAGAATAGAAAATAATAAATTTAACATTCCACCTGGCGAAATATTTACAGATTTTCCAATTGTACGAATACTCGATAACGCGTTTGAGATATTTTTAAATTCAATATTATCCCTCATTTCAACATCACCTGAAACCTAAAACAGTTATTTAAAAACTTTATTTGGATTCAATTTTTTTATATACCAATTAATTATTATTTATTATTTAATCTATTTTTAATTAATAATTAATAATAAATAATTAATAATAAATAATAAATAATAAATAATTAATAATTAATAATTAATAATAAATAATTAATAATTATTTAAAGTCTAGAAAAATTTTTTTTCTAGCTTTTGTAGAATTTCTCAAAATATCAAAACTACTTTTTTAATAAAAACTTATAATACAGAGAATTTCATAAATAAAATTTAAATATAAATCCCTTGACAATGACCAAGTCACTTTGATTTTTGCAAAATAAATTTTGCATAGGATTTATATGTACAACGCCCACTACATCAAAGTTTACCAGGAAAAGGTATGAAATGATAGCCATTCCATCAGAATTTTCATAACACTTTTCTAAAGTTTCATATCGTGGATTCCAGTGAATAGCTTGAGCTTCCATTGAATACCTTTCAAGAAAAATTCTTATTAAAACAAAATTGAAAAATTTTATTAAATTTCATAAGATTGTTTAAAAAAATACATATTATTAAAATATGTAAAGAAAAAGATTTTAAAAAATATTGCTTCAATAAAAAAAATTGCTTTCACAGAAAATTTCATTTCAATATTAATTTTTTAAATTAATTAATTCTAATTATTTAATTATTAATTTTTTAATTATAAATTATTAATTCTAATTAATAATTATAATTCTTTAATTAACTGTAATTATTTTATTATTTGATTATTAATCACAATTATTATTTTAATTATTAATTGTAATTACATAATTAATTAATTAAATTAATTACCATGTATTATTTATAGAATGTTCAGCACCAGAAGAATTATTTTCACCCCAGCGAAACTGTAAATGCAAAAATTCATAATAATCACCTAATGGACCTCCACTGATCATTGGACTTGTTCTTTCATTCAGTTCCACTTGCACTGAAAATTTAATTATTCATAAATAAATAAATAATTTCCAATATTTGTATAATATAATAAATTTGATTACTAAATTAATATATTTATTAATAACAACATAGCATAATATTATTATAATATTATAATTATTAATTAATTATTATTGTAAATTAAAAATTGAAAATTATAATTAAAAAGTTAGAAAAATTAGTTATAATTAATAGTTTTTTTTTCTAGTACCTAATTTAAAAATTAATTTAAATTATAAATTCAGTAAATAAATAATAAAGAAAATACCAGTTTCTCCGGTATTTCTAATAGTTGCTGTCCCCTCATTTTTCCAGTGTCCACCCAAAAGTAAAGGGGGAAATTTTCGTTGCCAAACATTGACAAAATTTAAATCAATCGGCGATTGCTTCCATTTGGGATAACCAGATGAAGATGTTGAAACAATGACATTATTATCTTTAAATTAGAAATTTATCTTTTTTACTATTTATAATAAATTTTGCGATATTAGTAAAAATGGAAAATACCAAAAATATTCTAAAATTAAATTAAATATTCTAAACCTAAATTAAATATTCTTAAAAGTAATTTAAATATTCTAAAATTGAATGAAATATTATTGGAAATATCATTAAACATTAAAAATTAAATTAAAATTTTCTTGGTTATAACCACAATATTTTTATAAATAATAATACGTCTATATATAGCCACTCGTGAATTACTCAATATTTGACCTACTTTTCGAACTGCGACTCATTAAAACAGTTTAATGTAGCATTCTTTTTTAATACTTCTGTTTCTAATCAATTATTACAAAAAAGTAGTTAGATATGAAGAAAATTTCAAAATTTTTAATATTAACACTTATTCGAAAACTAATTCCAAAAGTGCAAAAAAAAAATACTCCCACGTGATTTTCGAATGTTATTTTCTCTGACAACTTGAGGTTATTTATTTGATAATAAAAAAAAAACAATTCTTTATTAATGGAAATGCAAAATTATAAATTGTCAGGTAATAGAATTTTTTATAAAAAAAATTCATTTTTTTAACACAACAGAGAGAGAGAAAATTGGTAAAGAAAATTTAAACAATGATTGATCCCACTTTACCTGAATTTCTCGTTGGAGTTGGAATATTTCTACTCTTTGGTTAGTGAAATATAATATTTTGCACAAAAAATTCTTTTGTTATTAAAATATAATTGTACCAATATGAGAGAATTTTATAGATATTTAATTATTTTTTGATTAAAAATTATCATCGTTTTCTTTTTATACCTCTAATTTTTTTTTATTTCAAAAAAAAAACTTGAATCAAAAAAAGGCAATAAATTTTGTTCTTTCTAAAATTAAAGTTGAAAGTTCTTTATTTTATAAAGTTCTTTATTTCACAATAAAATAAAAAATTTAGTTTTCAGTAATTTTGGTCAATATTAAATTAGTCAGTGCTTTGAGGGATAAAATAAAATACAGAAAATGGATAAAATATAATAAAAAAAAAAATGAAAAAAAATAAAATTAATTAAATTTTTATTTAAAAAGCGAGATGAATTTTTTTTTTAACGTTAATAAAAAATAATTGATGAATAACTGAAAATAAAAATTTTTGTTTTATAAAAAAAATAATTAATAATTAGAAAAAATAATAAAAATAATAAAATATTGTATGGAAAATATAGAGAATAATAATAAAATAATAAAATATAAAGAGTAATAATAAAATAATAAAAAATAAATAAAAATTGTTTTCTAATGGTCGTTTGGGAAATTTTCTAAGTTTTACTATTATCGGAAATTGTCGACGGAGTGGATATGTTTTCAATGGAAAGTTGCGGATATTCGAATTCAATTTCTTTCGGATATGACAATGAGAATGGACCACACAAATGGAAATTGTTATTCCCTGAAAGCGATGGCTGCAGCCAATCTCCCATCAATATCGTAACACGTCTTGCTGTAGTTTTACAATCATCTGAACCTTTAAAATGGAGTGGCTATCGTTCACAACCTACATCAATGTCGTTGGAAAATGACGGAAATTCCGGTAAAATACATTCCAATAAATTGATTTCTCCTTTTTTTGCGTTGATAAAAATATCCTCAATTTCTATCAAATCGACAATAATTTCTGTTTATAAAAAAATTAAGTATTTACACATAATTATAAATTGATATCAATTTATTTACAAATAAATAATAATAATAACACAATAAATCGTGAGGTATTAAAAAGTGTTGCAGATTAAATTAACACCAAAAAAGATTAAAATAATCAATTTTGGTGTTATTTTTTACAATGAATGAAATTTTAGTTCATTAAATTTTTTTAAAACTATAAAACATGAAGATATCGATAACTCGGAGTCTTTCTTCATATTTTATAATAATTAAAGATGACCAAGTAATAAAATCATTATTTTATATTATAAGAATATTATACTTCTTCCAAACTATTTTCATTACTTCAATTCAATTATTATTTTCAAAAATTTTTAACTACAATTTTACTTTATATCAATTATTTTTCATAATTTTCGAAAAAGTTCTTTGGCAATTTTTAAATCCATTTGTTTAATATTCAATTTAACGAAATTTTAATTATTCCTAAATTCTTCAATTAAATATAAATTAGAAAATAAAAACTTCAAATAATAAAAAAAAAATTCAATTAAACTTTTTCGAAAAAATTAATTTCACAATTCAATTATTTCTAAAAATTCACGCTATATTGCTTTTAATATTCAATTATAATCTAAAACTTTAACTGAAATTCATTTTTATGAAATGAAAATCAATTTTTATTAGAAAATTCTACAAAAATTTAATTATTGAAATGCAAAAGTAAATACTTTATTGAATAATTCAATGTTTCTCATAAAGAATTTTATTAACAAATTTTTAAATAATTGAATTCTTTTGTCGAATTTTATTAAAACTTGCATGAACATAATTACTTTTTTCAATAAGGAATTCAATTATAATTGTATGAAAAATAATTGAAACGCTGCGATGAGTTTTATTATTAGTAAAAATAATTGAATCCTTAAGGGCATTTGAACCATTATGACGTCACAGTTTGTTCAAAGCATTATTTTGTTCTAAATATGTGACGTCATAATGGTTCAAATTCCCTTAAGAAGAATTTTATTACCCTTGAAAATAATTGGATTTCTGCAATAATTTGTAACTTCTCTAAAATTAAATTTTTTTTCTAGTTTTTCTAGTTTTAATTCTTCAATAAATCCATTATTTTTAATAATTTTTAAAATAGTTCTTTGAGAATTTTTAAATTCATTCATTTACAATTCAATTTTACAAAATTTCAATTATTCGAAAATTCTGCAATTAAATATATATTGAAAAATAAAAACTTGAAATAATTTCAATAAAAATCTTATTAAACTTTTAAAAAGAATTAATTCTACAGAATTATTTGTCAAAAATATGAAAAATTAAGAATTTCAATGACTTTTAATTTGAAACCTCTTCGAAACTCAATTATTTCTAAAAATCCACGTTATAATGCTTTTAATATTTAATTATAATCTAAAATTTTAACTGAAATTCATTTTTAAAACCATCTTTATTAGTAAATTCTATACGAGAATTCAATTACTTAAATACCAAAATAAATAATTTATTAATTTCATGTTTCTTGAAAATTAAATTCTCATCAAAAATGTTATCAACAAATTTTTTAAATCATTAAATTCTTTGGACAAATTTTAATAAAATTTTTAAGAATTATTACATTTTTCGAGGAATTTGATTAAAATTATATTAAAAATAATTGAAATTCATACAATGAATTTTATTGTTTATGAAAATAATTGAATTCCTAAAAGAATTTTATTATTTATAAAAATAATTGAATCCCTGTGAAAAAAGTTATTATTTATGAAAATAATAGAATTATTGCGAAGAAATTTATAAAAAAATTTGAAAATAATTGAATTCCTTTAAAAATTTTTTATTATTTATGAAAATAATTGAATGTTTGCGTAGAATTTTATTCAATTTTTTTTTAATAATGGAATTCTTTTGGAAAATTTTATTGAAATAGTAGTATTTTGTTTTCAGTAGTTTAGCTCAATATTGAATCGTACAATTCTTAAAAGAATGTTTAGTTCCAACGATAATTTCTAATAAATTAATTTTTAATATTGTGATTAATTAAATTAATTAAATTTGTTAACAATAAGTTTAGCTTTCAGTAGTTTTAGTCAATATTATAGGTCAGACAATACCTACTTGAATGAAAGTATAATTTTATTTTCCAATCGTAATAATTTTTATATTTTGACTAAAATTAACATAACTCATAACTGATTTTATTTATCATAATAAAATTGTTAGATGTCAGTAGTTTTGGTCAATATTTGGTCAGACAGTTTTTAATTAAAAATATAATTTTAACTCGTTTGTAATATAATATTTCAATTTTACACCAATTTTTTTAAATTTCAACAAGTGTTTAATTATTAATTAAGTGCGTAATAGTAGTTTAGGTCAATAATCAGTCCGACAATACTTAATTGTAATTATATAATTTTATGCTTAAATCGCAAATAATTTTTTTATTCTTTCAACTAAAATTAAAAAAAAGTTGTGAGTTTTTTTTATTTCACTATAAAAATAAGTTTTCTTTTCACTAGTTTTAGTCAATATTAAATCAAACAGTACTTAAAGAAATGTATTATTATAACTTTAATTGGTCATATTTTTAATATTTTATATACACTTTTATAAGTTGTGATTAATTTAATTAAAATTTGTTATAATCATAATAAATTTAGCTTTCAGTAGTATTAGTCAATATTATGTCAGACAGTACTTAAATAAAAGTATAATCTCAATTTTAAATTGTAATATTATTCATATTTTATCCGAAATTTATATAAATTGTAACTAATTTAATTAATTGTAACTTAAAATTGATAATAAAAAGCGTAATTTTCAGTAGTTCAGGTCAATAATCGATCAGACAGTACAATTGGAAATATATATTTTAGCTTTAAAATCGCAATTTTCTTTATAATTTTTTTTTTCTATAAAGTTGAAGTGGTAAGTTCTTTATTTTGCAATAAAAATTTCAGTTTTCAGTAGTTTTGGTCAATATTAGATCAGACAGTACTTAAATGAAAGTAAAAATTAAACTCTAATATTGTAATATTGTTTATATTTCACCTAAAGTTTTATAAATTTTTAACCACTTCACTGGCAGGGCGTTCCAAATGGCGTTCCACGCGCCGAGGCCCAGACTGGCAAAAACACCGAAATGGCGTTCCTAATAAAACTTTATTTTTAAAGAGTGTACACTACTTTTTACTACTACAAAGCAATATTTCTATAGTTTAGACATCAGGGAACAAGATTATCACAATGAAAATGTTAGTTTTTGAGATTTTCAATGTTTCTTCGAACGTTGAAATAGTCGATTTTTAACACTTTTTAACAAATGGCGTTCCACTTTTGTTATTATTAATAATTATTATATTTTATTTATTAATTATTTATATTTATTTTTTACTTATAACATTATTATATTATAATGTTTTGTATGTAAATATATTTTTTAAATAAAAAATATGAGTTTTACTGCGTAAAAATTGAAAAAAAGTGGAACGCCATTTGGTGAAAAGTGTTAAAAATCCACTATTTCAACGTTTGAAAAAACATTTAAAATCCCAAAAACTGAAATTTTCATTGTGATAATCTTGTAACCTGATGTCTAAACTATAGAAATATTGCTTTGTATAAGTTAAAAGTAGTGTACACTCTTTAAAAATAAAGTTTTATTAGGAACGCCATTTCGGTATTTTTGCCAGTCTGGGCCTCGGCGCGCGGAACGCCATTTGGAACGCTCCGCCAGTGAAGTGGTTAATTAATTCAAATGATTTATATTTGTCAAAAGAATGCCCTATTTTCAGTAGTTTTGGTCAATATTAGGTCAATCAGTACTTATATGAAAGTGTAAACTTAACTCTAAATTGAAATATTATTTATATTTTATAAAAAGTTTGATAAATTCTAATTAATTTTATTAATTACAATCACATAATAAATTGCGTTATTTTCAGTAGTTTAGGTCAATAATCCGGTCAGACTTGAAATTGAAATAATAATTTTATCATTAAATCGGAATTTTGTTTAATATATATTTTTTTCTTTCTGAATTTAAAGTTATAATTCTTTATTCACAATAAACAGTTTAGTTTTTCAGTAGCTATGCTCAATATTAGGTCAATATTAGAAATATATAATTATAATTTGTCATATTTTATATTTTACATATACAGTAAAATATTTAAGATCTTTAATTCTTTATTATTTAATTTTCAATGAAAATCCATTTTTATTCTACTTATTTATACTAAAAAATAATAAATATAATATTTCACTGTACAGAAGTTAATTTTACGAATTTTGTTTTATTTCATATTTTATTTTATTTTATTTCCTGAATATAAAATATCATATTATTGGGCACTTAACGATTTTCAGTGATGGTAACCGGTGTTTGGTCAGGCGGAGCTGTACCGAATGTAACGAAAGGACCATTAAATGATACGTACAATTTTCACTCGATGATTTTCCATTGGGGACCAGCGAATGATGAAGGAAGTGAGCACACTATGGATTACATTAAATACACAATGGAACTTCAAATGGTTCATGTGAAAAAATGTTACACCTCCCCTAAGGATCCTTCTCTGCTTCATACTCGTGATGCTGTGGCAATAATTTCCTATTTTTTACAAGTATTGTATTTTTTTTTATTCTTTAATATACAATTCACATCTAAAATTATAATAACAATTAAAATAATAAAAATAATAATAATTACAATAATATCATTACAATATTATTCAATTACAATAATCATGCAAATAAAAAAAAAAATAATAATAATATTGTTAACAAATAACAACCGTCTGATCGCTTATTGGTCAAAACTACGAAAAATCACGTAGATTATTATCAAATATATAATTATTTACAATTTATAGAAATTTGGATAAAATATAAATAATATACCAATAATAATTCAAAATAAAAATGATAAATTTTTTAAAGTACTGTCTGACTGATTATTGACTAAAACTACTGAAAACTACACTTTCTTAATGATATTTAAATATTTACAACTTTTTTAAATTTTAACTAAAGAATAAAAATATTTGTATAATAAAATAAAATTACATTTTCAATAAGGTCTTGCCTGACCGCTTATTGACCAAACCTACTGAAAATTAGGCATTTTATTCACAAATATAATTAGTCGAATCAATTACAATTTATATTATTAGGTAAAATATAAATAATATTACAATTTTTAGATTTAAATTTATTCTATCATTTAAGTACTGTCTGACCTAATATTGACCAAAACTACTGAAAACTGAAATTTTTTTTGTAAAATGAAGATCTTACAACTTCAACTTTAAAAAAAATATAGAGAAAACTGCGATTAAAGGCTAAAATATATATATTTTCCATTGCACTGTCTGATTGATTATTGACCTTAACTATACTGAAAATTAAGCTATTTATTATGAATTATTATAAATTATAATTAATTAATTAATTTTATTACTTAATTAATTAATTAGTTGGATGTAGTTGTAGTTTCGACTTGTGGCTGAATATATTTAATTAATGAAATTAATGGCAGTTTATAAAATTTTTTGATAAAATATGAATAATATTACAATTTAAAATTAAAATTATACTTTTATTTAAGTATTGTCTGACATAATATTGATTAAAACGATTGATTGATTACGATTTGAGAATAAAATTATATTTTTAATTAAGTACTGTCTGACCGACTATTGACCCAAACTACTAAAAGCAACGGATTTTATTATCAAATATAATTAATTAAATTAATTACAATTTATAATAATTTGATTAAAATATATATTTATATATAAAATATTACAATTTAGAGTGAAACTTATACTTTTATTTAAGTACTGTCTGACCGGTTGATGACCAAAACAACTGAGAATTTAATTGCAAATTATAAAACTTTTGGTAAAATATAAATAATATTTCAATTTGGAATTAAAATTATACTTTCATTTAACTAATGTCTGACCTAATATTGACCAAAACTACTGAAAACTAAACTGTTTTTTGTGAAATTACAAGAAATTACAACTTTCAAAGTTTACAAAGAAGGACTATATATTGAAGAAGATTGTGATTTGAGGATAATATTATATTTGGAATTAAGTAGTGGCTGACCAAATATTGACCATAACTATACTGAAAATTATACTTTTTATTATCAAGAGAAATATATTTATGTAAAATTGTTTTGGAAAAATGCAATGAATTTAAATGCAAAATTACACTGTCATTTAAGTACTGTCTAACAAAAAATTGACTATAACTACTGAAAACTAAACATTTTATTCTACCAAATAAAATTAATTGTTACTTCTATGAATTTTAGCTAAAGTATTAAAAGTATTACGTTTAAAGGACAAAAATATTACGATTAGAAGATGAAATTATATTTTTAATTCGGTACTACCAGATTGTGATTTTATTGATTAAAGTTACTGAAAATTTAACTTTTTATTGTGAAATATAAAAGTTACTTTCTTGAAATTTGTAGCAAAAAAAAAAAATATATAAAAAGCATTGCGATTTAATGATGAAACTGTAATTTTATGCAGTACTGTCTGATTGATTATTGACCAAAACTACTGAAACTTGAGCATTTCAGTGCCAACTTTAATGAATTAAAGCTTAAACTAATTTAAAATTTATAAAACTTTAGGTAAAATATGAGTAATATTATAATTTTTAGGTTTTAATTATTGTTATTATTATTATTATTATTATCATTATTATTATTCCTTATTACTATTTTTACTATTATTCCTATAATTACTATTATTACTATTATTACTATTATTTCTATTATATTACCATTATTACTAATACCCAAGTCGAAAAATTCCATAAAAAATTTCCGTAGAGTTTTCATGGAAATTTTGCAAGTTTTTTATTTTAAAAATATTTTAACATTTGCAGTGTTGTCATATGTCAGGGAAATCAGGGAAAAAGCAGGGATTTTTATTAAAGTACTGGAAAAAATTGAATTTAACAAGTTTGAAATATGATTGCAGAAATTCAATTTATTTTCAAAAGCAATAAAATTCTTCGCAGAAATTCAATTATGTTGAAAAAAATTTTTAAAATGCCACGTCAAAATTTCAATTGTCTTTAAAATAATAAAATTCTTCTCCAAAATTCAATTTAATTTAAAAATTTTAATAAAATTCTTGGCAAAATTTCAATTATTTTCAAAAATTTTCCTCAATTCAATAATAATTTTTAATATCTACTATTTTATAATAAAAATTTTTCAAAAGAAGAAAAAATTCAATTTTTTAAAAATTTGTTGATTAAATTCTTTATGATGATTCAATTTTGAAAAACATTCCTTTATTCAATAAATTATTTATTTTTGTATTTAAATAATTGAATTCTCGTAGGATTTTCTAATAAAAATTAATTTAAAAATGAATTACGGTTAAAATTTTACATAATAATTGAATATTAAAAGCATTATAGCATGAATTTTAAAAAATAATTGAATTTTGAATATTTTTGAAAATAATTACATTATTCGAAGAATTTACTTAAAATTGTATAAAAAATAATTGAAATCCAGTGAAGAATTTTATTATTTAGGAGAATAATTGAATTCTTGTAAAGAATTTTAATTAATTTTTTTTTTTAATAATTTAAATTCTGTGAAGAATTCTATTATTTATGAAAATAATTGAATTATTGCAACGAATATTTATTAAATTTTTTTCAAAAATAATTGAAATCCTGTAAAGAATTGTATTATTTATGAAAATAATTGACTTCTTGCAACGCATTTTATTACATTTTTTTTTTTTAAATAATTGAATTCATTTAAGAAATTTTATTAAAATTGTAGAATTTGAAAATATTTTAATTTAATATTTTCAGCGAAGAATTTCATTATTTGTGAAATGTAATTGAATTCTTTAAAAAAAATTTTTTTAAATAATTACATTTTTCGAGAAATTTATTTTAAATTGTATTAAAAATAATTGGAATCCTATGAAAAATTGTATATGAAAATAATTGAATTCTTAGAATACGAATTTTATTACATTTTTTTTTAATAATTGAATTCATGTGAAAAAATTTATTATACTTGTAAAAATAATTGAATTCTTAGGAAGGATTTTATTAAAATTTTTGTAAATAATTTAAATTTTGTTTGAATAATTTTATGGAAATTTAAATTTTGTTTGAAAAATTTAATGGAAATCTAAATTATTATAAAACATGAAGATATCAATTATTCCGAGTCGAAGACTCGGAGTGATCGATATTTTCATGTTTTATAATAATATTCTTATAAGTTGTTGAATTTCATAAAGATTTGAATTTGAAATTTTTTTAAAACCTTAATTCCTATGGAATAATAATAATTATTAAAGATTTATATAAAAAAAAAATTTATTGGTATTTTGGAATAATTTTAGAATTAAAAAAAGTTTGTAATTAAATGTACAAGAACAGTTTTTTGAGTATCTAATCATTTTTAGAGTGAATCAGAATATTCTTTAGGATCAGGGAAAAATTTAAAATTTTTTTTGGAAATCAGGGAAAAGTCAGGAAAATTCACTTTCATTCAAGTTTTGCAAATAAAGTGCAACAAAGCTTATTATTAGACTCTAATCATAATAGAAATGTTAAAATAATATTAAAATATAAAACTTGCAAAATTTCCACGGAATTTCCACGGAAATTCCATGGAATTTTTCGACGTGAGTATTATTACTGCATTGAAAAAAAAATTTATTTGATTCAAATAACCAATTAATTGACTATTATCAATTAAATATTTTATTGAATCAAATAATATTTATTGGAGTTAATTAAATGGTTCAATAATTCATATTTGCTTCAAATACTGAAATTGTTGGTTCCAATACCATTTAATTGACACCAATAAATATTATTTGATTCAAGTAAATATTTAATTGATAATAGTCAATTAATCGGTTATTTAAATTGATTAAAATTTTTTTTCAGTGTATTATTATTATAAATTATAATTTTTATTATTTTCATTTCTATTATTAATTGACAGATAACGAATGTGGACAACCCTTACTTAGATCATATTGTGACAAATTTATGGCGAATTACGAAGACCGGAACAAAAGTCTCTATACCACCATTTCCTTTGGAATGGCTTTACCCACCCTTTGAATGTTCTTATTATAGTTACAATGGTTCACTTACCCAACCTCCCTGCACTGAAATGGTCACTTGGATCATTCAACCAGAACCTATTGCCGTCTCTTCATTTCAAGTAAAAAAAGCAGAGATTAAACTACATTTTTTTAATCAATTAATTGTGTTTTTATGCCTTTTTATTACAAAAAAAGATTTCAACAAAAAGCAAATATTAAGATTAATAATTCAATCAATTGAAAAAATAATTAATTGTTATTATTATCAGTAAATTTAATTTATTAAATCATAATTGTTCATTTCATTTTATTTCAATTTTTGATTTTAATTTTAATTTTTAAACTTTGATTTTTAATTAATTTTATTATTATTATTAATTATTATTGATTTTTAGCAACTTTAATTTATTTTTGCATACAATTTAATATTTTATCGAAGTAATTAATTTCTTAGAATGACAAAGAATTTTGAATTTACTTGCAGGTGGCGCAATTTCGTAAAATACGTTCCGTTAATGGTAATCGGATATTATTAAATACAAGACCCGTTCAGAAATTGTATGATCGTGAAGTTTATTTTTATGATTAATTTCTTGACTTGAATTTTTTTTCTTAGTATTTTTTTTTAATTTTTTATTTTTTTACTGAGAGAAAATTATTTTTTAAAACAATCTTATATATTTTGTAAATAAATGTGAAAATACGTATAAAAAATTCTATTAGTTATATATGTTAGAAATGGAAGAAAGAAAATTAATAAAATAAGAATCTCTATAGAAATATAATTCATTACGAATTTTTATACATCTCGAGTTTTCTATTTTCTTTCAGTTAAAAAAATATTAATAGCGGTAACATTGTCTCAGTTGATACTCGTGTACATATATTATTATCTACTCTAGCAAGTATACTTTCATCACAGACGTTTTAACTTGAAAAACAAACTACGAGACGTATAAATAATCTAAAATACTAATCTAGAACATAAAATATTTATTTTTAATTTACTTTTTCTTAGTATCATTATTATGTTAATTTTTCTATTAATTATTTTTTAGACATATATATATATATTAATATATTAATCTATTAATATATAATTAATCATTAATAATCTATTAATAATACAAATTATAATTTTTATCAATATTATTTTTCTTACTTGTATTTAACTTTTTAGGGAACTCAATTTTGTTATTTGTTTATAATTTCTATTATTTTTTTTAAATTGTCAATCTATATAAATAATCGTCGATATTTAGCTAATCAGTTCGCAGTTTGAAGTTAGTTCTTGTTTAAATCTTTGTATTCTAACTTTTTAAAAAAATTTTTTAAAATGTTCTGAATTTTAAAATAAAATCGTTGAATTCTTCCAAAGTATTTATTAAAAAATTTAAAAATAAGAATTTTATCAAAATTTTGGAAAATAGGTGAATTTTTTCGAGAAATTTTAATGAAATTAATTGAATTCTTGCAAAGAATTTTATTATTAATATGAAAATAATCGAATTCATTAAAGAATATTATTAGAATTATTGAAAATAATTTAATTTTTGACAATAGTTTTTTATTTATTTATTTATAATATTTATAATATTTTTATTGTATAATATTTTTAATATATTTGTAATATTAATAGTTTTATTAAAATTTTTAAAAAACGGATTTTTTAAAATAATTTTTATTGAAAATTTTGAATGAAATAGAATTTTCTGAAAAATTTCTTTTAAGTTTTTAAAATGACCGTGTTCATTAATAATTAAAAGAATTTCATTTTCTATTAATTGTTACTCAATATAGAAAATAAAATTCTTTTAAACAATTATATTAGAGTTTTCGTATAAAATAAATTTTTTTCGAAGAATTTCTTGAAGATAATGTAGTTTTTTTCAATGAATTTTAATTGAAAATTTTGAAAATAATTGAAATTTACAAAGAATTTTATCGAAACTTTTCAGAAGAATTGAATTTTTTCGAAAAATTTTATTACAATTTTAAAGATTAATTGAAAACTTTCGAGGAATGTTTATAAAAAATAATTTAATTCTTCCAAAGAAGTTTATTATTTATGAGTATAATTTAATTATTGCGAAAAATTTTACAATTTATAAAAATAATCGTATTATTTTTTTTGAAATTTATCAAAATTTTGCGGAAATATTTTAATCCTTTCGTGAAATTTCATTAAAATTTTTTTGAAAATAATTAAACTTTTTATAAAGAATAATTGAATTCTTACGAATTATTTATTAAAAAATTAAAAAATAAGAATTTTATCAAAATTTTGGAAAACAATTGAATTCTTTCGAGAAATTTTATTGAAATTAATTGAATTCTCGCAAAGAATTTTATTATTAATTTGAAAATAAACGAATTCTTCTAAAGAATATTACAAAAATTATTCAAAATAATTTAATTGAAAATAATTTAATTTGAAAATAAACGAATTCTTCTAAAGAATATTATAAAAATTATTCAAAATTATTTAATCCTTGACAATAATTTTATTAAAATTTTTGAAAATAATGGAGTTTTTTTAAATAATTAATAGAATAATTGATAGTAATAGAATTTTCTGAAGAATTTCTTTTAAGTTTTTAAAATGATCGTGTTTATTAATAATTGTAATTAATAATTTTATTATTAAATTTTACTAAAATTATTATTTATTAATTTATAGAAAATAAAATTTTATTTTTAACAATTATATTAGAGTTTTTGTAAATAATTAATTTTTTCCAAAGAATTTCTTTAAATTTCTTGAAGGTTGAAGATAATGTAGTTTTTTTTAAATATAATTTTAATTGAAAATTTTGAAAATAATTGAAATTTACAAAGAATTTTATCAAAACTTCTGAGAAGAATTGAATTTTTTTCAAAAATTTGATTACAATTTTAAAAAATAACTGAAAACTTTCGAGAAATTTAATTTTAAAATTATATTAATATAATAATTTAATTTCTCAGAATAATTTTATTGTTTATAAAAAATAATTTAATTCTTACAATGAAGGTTATTATTTATGAGAATAATTTAATTCTTGCGAAAAATTTTACAATTTATAAAAATAATCTTATTATTTCGTTGAAATTTATCAAAATTTTGCGGAAATATTTGAATCCTTTCATGAAATTTGATTAAATTTTTTTTAAAAATAATTGAACTTTTTATAAAAAATAATTGAATTTTTCCAAAAAAGTTTATTATTAATGAGAATAATTGAATTCTTGCGTAAACTTTTTTAAAAATAATAAACAAGAATAATTAATTATGTACTTAATAAATGAATTTTTTAAATTTTGAACCTGAAATTATTTAAAAATTGAAAATGTAAAATTTTTTAATTTACAAAATAATAATATAAATGAAATATTGAGTACTCCGTTAATAAAAAAAAAAAATTATTTGTAAAAACTGTACACTATTTTTTTTTACTTTTAATATTTTTGTTTGTCTTTGTTTTTTTAATATTTGTCTTTATTTAATGATTTATTTAAAAATAAAAGACCGTAAAGGGAGAATAAAAATACAATTTATACACATGGAAAAAAAAATTGTTTTATTCCAGTGCTACACATTTTTGACTTTTTTGTACGCGTATAACGACAAGTATACATTAATGGCAAATACTCTATAACATTTACAACAACAATCGTTCACTGGAATTCCACCAGTGAAAGCACATACAAAATATATGAGCCGAATGTATATAAGATGAAGTCTGGTGTTTTTTTTTTTTTTTTTTTTCATTTTTTGTTTCATTTTATTTTTATATTAAAAATAACATCGCTTCGCGATTTAGTAGAGACTATTCCGATTAAGTCTCATATTTTGTGTAAATATACTTTTTCGATATAACTAATTAATTCGACTTTTTATTTGATTATGTCGAAAAATCTGTATATTTACATAATTAAGCATTCGCACGCAAAATGTTTTTTTAAATTCTTTATTAAATCTTTTTAATATAAGTGTATAAAAAGGAAATTTTTGCAAAATTTTAACAATCCAAGTATTAAAAGATTAATTAAATTTTGTATAAAGTACTTTTTCTGTTCTTTTAACTTTTGACGTTTTTAATAGAAAATAATACTAAAAAATATTTTTATTTTTTTTTTTCATGTTTTCAATAAGATAATAAAAATTTATATTTCTAGTTTCTTTTTTTTATATTTTGAATAAAAATGATAAAAATTATATTTTTTTCCTGCTTTGAGTAAAAAATGACTATGAATTATATTTCTAATTTTCTTTTCTATTTTAAGTGAAAATTAGGTACAATAGAAATTATATTTTTAGTCTTTTTTCTGTTTTGAATAAAAATGGTACTAAAAATTAAATTTGTAGTTTTTTTTCATATTTCGAATAAATATATAAAAAATTATAATTTGAAATTTTTCCAATTTTTTTAACACCAGTAGATTAAAAATTTTTATAAAATCATTTTTTTCACAAATAAACACAATTTCCACTTTAACGATTATTTGCTCATAATTAAAACCCTTTGTTGTTTAATATTCACGTTGGTAAAACACTTGTAAGAACTCTCTTTTTTTTAATATATTTGCGTAAACTATCAACCCTATAATTTCATAAATTTTATTGCTATTCTTCATTTTCTATATATCAAAAAATCAGTAAAATTTCTCCTCTAAATTTGAATAAGTAAACCTTTAATTTTTTTCATAGAATATTGAAAGTAAAATTTAAAAAAAAAATTATAAATTAATTTATTATAAAATATATATATTAATTACTTTTTACTTATTCAGATTTAGAATGTACAAAGTGTCTTATTCAGATATTAATTATTTATGTGCTAGAATAAAAAGCGGCAGTTTCTAGCTTTCATTTATAAAAGTTTCATTTTTAAATGTCCTTTTGGGTTTTTCTTTTCCTGTTATTTCTTAAAAATTGTTTGAGCCTTTATATAATATGAGCAGTACGCGAATTCGATTCAAATGCTTTTTATTTTACATGAAAAAACGTATCCATATGTATATATTAATGAGCCTCGTTACTTTTTCTTTAAATATAAAACGCGATGTGACTTTATTATATTTAAGAAAATTAAGAGAAAAATAATTTGTTTAAAAAAAAAAATATTTTTTAAAAAAAAGTTATGTTTTAAAAAGAAAAAATATTATTTTTTAAAGAAAATATAAAAACTGTATGTTTTTCAAAAAAAAGAAAATATAAAAAAACGCGTACGAATGCAAAATTTTATTCACAAAAAATTAGTATACATTTAAATCTAACCGATTATCAATAAAACGTTGCTTTAATAAATATATACCAACGTTTTTAGACATTAATTCCTTTGTTTTAAATAATGTTCTATAACACGCAGTCCTCTTCATTCTGTGCGCATGTCCCTAATTGTCCGACACAAGAATGCTGACGTAATTATTCCGAATGTCTGCAATTTTTATTTATTTTTTTTTTATCTAAATGCGTAGAAAGTGTTATAATTTTTATAAAATAATTTTACTTGAAAAAAGGTCAAAAATACATTAGGAAACCAAAATTATTATTATGTTCAAAAATTAAACTGTAAATAATAAATTAATTAATAAAATTAATTAATATAATTTACATTTAAATAAATAAATAAAATAAATAAAATAAATAAAATATTGTATTTTTTATTTATTTATATTTTTTTCGTGTGTAAATAATAAATAAATTAAAATAACTAATTACGTGGTAAATAAATATAATTATAATAATAGTGTAGAAATTACTTGAATTCCCGCCATGGACATTCCCAGAAAAACTAGGGTAAAACTTTCGAATTCCAACCAATCGCTAACTTTGTCTAAGCAACCCTGAAAAAAAAGAAATTTCATAAAGAAAAAATTCTTCTCTGTTGAAAAATAAAAACAAATTTCACTTACTTGTTTATGTCTATAACCATCATGACCTACTGAATCTTCTACTTGGCAAGCATTCATGTCCTTTGGTTGTGGATGAAGCCATGGTGTTTCACTCTAAAAAAAAAAAACATAAAATTGTCCTCGTCAGTAAAAAATAAAAAAATATTTTTTCAATTATTTTACTTATTTATTTATTTGAAAATTAAAAATACAAATTTTATTAAAACTTACATTTTGATAAAACACTCGAGATATTACACTCATTGGACTTCCTGTATTTTTAATCTGAAAAAAGAAAAAAAAAAATATTTTACAATAGTCAATTGAATTGAATTCTTTTTTATTCAATTCAGTTCCATTAAATCGAATTCACTTCTGTGTAATTCAATTTAATTCAGTTTACTTGGATTAAAAAAAATTGAAACAAATTTAATCGAATTAAAGGGAATTGAAATGAATTCAATCGAATTGAAATGAATTTAATCGAATTAAAGGGAAATGAAATGAATTTAATCGAATTAAAGGGAATTGAAATGAATTCAATCGAATTGAACGGAATTGAAATGAATAGAAGTATAAAGAAAAGTATTAACAAAAAGAAATTTTATTGATTTCTCAATTTTAATTAACGTTACAATTAATATTAAAGAAAAAAACCTAATCGAATTCAATTCAATTTCATTAAATAGAAGAATATAGAAAAATTTGAAAAAAAGAAATTTATTAATTTATTATTTTCAATTAACAAAAAAAAAAAAAAAAAAAATTAAAAAGATTAAAAAGATTAAAAAGATAAAAAAAAATTAAAAAGATTAAATTAAAAAGATTTAAATTGAAATCAATTAAATAGAACAATATAGAAAAATTGAAAAAAGAATTTATTAATTTATTACGTTCAATAAACGTTTCAATAAAAATTCAAGAGAAAAACTAATTTAATTGATTTAAATTGAATTGATTTTAAGTGACTTGGATCAAATGTTTTATTTTTTATTTCATTGACTTCAATTTAATTTAAATTTAATTTTAATTTTTCATTTTTAAAATGTTTATTTGATTAACTTCAATTCAATTAAATTGAATGAAAGACTAATAAAAAATGAAAAAAGCAATTTTCTCAATTTATTATTTTTAATTCACGTCAAAATTAAAATTCGAGAGAAAAACAAATTTAATCAAATAGAAGAATGCAGAAAAATTAATAAAAGGAAATTTATTATTGTATTAACTTTGATTAACGTTTTAATTAAAATGAACAAAAAAAATTAATTCTTGCCTCATCATCTTTCAAAACACAACATGTAAGAGGAACTTGTCGCTTTGATCCTGAAATTTGACCATCCCTCCACCAGGCAGTGCCATTGTAATCATTGTCACCATGAATACCACAGCAATTAAACTGTAACAATTATCAATCAATGTTAATTATACTTTAAATTAATTAAGGACATTAATTTTTTAATTCAAACTTTTTAACTCTTATCCACCAACGTTTATTATTTTTATTGTTTATTTTATTGTTTTTGTTTTTTTTATTGTTTATTCCTCACTCTCTAAATTGAAAATTTCACACTTTTAATACGTTATTATTATTATTATTATTATTTTTATTATAAATATTATTATTAATATTATTCTTATTGTTAGTAGTAGTAATAATTATCAATAAGCAATATTTAACTTTCTCTAAATTTTATTTAGTAAAAATGTTTATTAATTTGAATTAGTGACTGACTTTTTGCTATTGAATTTGTAAATTTTAGAATTTTACTAATAAATAATAATTTCTACTAATTTACTACTAAAATTTACTAATTAAATTTCAATTTACTAGTAAATGTTACTAATTAAGTTTCAATCTACCAGTAAAATTTACTAATTAAATTTCAATTTACTAGTAGAATTTACTAATTAAATTTCAATCTACTATTAAAATTTACTAATTAAATTTCAATTTACTAGTAGAATTTACTAATTAAATTTCAATCTACTATTAAAATTTACTAATTAAATTTCAATTTACTAGTAGAATTTACTAATTAAATTTCAATCTACTAGTAAAATTTACTAATTAAATTTCAATCTACTAGAAAAATTTACTAATTAAATTCCAATTTACTAATTCAAAAACAAAAAGTCTGCTACTAATTTAAATTTGTAAACATTTTTACTAATTCAAATTCAGAGAGAAATATTAAAAATGAATATAACTACTAGAATATAACCACTAGAAGATATAGAGTAAAATAAAATATTAAATAATTAAAAAAATTTCAATTAATAAAATTGAAATTAATTAATATTAAAAAATAAGAAAAGAGCTTTTATAAAAATTAAATGGTGAACCTTATATTGTGCGAAATCAAGACTGTGACTGAAGGGTATGTCACTCGTTGGATCATGACCGTAATGATCGGCTAATCGACTTGCAAGTCTCTCTTCTAATCCCGAGAGAATTCTGAACGTCATCAGACCCATAATAGCTGCCGTTATCAATTCCGTGATAATTAATGCAATCTGCATACTCATATACTGCCAAAATATTAAATTAATTATCCAATTATACGATTAATGTTTGTATTCAATTATAAAATGAACATTAAATATCAATAGTATTTGCCCATCAATCATAAAAATACAAAAATTTCTAGTCAAAAATTCAATTTTTATTTTCATACAAAAACTAAATTTTTCAATTGATTCAGATATACATAGAGTAATATATTAATTAATATATATATATATATATATATATATATATATATATATATATATATATATATATATATATATATATATATATATATATATATATATTATTTAGGGCTCACACTCAATAATTAATTTTAAAAAAGTATCAAAAAGTATCTTTAATACTGAAAAAAGTACCTAGTAGAAAAGTGGCTATCGAAAATTAATTTTTAACGAATAAAAAAAAAAATGGTTTTTTAGTCGATTCACTAAAATTTGATTCAATATTTTCCCGACTGTTTCCTGATTTCAATCAAAAACAATTATTCTTATTCTAATCCTGCTTATAAATTTTTTGAAGAATTCAATTATTTTCCAAAGTTTTTTATCCTAAAAAATACAATTGCGTATTTAGAAGTAATTTTTAAAAGTAAACAAATAAAATTATTTAATAAAATTTAATTTAAATTTTTCACAGGAATTAAGAAAATAAATTAATAATTTTTCAAAGTAAAAATTTCAATGTTATTACAGTTTTTACAACAATTAAAATTTTCATCTATTTCAATTTAATAATCTTTTAAAATTTAGTTATTTCTAAAGAAATCGTACTATAACGCTTTTAATATTCAATTATCTAAAATTTCCACTAAAATTTGTTTTTAAATCAATTCCTATTAGAAAGTTCAACTGAAATTCAACTATTTAAATACAAAAATAAATAATATATTGAATAATTCAATGTTTCTTAAAATTTAATTTTTATCAAGAATTAATCTTATTAATAATAATTTATTTTTTAAACAATATTTCAATTTCTGAGAAGAATTCTGTTATTTATGAAAATAATTGAATTCTTACAAATTTTGTCGACGAATTTAAATAAAATTTTAGAAAATAATTGAATTTATTAAAAAATTTTATGAAAATTCTATTTTAAATAATTGAATTCCTATGAGAATTTGATTGTTTTAATAATAATTGAATTTTCGCTAAGAATATTACTATTTATAAAACTAATTGAATTATTACAAGGAATTTACCAATTTTTAAAAAAATAATTGAATTTATGAGAAGAATTTTATTATTTATGAAAATAATTGAATTCTCGTGAAAAATTCTATTATTTGGGAAAATAATTGAACAATTGTGAAGAATTAAAGAAAGAAATTATCAATTTTTCAAAACATAATCGAATTTCTGAGACGAATTTTTTATTTATGAAAATAATTGAATTCTTGAGAAGAATTTCATTAAATTGTTTTTAAATAATTGAATTCTCTTGAAAAATTGTATTATTTGGGAAAATACTTGAATATGTGTGAAGAATTTATCAATTTTTTAAGAAATAATTGAATTTCTGAGAAAAATTTTATTATTTGTGAAAAATAATTGAATTCTTGTGAAAAAATTAAAAAAAAATGTAAAAGTAGGTAATTGAATTCTTGAGAAGCATTTTTTATTATTTATGCAAAAATAATTGTATTTTTTTCATAAGTTTTATTTTAATTTTTTTTTTAAAAATTGAATTTTCCTGAAAAATGTCATTGTCTGTGAAAATAAGTGAATTCTTGCGGCGGTAGAATTTTATAAAAAGATTTTTAAATTGATTTTTTTTTGGGGGGGGGGGGAAATTTTATGAAATATTTTAAAAAATTAAATTTCTGTGAAAATTTTATTACATATAAAAATATTGAATGTTTGCGAAGAATTTATCAAAAATCTTTTTGTGGAATTTCATTAAAATTGTATAGATATTGAAAATAATAGATTTTCGTAAAGTTTTTAAAAATAATTGAATCGTTTTAAAGAATTTTATTAGAATTTTTAGAATTTTTTTTTATTTCAACTATTAGCGAATGTAATATGTTGCAAATTGTTTCCAAAAATAAAGAAAAAAAAGTAGCTTTTAGTAGCTGAAATCTAAAAAAAAGTATACAAATAGGCTACTATTTGTATACTTTTTAAAAAAGTAGTAAATAGTTTTTCAATTTTAGTATATTAATTGAAATTATCAATCGTATCGTCTGACAAAAATTGCCTCTTACTACTGAAACTAGAATTTTCAAGAAAAATCATCACCTTTTGTCTGACTGAATCTGTTCTTTACTACTTAGAAACTATACTCACTAGAAAAATAAATTGTCCTATAAATATCACGTCTGACTTAAAACGAACCTTTACTACTAATCTTATGTCCATCATGGTAATAAATAAAAATACGTCTGACTTAAATTTTTATTTACTACTGACAGTAAAAAATTTTTTGTCACACGAAAACATCATTTTACATTTAATGTCGCAAACATAAAAAAAATTCCTCTCGCTATTCCCTTGAATAAAACTGACATTTACTACTCACATGAAAATGGAAAAAAAATTAAGTTCTCCTCGCACACTAAAACAGACTGTTTCTAGTCTAAACGTAAGATTAGAATTGATACGATTGAAAAAAAATTGTCTGATTATAAAAGTTTGTTACTACTGAGAATAGTTACAAAAGTGTTTATTTAGCTATTTGTCTGACTAAAACTGGTTTTTATCACTTGAAAATAAAAATAAAATATTGTGGCGGACTAAAATTGACTATTGCTACTGATTTTTTTGCGTTTCAGGTAAATTTTTCTATGTAATCATAATGATAGTAAAAATAAATGTCTGATTTAAACTTGACTATTACTACTGATATGAATTACATTGATATATACATCACATAATAATAATACGAAATTCTGTCTGACTAAAAACGTTATGTACTACTGATTATAAATAAATGTATAAATAAAATATAGTAATAAATTTAATAAATAAAATATAGAAATAAATTTATATAAATAAAATATAATAACAAATTTATAAATAAAATATAGTAATAAATTTATAAATGAAATACAGTAATAAATTTATAAAATAAAATATATAATTTTCATTTATAAATTTACAATTTCTAAAGTGAACTTACAATTGCCAGAATGCATTGATTTTCATGGAGAGCTGCTCGACATCCGAAAAAGCCAACAGTGAGAACTGTCAGTCCAAGTCCGAGTAAACTGTATGCAATTAAGTGAATTGTCTCATGGGGAGTCAAATTGGGCAGAAAGAGATTTAAAAGATGTCCTTTGCTTGGCTCCATTAACAACCAGGTGCCCAGAAACATTAATGAGCACCCGGCCAACTAGAAACAAATTATATTCTATTTCCTAAAGGCTTGCACACTATAATTTTCAACACCTTTCTCGAATTTGAATTAGAGAACAGTGAACCACCAACTCACAAATAGTAAAAAAAATTAATTTATAATTGTACGCATTTACTAACAATATATATTTAAATTTATAATTTACTTCCTCATAGAAGAAAGATTGTAGGTATAAACTTTAATTTATTTATATTATAATTTGAATTATTAATATATAGATTAAAAGATGCCTGATCTAATATTGACCAAAACTACTGAAATTTTTTTTTAATTTTAACTAAAGAATAAAAAATATTTCCATTAGAAAATAAAATTATAGTTTTAGTTAGTACTGCCTTACTGCTCATTGACAAAAACTATTAAAAATTTCGTTTCAAAGCGTTTCTTTATAAAAATTCTATATTGACACTGTCTGATCAATTATTGACTAGAACTACTGAAAACTATGTATTTTATTAACAAAAATTTAATTATTTGCAAATTTTCAAAAATTTGGATAAAATATAAATAATACAATAATTAAAAATAAAAATTATACATTCTTTAAAGTACTGCCTGACCATTTATTGACCAAAACTACTGAAAATTAATATTTTTATTGTAAAATAAAGAACTTACAACTTCAATTTTAGAAAGAAAAAAATATTTTGAAGAAATTTGCGATTTAAGTGTGAAATTATGTATTTTAATTAAGTACTGACTGACAGATTATTGGTCAAAAAAACTGAGAATAAAGCATTTCATCATCAAATTGAATTCATTTGATTAATAACAATTTTTAAAAATTTTTGAATAAAGTAAAAATAATATTACTATTTGAAGTTAAAATTAAACATTCTTTTAAATACTGCCTGACCTAATATTGACCAAAACTACTGAAAATAAAGCACTTCATAAACAAATTTAATTAATTAGATTAAGAACAAGTTTTTTTTAATTTTTACTAAAATAAAAATAATAATACAATTTCAGAGTTAAATTTATAATTCAATTACAGAACTGTCTGCCCTAATTTTGACCAAAACTACTGGGAATTAATATTCTTATTGTAAAATAAAAAACTTTCAACTTTCATTTTATTGCACTGTCTGACCTAATAATGACCAAAACTACTGAAAATAAATTACTCCATTCTCAAATTTAATTAATTTGATTAATAACAATTTTTTTTTTAATTTTGAGTAAAATAAAAATAATATTACAATTTTTGAGTTAAATTTATAATTCAATTAAGTACTGTCTGTCCTAATTTTGATCAAAACTAGTGGAAATTTTTATTGTGAAATAAAAAACTTTCAACTAAAAATCAGGCATTTTATTGCACTGTCTGACCTAATACTGACCAAAACTACTGAAAATAAATTACTCCATTATCAAATTTAATTAATTTGATTAATAACGATTTTTTTTTAATTTTGAGTAAAATAAAAATAATATTACAATTATTGAGTTAAATTTATAATTCAATTAAGTACTGTCTTCCCTAATATAGATAAAAACTGCTGAAAACGAAGTAATTCAATATAAAATTTATTTAATTGAGTTAATTACAATTTTTAAAAATTTTGATTAAAATAAAAATAATATTATATTTTGTAATTAAAATTATACATTCTTTTAAGTACTGCCTGACCACTTATTGATCAAAACTACTGAAAATAAAGCACTTTATAAACAAATTTAATTAATTAGATTAAGAACAAGTTTTTTTTAATTTTCATTAAAATAAAAATAATAATACAATTTCAGAGTTAAATTTATAATTCAATTAAAGAACTGTCTGCCCTAATTTTGACCAAAACTACTGGCAATTAATATTTTTATTGTAAAATAAAAAACATTCAACTTTCATTTTATTGCACTGTCTGACCTAATACTGACCAAAACTACTGAAAATAAATTACTCCATTATCAAATTTAATTAATTTGATTAATAACAATTTTTTTTTTAATTTTGAGTAAAATAAAAATAATATTACAATTATTGAGTTAAATTTATAATTCAATTAAGTACTGTCTGTCCTAATTTTGATCAAAACTAGTGGAAATTAATATTTTTATTGTGAAATAAAAAACTTTCAACTAAAAATCAGGCATTTTATTGCACTGTCTGACCTAATACTGACCAAAACTACTGAAAATAAATTACTCCATTATCAAATTTAATTAATTTGATTAATAACAATTTTTTTTTAGTTTTGAGTAAAATAAAAATAATATTACAATTTTTGAGTTAAATTTATAATTCAATTAAAGAACTGTCTGTCCTAATTTTGATCAAAACTAGTGGAAATTTTTATTGTGAAATAAAAAACTTTCAACTGAAAATCAGGCATTTTATTGCACTGTCTGACCTAATACTGACCAAAACTACTGAAAATAAAGCACTTCATAAACAAATTTAATTAATTAGATTAAGAACAAGTTTTTTTAAAATTTTTATTAAAATAAAAATAATAATACAATTTCAGAGTTAAATTTATAATTCAATTAAAGAACTGTCTGTCCTAATTTTGACCAAAACTACTGGGAATTAATATTCTTATTGTAAAATAAAAAACTTTCAACTTTCATTTTATTGCACTGTCTGACCTAATACGGACCAAAACTACTGAAAATAAATTACTCCATTCTCAAATTTAATTAATTTGATTAATAACAATTTTTTTTTTAATTTTGAGTAAAATAAAAATAATATTACAATTATTGAGTTAAATTTATAATTCAATTAAGTACTGTCTTTCCTAATATAGATAAAAACTGCTGAAAACGAAGTAATTCAATATCAAATTTATTTAATTGAGTTAATTACAATTTTTAAAAATTTTGATTAAAATAAAAATAATATTATATTTTGTAATTAAAATTATACATTCTTTTAAGTACTGCCTGACCACTTATTGATCAAAACTACTGAAAATCAGGCATTTTATTGTCAAATATAATTGTCAAATAAATTACAATTTATAAAACATTTAAAAAACATTTAAAACATTTAAAAATAAAAATAATATTTTAATTTAGAGTTGAATTTATACTATCGTTTCAGTACTGCCTGACCGTTTATTGACCAGGACTACTGAAAATTAATATTTTTATTGTGAAATAAAGAACTTACAATCTCAATTTTAGAAAGAATAAAATATATTAAAGAAAATTGCGATTTAAGTGTGAAATTACATATTTTAATTAAGAGTACTGTCTGACCAATTATAGACCAAAACTACTAAAAACAAAGCACTTTATTAACAAATTTAATTAATTTGATTAATAACATTTTTTTTTAAATTTTGTGTAAATTAAAAATAATATTGCAATTTAAAGTTAGAATTATATAGTCTTTTAAGTACTGTCTGATAAATTATTGACCAAAACTACTGAAAACCTAATTTTTTTTTTAATCTAATATAATTAATCTATACATTAAAAAATGATTTAAAAAAATTAACATAATTGAAGATATAAGAATAAAAATCAAATTTTATAAAAAAAAAGGAAAACAAAAAAATAATAAAAAATTAATTTCCAATACCTTTTCTTTAGAAGAAAGAAAAAAATTATTTTTATAAAATTTTTGAATAGCAAAAATTACTAAAATTTCCTAAAAGTACTTATACTAATGTGAATTAGTCTTGAGTTAGTTCACTTTGCACTCAAAATTCAATTTTCCCACGTGAAAAATTTTCCGGGAATGAGACGGAGAAATTTTGGGGAGTGAAAAACAAATTTTTTTCATTCATTAATTGTTTTTTCACTTCCTGGAGATTCCCAGGAGAGTCACGAGAATTCCTCGGAAGTGACTCATCCCGGGAATTTCTCGGTCTAATTCCCGGGAATTTTTTCACGTGGATTAACAAGCAAATAGTACAATTTGATAAAATAAATAATGAAGTAAATAAAAATAGATAAAAAAAAGATATAAAAATTTGTAATACACAGTTTACCATTAAATGTATTTAAATATTTACCCATATTAAAAGGTTGAATACAAAAAGAGTCACTTTCAGGTACTTCATTCCAGCAAGTGTTTTTAAACTCTTTTTTATTTCTCATTAAACTGAAAAGAATTTTTTATTAATCAATTTATATTTAATAACGATGTCGTAATTTCTTTTAATGATGCATATGGGCAATTCCACGTGAGATTTAAGTCGACCTCTTAAAATCGGCCAAAAATATTTTTTTTTCTATTCTGTATCGAAAAAAACAGATACGTATTTTTTTATTTATGTTTAATTGTCCAAATTTTCGAGTTATGAATTTTCGAAATTTTGGACTTTTTAATTGTAGACCTATATTCAGTAGCTTATAAGTCCGAAAATATTGAGTTTAGAAAAAAGTTGTCAAAGAATAAAAGTTGTAGTTTTCTTTCGACTTTTAAGAAATGTAAACAACAAATTTTTTTTTTAATTTTTTATTGAAAAAAAATTTTTTTTTTATAAACAAATTAATTTTTTTTAACTTTGGGCCGGATTTTTTTATTTTTTTTTTATTTTCTTGTACCTTATAATATAGAGAAGATTTTCCAAAAAGTCCCGAAATGGGCCTGATGTGTTAAATGAGTTTTAAAATATTTTCAAAAATCAATTGCAAGCATCACAGTGGGATTTTTTTTACAATTAACTATTTAAAACTGTCTACAGCGTATAATTTTTAATATATTTGAGTGTTCTTTGTTTTAAATAAAAGGGTCTACGCTGTAAACAGTTTTAAAAAGTTAAATGTAAAAAAAATCCCACTGTGATGCTTGCAAGTGATTTTTGAAAATATTTTAAAACTCATTTAACACATCAGGCCCATGGGCCTGTTTCGGGACTTTTTGGAAAATCTTCTCTATATTATAAGGTACAAGAAAATAAAAAAAAATCCGACCCAAAGTTAAAAAAAATTAATTTGTTTATAAAAAAAATTTTTTTTTTAATAAAAAATTAAAAAAAAAATTTTTTTGTTTTCGGACTTATATAAGCTACTGAATATAGGTCTACAATTAAAAGTCCAAATTTTCGAAAATTCATAACTCGAAAATTTGGACAATTAAACATAAATAAAAAAATACGTATCTGTTATTTTTCGATACAGAATAGAAAAAAAATATTTTTGGCCGATTTTAAGAGGTCGACTTAAATCTCACGTGGAATTGCACATATATACTTTTTGTAATGATAATAAATAGTTTACAGTTTTTTATTGTCATACACGGAGAGAAATCTGTTAGGATTAATGTTTGAAACTTTTCATATACTTTTTCCATAGATTCTTTGATGCTAAAATCCTAACGGAGAGCCTATTTATTGCTCGAGTCCGCCTGAATATTAGGCGGAGTCGACTAATATTCAGGCGGACCTCTTATACTTTTCGCTTTTCGCTAGTAAGTGCTTATGCTATATTCATAACCTCTACTCTATACATTATTCGCAACAGATTTCTCTCCGTGTAAAAAGAGAAAATAAAACAAGCAATTTCACGCGAAAGCTTAAACACTGTATTATATGCAATATATTTCTTTTTACTTTATTATATTAAAAAAAAGCTTTGTTACTTCAATATATTACTTTTATTATTATTATTTGTTTTCTGTCATGAAATACGAAGAAAATTGAATAAAAAAAAGTGGAAAAATATTCCCATTAAATATACAAGTTTTTCTTTCATAAACCTTGTCTGTTGACTTGTTCATTATATTCTGACTTTACATGCAATTCTATTTCTTTTTTCATCACACCTTTTAGGTATGTATGATATACTCTTTCAAATTTTTTCCACGTAACACATAAAAGAACTTTCATTTTATTGAATTTTAACTGTGAGAAAGACGTGTACTATAAATATAAAAACAGAATAGCTACAAACTGTATTTAGAATAAGCATACAAATTTAGAGCATCTTTTTAAAAAATTATCCATTGTTTATCGGACCTGATTTTTTTTTCATTTGAACCGAAAAATTGAATTCACTTTATTTAACTATAATAAAATTAACTAGGTAGGAAATAAAAGCATTGAAATTTTAATTCGCGAATTTTAAGATAACTTTTTAGAAAAAATAATCCTTTGTCTATATGAACAGATTTCACTGTAAGTTTAACTGAAAAATTACTCTATATATATTTCAATAATCACTACTGTCTTCCGGATGTTTGTTCTCAGTTTGAAGTTCGTTGCTCTTGTTTGCTTTTTTACTTCCTAAGTTTTTCGATAATTTTTCTATTTAATGTTTTGAATTATAATATACTATTAAATTAATTATTGATTTTAATACTTATTATTGAATTCTAAATAATCTAATTATAAATGTTTTGAAGATATATTGAACAATAACGAAAATTAATTGAACAAAATTGTTTTGAACTAAAAATTATAATTGTTAGATATTCTTAAGGGTATTTTAACCATTATGACGTCACAGTTTGTGCAAAGGATGTGTTCTACAGATATGACGTGATAATGGTTTAAATGCTCTTAATTCTTAACGAAAAATTGTATCAAAAGTTTTAAAAATAATTAATAATAATAATAATTATTCAACATTATTAATATTTAATTATTCAATTCAATTAATTCAATAATAATTAGTCTAGAATCTAAAATAATTATAATTTGGTAGTTTTTTGAATATTCAATCAGAAATAAGCAAATAACTGAATTCTTGAGAAGAATTACATTAAAATTTTTTAAATTAATTGAATTATTTTAAAGAATTTTATTAAACTTTTTGAAAATAATTGAACTGTTTTAAAGAATTTTATTAAAATAGGATTTGAAAATAATAAATTATTACTTATTCAGTAAATAAGTTAATTTCTTTTTAAATTGTGAACAAAAAAGAAAATTAAAAGTTTTGTAACTTTTATAATTTTTAACTGAAAAAATAAAATTCTTACATAAAATATTTATCAATATTATTGAAAATAATTGAATTCATCCAAGGAATTTTATTTCAATTTTTAAAAATAATTGAATTGTTTGTTTCAAAGAATTTTATCATAATTTCTCGAAAATAATTAAATACCTGCTAAGAATTTTATTACTTTTAAAAATAATTGAATATTTGACAAGAATTTTATTAAAATTTTTAAAAATATTTCAATTTTGTTAAGAATTTTATTAAAATTTCTAAAAAATAATTGAATTCCTGAATAATAATTAAATTCCTGCTAAGAATTTTATTACTTTTGAAAATAATTGAATATTTGCCACGAATTTTATTAAAATTTTTAAAAATATTTAAATTGATTTATGAATTTCATTAAAATTTCTATAAAAATAATTGAATTCTTGAATAATAATTAAATTCCTGCTAAGAATTTTATTACTTTTGAAAATAATTAAATTCTTGACAAGAATTTTATTAAAAAATTTCAAAAATATTTTAATTTTTTAAGAAATTCATTATAATTTCTAAAAAAATAATTGAATTCTTAAATAATAATTTAATTCCTGCAAAGAATTTTATTACTTTTGAAAATAATTAAAGTCTTGAAAAGATAATTTTATTAAAATTTTCAAAAATATTTTAATTTTTTAAGAACTTTATTAAAATTTCTATAAATATAATTGAATTCCTGCGAAAAGCTTTATTATTAATGAAAATAATTGAATTTTTTTTTTTTGAAAAATGTTATTAAAACTTTTTGAAATATTTGAAATCTTTCAAGGAATTTTCTTTTAATTTTTTAAAATAATGAAATTGTTAGTTTCAAAAATTTTGATTATTTCTCAAAATAATTGAATTTTATTAAAATTTTTAAAAATATTTTAATTTTTTAAAGATTTTTACTAAAATTTTTTAAAATAATTGAATTTTTGCGAAAAATTTTATGACTTATGTAAATAATTGAATTTTTATTGAAAAAACTTTACTAAAATTCTGTTGAAAAGAATTGATTTCCTGCGATGAATTTTATTATTAATAAAAATATGAGAATTGTATTATAAAAAAATTGAATTTGTTATTGAAAATAAAAATTTTGTAATTTGCATAATAAGGAAAATAATAAATGAAATAATAGTAAATCGAATTCTGAATTTGCTGGTTAAAAAGTAAAATAAAAATGAAGAAAAAATATAGTTCTCCAATTTTAACAATAGCTTTATAAAAAACAATGCTCTGTCAATATATATACATAATCTGGTTTCACTAAGTTTATCAAATAAAATTTGAAGTACCTTTCTCTCTTTCATAAAATATGTTCCGTCCAAGCATATTTATCTAACAATAAAGTTTATTAAAATAATTAATGTAAATGCGGGGAATTTATTTTGTTATATTTTGATTTATTAAAAAATAATTCATTTACACAGAAATGTAAAATAATACTGAGATTTAATTATGAAATTTCTGGTCTTATGTAACTAATTAAAAAGGAAATGCATTGTTGTATTCAAATATGAATTTGAAAATACGTAATTAAAAAGTACTTATTTAAAAAAGAAATTATCATTATTACTATTATCATTTATTTTTCTTATTATTCTTCTTATTATTATTCCATTAATTGATTATTATTATTATTTATATTTATTATGTTTATTAATAAATTAATAAAAAATAATACAAAAATTTAGTAATATAAATTATTTCTATAATAAAAAAAATAATTTTCTTCTGATTTTTTTTTTTTTTGGTATTCCTTTGCCAAGGAACTAAACGAAATTATTATTATTATTATTGTACAATTAGCAAATTGCAAAAAATGTTCTCTTTCAAAATTCACTCTCTACTATTCCGTATTAATTCGTGAAATATTTATTGCAATAACATGTGACTCTTGAGACTTTTCAAATATAAATTACGCTGGCAATTTGAAACTCTTGCAATTTAATTTTCAATAAAAAAAAAAATCAAATTCTCCCTTCTCGCACTTGATTCGAAATTCTTTCCAATTCTAAATTTAAATCAATTTTCACTTTCACTATCGTTATAATAATAAAAAAAAAAAAATCTCTTCGTTTTTTTTTTCATATCGAGTTTAATTAATCTCATATGACCCAACTTAAAATTCAATCTCATATAAAAATTCACTTACCACAATTTCTTTGATTGAAAATTGAGACGACAAGCCACCAACATTATCACCATAAAATAATAACTTATCCATAATCGAAGCGAACAACAATTTATTAAGTATTTGCATTCTAAACATGTATATAAAGTTCACAGGTGGTTGATTTCCTTCAGTGTGTACAACACGAATTTATATCTTGCGAAAAAAACAAAGACCAGTTGCTTTCATTAAAAAGTTTTCTTCATTAAAAACAAGAAACAATATGAAAATTGTCATTTTTTGTTTTGTAATTAATTTTTGTTTTCCTTTTTGGGGGGTTTTTTTCAAGTATTGACAAAAAGTTGAGAAGAAAATTCACTGAATGTTAAATTTTTGTGTAATTAGAAAAATATTTTCCTTTCGAACGAGAGAAAAACGGTGGGCAGTGAACGCGCCCAGGTCGCGGACTGTCTGTGTAGTATTTCGGCGAATTTCACCACCTAGTCTCACAGCATCCAGATCGCGCAGTAGCAGCGTCTGCGTAATATTGAGTATAGCGCCGACGCTCTTTATATATGACGTTGCGAATCTCTGGACTTATACTAAGCTTAAAATTTACTGTTAGGTCTTCTTTTCAAAGCAAACCATTTTATAATATATGTACATATTCACGGATATACATTATTATTATTATCTATGTTAATTCAAAATATACGAGACTTGACGTATTATTTTATTATAATTATTATTATTACTATTATTATTCAGAAAAACATTATTGCATTTTCTGATACTATTTTTAACAATTTTAGAGTTTAAAAACATATAGAAATTTCTATACTCAAAATAAATAAATAATAAATAATAAATAAAAGAAAATTCAATTAAACTTTCTTAAAAAAAATTAATTTTAAAATTCAATTATTTCTAAAAATTCACGCTAAATTGCTTTTAATATTCAATTATAATCTAAAATTTTAACTGAAATTCATTTTTGAGAAACGAAAATCAATTTTTATTAGAAAATTCGACGAGAATTAAATTATTTAAATGCAAAAGTAAATAATTTATTGAATAATTGAATGTTTCTCAAAAATTCAATTCTCATAAAGAATTTTATTAACAAATTTTTAAATAATTGAATTCTTTTGTCGAATTTTATTAAAACTTGCATGAACATAATTACTTTTTTGAAGGAATTGAATAATAATAATTGTATGAAAAATAATTGAAACACTGCGATGAGTTTTATTAATAGTAAAAATAATTGAATCCTTAAGAAGAATTTTATTACTCTTGAGAATAATTGAATTTCTGCAATAATTTGTAACTATTTTCTAAAATTAAATTTTTTTCTAATGTTTTTTAACTGAAATTCTTCAATAAATCCATTATTTTTAATAATTTTTAAAAAAGTTCTTTGAGAATTTTCAAATTCATTCGTTTACAATTCAATTTTACAAAATTTCAATTATTCCGAAAATTCTGCAATTAAATATTTATTGAAAAATAAAAACATGAAATAATTTCAATAAAAATTCTATTAAACTTTTGAAAAGAATTAATTCTACAGAATTGTTTTGTCAAAAATATGAAAAATTAAGAATTTCAATGATTTTAATTTGAAACTTTTTCAAAATTTCATTATTTCTAAAAATCCACGTTATAATGCTTTTAATATTTAATTATAATCTAAAATTTTAACTGAAATTCATTTTTAAAACCATTTTTATTAGTAAATTCTACGAGAATTAAATTATTTAAATACAAAAATAAATAATTTATTTATTTCATGTTTCTTGAAATTAAATTCTCATAAAAAATGTTATCAACAAATTTTTTTAAATCATTAAATTCTTTGGACGAATTTTAATAAAATTTTCAAGAATAATTACATTTTTCGAGGAATTCGATTAAAATTACATTAAAAATAATTGAAATTATTTAAATACAAAAATAAATAATTTATTTATTTCATGTTTCTTGAAATTAAATTCTCATAAAAAATGTTATCAACAAATTTTTCTAAATCATTAAATTCTTTGGACGAATTTTAATAAAATTTTCAAGAATAATTACATTTTTCGAGGAATTCGATTAAAATTACATTAAAAATAATTGAAATTATTTAAATACAAAAATAAATAATTTATTTATTTCATGTTTCTTGAAATTAAATTCTCATAAAAAATGTTATTAACAAATTTTTCTAAATCATTAAATTCTTTGGACGAATTTTAATAAAATTTTCAAGAATAATTACATTTTTCGAGGAATTCGATTAAAATTACATTAAAAATAATTGAAATTATTTAAATACAAAAATAAATAATTTATTTATTTCATGTTTCTTGAAATTAAATTCTCATAAAAAATGTTATCAACAAATTTTTCTAAATCATTAAATTCTTTGTACGAATTTTAATAAAATTTTTAAGAATAATTACATTTTTCGAGGAATTCGATTAAAATTGCATTAAAAATAATTGAAATTATGCAATGAGTTTTATTACTTATGAAAATAATTGAAATCCTAAAAGAATTTTATTATTTATAAAAATTAATTGAATCCCTGTAAAAAAAGTTATTATTTATGAAAATAATTGAATTATTGCGAAGAAATTTATAAAAAAATTTGTAAATAATTGAATTCCTGTAACAATTTTTATTATTTATAAAAATAATTGAATGTTTGCGTAGAATTTTATTCAAATTTTTTTTAATAATGGAATTCTTTTGGAAAATTTTATTAAAATAGTAGATATTGAAAATCATTGAATTTTAGAAAACTTTTGAAAATAATTGAAATTTTGACAAGAATTTTATTAAAATTTTTTGTAAAATAATTGAATATCAGAGAAGAATTTTATTATTTATAAAGAGAATTAAAATTTTGACGAGAATTTTTTGAAATTTTTGAACACAATTGAATTTAGTAAATATGTTACTAAGTTAGTTAGTAAGTTAGTAATTAAGTGATTAATTAACTTATTAATTTACTGTTCTCCCTGGAGAAGCTAAATTCGTTGATTTTTTACAAATCGTTGACTTTGGTGTTTTATTTAAAGTAAAATTTCATTTATATAGTTAAAAATAACACCAAAATAGATTACTTTAATCCTTTCTGCTGTTAATTTAATCCTAGAGGGATTAAACTGTTGCAGATTATTTTAATCTATTGCTATTCTCGTGTTATTTTAACACCTAACGTTTTACTGTGCTTTTATTTATAAATAAATTTAAAAATTTATAAACTTTAATAATAAAGATAAAAATATAATAATAAATAAACTAGTAAACGAACAAAAATTATTGCAATCAGCAATAAAAAAAAAACTAGCAAAGTGTATATTTAAAAAAGCTAAGAATTTACGTTTCCAATTCCAATATTTATAAAGTACATTGAATTAAAAATTGTCTGAGCAAATATTGACTTAAACTACTGAAAACTAAACTTTTTATGGTAAGAAATAAAGAACATACAATTTCAAATTTAAAAGAGAAAAAAATTTACCTATTTAAAAAATTACGATTTAATTTTTTTAAAAAATTAGATTTCGAATTGTGTACTGTTTGACCGATTATTGACCTAAACTACTGAAAATAATGCATTTTATTGTCAAACATAATTAATTTTAATTTCAATTTATAACAATTTGGTTAAAATATATATATCAAAAGTATTACGATTTAAAGTATACAATTTAAACTTTTACTTGTAATTAATTACTATCTGACCTAATATTCACCAAAACTACTGAAAATTAATATTTTTATTGTGAAATAAAGAAGTTACAATCTCAAAATCAGAAAGAAAAAATATATTAAAGACAAATGGGATTTAAGGATGAAATTCTATTTTCAATTAAGTACTGGCTGACCAATTATTGACCTAAACTACTAAAAGTTAGGCATGTTATTGACAAATATAATTAGTCGAATAAATTAAAATTTATAAAACTTTTGGTAAAATATAAATAATATTACAATTTATAGTTAAATTTATACTTTCATTTAAGTACTGCCTGACATAATATTGACCAAAACTACTAAAAACTAAATTGTTTATTTTGAAAAAAAGAAATTACAACTTTAAGTTTAAAAAGAAAAAAATGTATTGAAGAAATTTGCGATTTGAGGATAAAATTAGATTTTCAATAGTGTAATGTCTGACCGATTATTGACCTAAACTACTGAAAATAGCGCATTTCATTATGTAATTTTAATTGATTAAATTATTTACAATTTATAAAATTTTAGATAAAATAAAAATAATATTTCAATTTAGAGTTAAAATTAGACTATTTATTTGCTGCCTGATCTAATATTGACCAAAACTACTAAAAATTAAATTTTTTATTGTGAATTAAGGAACTTACAGCTTACAAAGTAAAAAAAAAATATATAAAGAAATGTATAATATTGTGTTTAGTTTACTATTTAAAATTTATTTTAACCACCGCCTGACTGATTATTGACCTAAACTACTAAAAACTACAACTTTTTTAAATAATTTAAAAAAGTTAAATCTTCTTTTACATTTCAATAAAGTCTAAAAAAATACAATTAGAAGAAAAAAGTATATTTTAAATTCATTGCTGTCTGATCAAATTTTGACCAAAACTACTGAAACTGACGCATTTCATTATCAATTATAATTAATTAAATTAGTAAAATTCATAAAACTTTGGGTAAAATGTAAATTATTTATAAAGCTAAAATTTAAAGTTAAAATTATACCTTACTTTAAGTACTGTTTAACCTATTATTGACCAAAACTACTTAAAACTACATTTTTTAAATAAAATTAAATTAGTTATAAATTCTTTTCATTTTTAAGTAAAGTATAAAAAATATTATAATTAGAAGATAAAATTATATTTTTAATTCATTACTGTCTGGTCGATTATTGACCAAAACTACTGAAAATCACTATATTTAATTACTAAATAAAAAAGATTCATTTCTCATTTATTTATAATGTAAATGTATTTCTCTATAATTTTTTAAAGGTTCAAATGTATATTATTATTTATTATATTACCTTATGTACTTTTGAGTTTATTAAAAATTATTTCTTTTGTATTATCTCCGTACAGAGTAAATAAGCTTAACATTTTTATTTTCTCTTCCAGTTATAAGTTTTTATACAAAATGTAATGTATAAGTCGGTATGAAATTCGTTAAAAGTTTAAAATTAAATCTGTAATCTGACAAACTTTTCATAGACTAAAAAAAAATTTTTTTTTTTTATTAAGTAATTTTACAATTTTTATATCTTCCTTTCATTATTACTCGAAGTGACACTTTTCGATTGGAATTCTAGATTACTTGCTTCAAAAAATTGAGATGGAAATTAATTTTCACTCCCATTCTGTATAAATTTAGAAACTATAATTTTTCAATTTTACTGTTGGCCGTTTTCTCAAATAAGTAAATAAGTAAATAAAAAAATTAATTTATAAACTTATATATCCTGTGAGTCTATTTTTATAACTTTTGAAAATTTTTTAATAAAAACTTACAATTTCATTTGTTTTTATTTTTCTTTTTTTCCTTTTTGAATGATCCACAATTTC